GATCGTCTGACCGACGACTATTCATAATCGGGAATGACAAATCTAATAGATTCTCGGCGCCTTGGCGGTCGTAAGTGTGAGAGTAAAAGATTGTTGGAGGAGGAGGATGAGGAGAAGAAGAAGAAGAAGAAGAAGAAGAAGATGAAGAAGAAGAAGAAGAAGAAGAAGGAGACTCTGAGAGAAGTGTTTCTATTGAACGGATGTAACGCCATAAGAAGAGAGAGAGAGAGAGAGAGAGAGAGAAAAGATAAAGAGAAAGAGGGAGAGAAACCTGGCGTCCCTTCTGGACCGCGTTTAACAATGATATCCTTCCTTGGACGCTGAGGCCGAAGGAGGAGAAATAAAGTCAAGCTCGCTGTTGGTCAGCTATAACGCGAGTCTCTTTCTCGCACAATGCACATTGTCGTAGGAAAGGAATGCGGAGGGGTTTCGCATTGTCGATGCATGCCGCACGCCTTTCCAACCTCTTACAAGCCCTTACAGGACCTCAGGAGACCTTACGAGACATTACAAAGCACGATATCAAGGCGTTTCTAACTCTCTATAACCCACACCCCATATCACTACCATTCACTAGAGTTATGCCCCTTCTATAACCACCCACTCATTATTTTACTATCGCTATTATCTTTACAATTACAACGAAACGATTAAAATCCATTCGTCGTCATTGTCTCCATCCCCATCAACCCCCACCAATCAACCCACTCATCTATCGCGATCTCATTTCAATAAAAATTCTCTTCGATGTTTCATTTCGTTGAGTGATCGATTCTCAATGAAGGTTTAAAGATTGAAATAAATAAATAAATAAATAAATAAATAAATAAATAAATAAATAAATGAAAAGGTTATCCTTCATATTTATTTTCGATAAATAAAATAAAGGAAGAAGGAATTTCCTTTCAATCGTTGCAATTTCTCGAACCGACGAAATTCGTCGGGTGTAACAATAAAAAATAGAAGAAAAAAGAAAAGAGAAGAAGAAGAAGAAGAGGAAAAAAAAAAGAAGAGAAAAGAAAAATAGAATAAAAGGAAAGGAAAGTTTAAGGACAACTTTCAAGAAATATTATAATACTTCTCTCTCTCTGTCTCTCTCTTTTTCTTTTTTTTCTCTTTATTCTCTCGTTTCAGCTGCAATATATCGGAACACCTTCCGGACAAGCACGGATAATCCTGGCATCGAGCTTGCTGGCACGTTTCTTCGTACGGAATAGGTATTCTCTATGACCAAGTGAGAGAACAATTCACTCTTTCTCTCTCTCTCTCTCTTTCTTTCTTCTAACAGCTAGCTAGCTAGCTAGCTAAGCTAACTGGCTAACTGGCTCTGACTATATAGCTAGCTAGCTAGCTTACACGTATAGATGGGGGATGGCGAGAAAGAAAGAAAAAAAAAGAAAAAAAAGGAGGGAGAAGGAAGAAGAGGAAGAAGAGGAGAAGAAGAAAGAGGAGGATGAGGAAGAGGAGGAGGAAGAAGAAGGCTACACAACTGTTGCTCTTTGCTTGGCACGAAGGCTCACAAATCGGTTTACGACCTTTCGGCGCCTTTTCACCCACCTGCTCTTCCTCTTCTCTTCTCTTCGTTTTCTCAATGTTCCTCTTTCAAAATGTACCTAGGTAACTATCCTAACCGTGGGAGTACGTCCTACGTGAATACATTTTAGTATTTCTTCCCTTATTTACTTACTTACTTATTTCTTCCTTCCTTCCTTCCTTTTCTTTTTTTCTTTCCTTTTATTCTTTCACAAATCGAACTCAGTGACCAAAAAAAGAGAAAGAATGATTTATATATCTTTTAGATAATAATTTCTAATAGTGACAAACGAAACGAATCGCTTGCTTTCTTCTATTTCCTTATGTCGTCAGTTGTTTAACGCCTGAAAGGAGTCTCGCAAAATGCAAGAGAAAGAGAGAGAGAGAGAGAGAGAGAGAGAGAGAGAGTTAGAAAGAAAGGAAAAGAAAAGAAAAGCAAAAAAAATAAAAAATAAGACCCTGGAGTTTTAACGGTCTACGATTAAACAGGAAACGACGACGTACAGATTGTTTGGCCGACATCAAAACCAATCGAAAGACATGGAACTTCTGTCTCTGATCTTTATAGCTCATTTCATCCAGGACAAGACGAGAATAAAGAAAGAGAGAGAAAAAAAAAAAAGAAAAAAACAAGAAATAGTTTACAACGACGAAAGAAGTTCATTATTCATTTGGAGCAATATCAAAATCATTGATCGAATGTCCACCTTTTTAAGTAAATCCTTGATCGTAATCGTAGATAATTGTAAAAAGCCTTCGAACGTTGATTGATCATGCATATTTATTATACATACAATGGATTAGACGATCTGATTAGACTGATCTACTCGTTGCAAGACTTATGATTACTATTATTACTATTATTATTATTATTATTATTATTATTGTTATTATTATTATTATTATTATTATTATTATTATTATTATTATTATTATTATTATTATTATTATTATTATTATTATTATTATTATTATTATTATTATTATTATTATTATTATTATTATTATTATTATTATTCGTCATCGAGATCAAATTAATTAATACTCCTCGATAACATTTACAGTGTTTTTCAAAAGTTATTAGAGAATTACTCGTGTCTATTGATAAACGTTCAAGATCATTTTTACGAGTTTTCATTTATTTGTTTATTTTCTATAAAGAATATACCGTGTTTCATTTCGCGATGCTGTTAAAAAAAAAAAAGAAAAAAAGAAAAGAAAAGAGAAAAAAGAAAAAGAAGAAACAAAAAAAAAAAAAAGGACACCAAATTAATAATGTATTCTCGGCAAATGCAACCAACGAGGTTATCGCAAACTCGTTTGATTCTAAGTCACGCTGTAGACTTTAAATTTAGCTCGCGGCATAGATCCTTTATCAACGATAACAAACCTGACTCTAATTAATACCGACAATTCTATCATTCTCAGATTCCAATAACCAATTAAGCTTGATGTTAAATCGATTCAACGTTCTGCCATATTGAATTTGTTGGAATCGAATCAACATAAGATGTTCACTGATTCAAACCAAATTTTTCCAATTGCATTAATTATTTTCATCGTTATTAATTAAGATATCACAATCAACGAAATAACTTATTGAATATAATATTGACGGTGACGATTAAAGAGAGAAAAAACAAAAAAAAAAAAAAAAAAAAAAAAAAAAAGAAAGAAAAAGAAACAAGAAAAGCACCAAACAAACGAATAAAAAAAAAAAGGAAGCAAAGCAAGGCAAAGGAAAAAAAAATTGAAAAATGATAAAAAAGACTATTTTTAGTAAACCATACCAGGAAAAGTTTGGTTTAGTAGTTTAAACGTGGGCAATATATATACATATATATACATATATATACATATATATATATATATATATATCGATTTGGTTCTAGGCATTCGAACGAAGAATCTGTGCCATGTCGCGTAAACACACTATAATAATAATACTATAAATACGCCGCTCTCGGCGAGACCAAACGTATGCAGGCGCCGGCGCCGCCGGTCGCGTACATTACACGCTCCGAGGAAGCATTATCCGTCCTACGTATCCAACGTTATTCACTCTCCTACTCATTCTTTTATCTCTCTCTCTTTCTCTCTTTCTTTCTCTTTCTCTACCGTTGCTACACTCACCAAACTGACCGGATCACACCACGGATCGGATCGGAGCTGTAACTGGCTTTAAGTTGAACGACGATCAACCAAACCGATTCTCATCGTCTTCTCATTTCTAGTTTTTCCTTTTTTTTTTTTTTTCCTTTTATTTCTTTGGAAATCATCGAATCGATCTTTTCCTTAATCTCTATGAGAGAGAGAGAGAGAGAGGGATTAGAATTTAATATCCAAATTGATTATTTGGATAATATTAATGATTGAAACAAAAGGAAACAAAAAAAAAGGTCATTCAAATTTGTACTAGATACGCTGTGAGTAATAACGTTTGAAGAAAAAAAAAAGAAAAAAAAAGGATATAATTTATCTAGAGAGAGAGAGAGAAGATATATATGTATATATATATATATCATGTAATTCTGATCATTTATCATTTGTCCTTTTCTCGGATAATATAAAGGATAATATTTTTTTTCTATCTCTTTTTCTTTCTTTCCTCTTCTCTCAATCAAAAGAAACAAATGTTGTAACTACGAATGTTGTTATTCTCAATAACTCCGTTGCATATGGACATGCATATGGACATAAATACGTATGTAAACGATACATACGTTTCTTTTTTTTCTTTTTTCTTTTTTTTCTTTTTTTTTTTTTTTTTTTTTTTTTTCAAGAGAACAAATTTATCTTAGAGTCGTGTAACGTTATGAACCTCCTCCCATGTTATTTATACCCTTCATTATCTCTATGTCTCATAACGTCAGTGTGCATTGTTTCACAGCAGTTACTGGCCGACCTGATTTTCCTTCTTCCCTTTCTATACGTGAACTTTTTTTTTATCCTCTCTCTCTCTCTCTCTCTCTCTCTCTCTCTCTCTCTCTCTCTCTCTTGAATCTTTTTATTTATTTTTTTTTTCTTACCCTCTCTCATCTTAATCGTGCAATAAATCCAACACCTATCCAACCGACCTTATCGTCGCGACGGCTCCCATTTTGAATAATAGAAGGAACGATCTGTGCATAGGTAAAACCTATCTATCTTTCTCTCTCTCTCTCTCTCTCTCTCTCTCTCTCTCTCTCTCTCTCTCTCTCTCTCTCTCTTTCTCTCTCTCTTTCTCTCTTTAAAATATTTACATCGTATGTTAATACGGGATTGCACTTGGCAATAAAAGAAACATATAGTAACGCGACGTGAAACGCATAAACGTTCTTTTGTGTGTGTGTGTGTATGTGTGTGTGTGTATACATGTGTGTGTGTGTATATATATATATATAAAAAAAGAAAAGAAGAAAAAAGAGGAAGAAAAAAAAAAAAAGAAAACATTTGAAATCAACGTAATTAACTGCTTAGAATCTTACCTTGCTTAATTTATTCTACGTAAAATCACGTATTAAGTATACTTTCGAAATACGTTGAAGTAATTGGCTCCGATATTTAACGCTTGGTAATCCAATAGATTGCTTCGAACTTTCGGATCCTTCTTATTATTTACTGTAAAGAAAGAAAAAGAAAGACAATTTTTCAATATAGCTTTTTATTCTGAAGAAAAAGAAAAAAAAAAATGAAGAAGAAAATGCGTCTAATTGTATAACGTTCATAAATGAAAAAAAGCGATAATTTCATTAGGTTCGTTTTTTTTTTTTTTTTTTTTTTTTTTTTTTTACGAGACATCCGTATTTTTTTTTATCGACGCGCGTTTAACTAATACATTCCACGGCAATTAATTCTTCAACGCCATTTTAACTTTTGAATCAGACGGAAACTGCGTATAAAGATATTTCGAATATCCTATTTACATTTTATTACCGTACAAAATTATATTCCTGGTTCGTGTCCAAAGTTCGTAATATATATATACATATAATTTTCTTTATCTTTTTTTCAATATAAATTACACTTTACATTCTATATAACATTTTTTATTTTATTAAAAACTCGAAACAAAATGCGGAAAATAAAATAAAAAAATTGGATTTATTTGTTCAAAAAATCAAACAATAACGCGTATATACATATATATATATATATATATATATATATATATATATATATATTAATCTATATTTCCAAATGAAATAGTGTAGTAATTCCTTAAACATTAATATCATCGAACAAAAATTCTAAGATTTAAATAATAAGATTTTTTCCATTGTAACAGTCATTACAGGATGATAATTATAAGCAGGACATTGAAAGGGTAATTAGATTGTTAAGTGACGCGGTCAAGGAAGAATCGAAAGGCCTCATGTTTGCGGTATCGTCGATACGCGACGTCTATTAAAAGCTAATTATACGGCATTCCAACATGGCGCAAATGCGTCGTGGGCGCGCGGACATTCAAATGAGAGTGCAGTATAAAAAAAAAAAAAAAAAAAAGAAAAAAAAGAAAGAATAAAAAAAAAAAGAAAGAAAAAAGAAAAAACCCTGTAGACGCATATCTATATGTAAATAAAAAAAATATATACATATATATATATATATATATATATATATATATATATATATATATATACGTATATGATAAATAAAGATTCTTAATAGTCGTTGTAGACATATACACATAGATATCGAATTTAAGTTGTGCTTTCCCGCCACCTACACATGTAATACATACATATATACATACATACATAGAGGCAACTCTCTAACGCGTGCCATTCTTCGCCGTTTTATGGCTCCGTACTTGTAGTCGACCGATGGGAATGTTGGCGCCATTTGCCACGAACAACACGTCAGAGAAATGCGCGTACATGTATAAACAGACACACGTATGTACACACAAACACGGGCGCGCGCGCGCGCACATATACACAGAGAGAAAGAGAGAGAGAGAGAGAAAGAGATACATACAAATATATACACTTAGATATCAGATACGCATCTCCGTTATACACATAGAGAATAAAGGAGTCAAGTCGAATCCGCATCGATCGAATCTCGAGTTCGTTCTACCGAGACCATACTAGCACGACGATGTACGATTTCTATCGACTTTCGATCAAGAACGTATATATATATATATATGTATATGTATGTATGTATGTATGTATGTATGTATTATATATACCATGCTTCTCCAACCGATTAGATCTTTACCAACGCCTGTGACATGGTCTTTCTCTTCCGCTAAGTTTTTTTCTATTTTCTTTGTTGTCTTTTTTTTTACTTTTGTTTTTCCTTTTTCTATTGCTTTTATTCTTTCTTTTTATCTTTTTTTTTTTAGGAGAGACCACCCAATTTTTTTCTGTCTGTCCTCTCAACACCTAATTCCTTTTTCTTTTTTCTTCTTTTTTTTTTTCTATTTTCTACATTCCCAGACTAATTTATCTTTGACTTTTCGAAATTTCTCTCTACTAGATTCTACATATATATATATTTATAATATAATATATATATTATGTATATATATATATATATATATATATATACATATATATATATATGTAGAACTGATCTCTCAGCTCGAGAACTTGTAATAATATTTTTCCAATGTCCAAAGTGAATTGATAACCGTGCTACCTTCTCCCTGGGGAAAAACAGAAGAGCCCAGCCATGTAAACTCAGACGTTGGTTTATCCTTTCAAACGTGTATATTGAAGAACATCGAAGAATTTTGCTATTGCTGATAATATATTTTAGGTTTTATGACGTTCATGCGATAATAAATTTGATCGATAGGTAAACCGATATTTTCGGATTTGATACGAACCTTGATTAACCTTTCATCCTTTTTATTTTTTTCTTGTTTCCTTTTCTTTCCTTTCCTTTTTTTTTGGAATAAAAAGCTCGCTTAACAATCGTTCGAACATAATCGAATATCATTTTGTTTCCATTTGAAAGAAACATGGCGTCCATTCGATACGACACGAATCGCGATAATCGAACGTTTCTATTTAGAATCGAATCTATCGATAATTAATCGTTGATCGAATAATTTGAAGAAAAAAAAATATGGCAGAAAAAGAGAAAGAAAGAAAGAGAAAGAGAAAGAGAAAGAGAGAGAGAGAGAGAGAGAGAGAGAAAGAAAGAGAGAGGATATGTAAGTTAAATACATACACCGTATGTATGTTCCAGGTTCCGCGCCATTACTATACAATGGCGACATCGTAATGGCCGACTTAATACCTAAAGTAGTATCGTTGAAAAAATTCGAGCTTCGTCGGTATTACCCGACGATCGATCAAATAGATATTATTCGTACGCATTTTCTTTCTTTCTCGTTTTTTTTTTTTCTTTTTTCTTTCTCTGTTTTCTTTTCTTCTTATCGACTGACACAACCTTTATTCGTACAATTATTATTATTATTATCATCGTCATTATTATCGTTATGAAAATTCGTTATAGAACAATTTTGATAATTTTTCTTTAGGCAGTGGGAGGAGAAGGGTGGATACGAAGAGTTAGTTCGAAGTTGGAGATATAACGAAAAAGAGATTATCGTTAGCAAGCGCCCTGTCGATCGTTGTTCTACATTTCGCGATATCTGTCCTTGCGCGACAGAGCGCTCATTTAAAATAAAAAAAAAAAATATTTATCAGTAATGGTGACACGCACGCATAATTTACATTTATCGTTATGAACTGGACAACGACATTGTCCGAGTACATAACATTTCTATGACGTTTAGTTAGAAAAAAAAAAAAAAGAAAAAAGATATATATATATATATATGAGTAAGGTAAAACAGTAAAGAAAAATTTGAAAACACCTACAAAAATGGTTAAAATGATGCACGAAAGTCCTGACAAATTTCTTCTTCCCAAATTATTGTTACGGTCCATCTTGTATCCTTTTCCTTTCTTTTTTTTTTTCTTTCATTTCTTCTTTACGTTCTCATCTTCAAACGAAAAAGAAAAAAAAATATATATATATAAATGTGAATATAAAGTTAAATCGACTATAAATGTCGTCTATATATGGTTTACAAATAATTATAACCTCAAATTTACTTTCTATGCAAATATGCCGTGTCTTAAATATATTCGAAAATTACTACAACTTAATAATTACTTTTTATATGTTTGCTTATCGGACGGGAACACAAAAATTCCATCCAATTTTTACCAGAACTTTGTATCTTCTTCGAATAAAGTACATATTCTTCTCGGTGATCATCTTCGTTAGTCCGACATGCGAAATCTCGTCGTATTTTTCGAGATTCCGTTTGAATATTTTTATCGGTCATGATGTAACCTTAAATAAAATTCCAACGAGGTAACCGAGACAATGACTTCCATCGAACTACGTCGTTTTTTGTTTTCTCTTCGAGAAAAATCCGCCTTCAGAGTCATTTTCATTCCGCTAGGCGTCGCGTCGATCGTTCGGGTCACGTGACATTAGGCGCGATAAGAGAGAAAAATTTAAAATTATGTACCGTCGACACGACGATATGTATTTTATAAAAAGAAAAAATATAAACGTTAAATAGTTATATAAAGAAGATAAAAAAGAAAAAAGAAAAGAAAAGGATTTAGTTTTATAAGAAAAATAAAAACCATCTAAAACGAATTTACCTATACATATATCTATATGTGTATGTGTATATATATATATATATATATATATATATATATGTAATGTATTTGTTAAGAATAAACTACGTATAAGATGTAAATAAGTTACACACAAAGAACGAAGATTACAAATGGGAAAATGTCACGACACTGAGGTCACGCTTAGGAGTTAAGTTGCGAATGCAAATCGCCAGGATTTGACCCGTTTATCGTTTACGTAGTAACAATAAATAACTCTCCGTGACTAACTTGTGGTATATATTGATATTGTATAAAGAATCTAAAAGATTTTTAGAAAAGAGAATTCGAAATCTACGGCAAACTTTTCCCTTCTTTTTTATTTCACTCCTAAGAAGTTTTATATTTAAAAAAAAAAAAAAAAAAAAAAAGTAATAATTTGTCCTTCTTCTTTGAAGAATAAAAAAAAAAGAAAGAAAGAAAGAAAGAGTACAAAAAAGAATATTAAATTAGAATCACTTGTTATATAACTGCATATACATATATATATATATATTATACATATATATATATATATATTTATTAATCTTTCCTTTTTTATTTTCAATGAAGAAAAATTGAAAAAAAGATAGCCCCTTCTTATAAAAAGCATTTATAACTTCTAATTAATGAACATACACACGTAACAAAGATTTTAAAGAAAGATTTACGATTCTATTCTACATGCGGTCATTTAAAATAATATATAGTAACTAAAAAACTAAAAAGATGATGATAGTAATAATAATAATAATAATAATAATAATAATAATAATGATAATAATAATAATAATAATAATAATAATAATAAAATGAAGAGAACTAACACAATGAATTAATTTATAATTAGTCGCTATAGAGGAAAAAAAAAACAACAGTCTTAAACAATTAAATGAAAACATGCTTGTATGTATGATGAGAGTGGAGTGCAGTCTTCGTTAGTGAAAAAGTAATCGTGCTTGTAATTTAATTGATTCGTTCTTTTCTATTTTTTTTTCTTTTTATATTTTATATTTTTTAATTAGAAACTAACTTGAATATTAGAAGTAACTGAACATTAAAAAAAATAAAAAATAAAAAAAAAACGTTAGAAGAAAAAAAGATTGTCTTTGTATTAGCTAGAGTTTCTCGTTTTTTGTTTTTTCTTTAAAGGTTCAACGCGCATACACTTCAAGAATCTATATCTGCATGTTAATCAATCAATAACAACCAAAACCAGGAAAAAAAAAAAGAGAAAAAAAAGAAGATTAAGACCTATTCCTGAATGGCAAATAAGAACGTGGACTGTATAAAGCACAATTACAGTATATTTCACAAGTTGTTTAAACATTCATACATAATTATACGAATTTCCGCATGTGACGAAAAGGCGATTCTGTCAATTAGGGGGAGGATTAGTTAATAAAAACAATGTATTTTAAGGAGAGAAGAAAAAAAAAAAAAAAAAAAAAAAAGAAAAAGAAAAAGAATTATTATCAGGGACGTCGAGAAGAAGGATTCGTGAAACGGCTTCAAAATGATGATACTTTAAGGCAGACTTTGCCAATAATCAATCAGCCAGGATGATCTTTTCTGGCTTAAGAATTTGCGAGGCCTATCTATCCTCTCTCATCGACTACGTGAGAGGTCTGTCATTTATTTAGTTTCGTGATTTTACTCGTTTTTTTTCCTTTTGTTTCTTTTCCTAAAGAATAATCTTATTACTTTTTTTTTCCCCTTTCTTTTCAATTTCTTTCTTTCTTTCTTTCTTTCTTTCATTTTCCCTTCAATAATTCAACCGGAATTTCTTTTTTTTTCCCCGCTGCGGCGGTCGCTGCTGCAATAATTTCGGAATGTCGACGATTTTTTATTTTTTTATCCTTTTTTTTTTAATTTTTTTTTTTTTTAATTTTTGTTCTCTTTTCCTTTCCTTTTTCTCTAATTTTACCTTTATCAAGGTGCAATAAATAAATGATATCTCCTTTACACTGAGATTTAATTCATATGATCGGCTCGCTATTTAATGTTAATTCAAAGCAGGTGGAGGAGGGTGCAATTACTGCACCTGCTGTTACACTAACAATTTAGAGCGAAACAATCATATGCAGTTTATATAGTTCCATTCTGTATTTTTCTTTTTTTTTCGTGTCCTTTTTATTATTTTATTATTATTATTATTATTATTATTATTATTATTATTATTATTATTATTATTATTTTTATTTTTATTTCTTTTTTTCCCCCTTTCAAAGTCTATTCAGTGAAAAAAAAACTTAAAAAAATAGAAACAAATTTGTTGTAATTAGAAACAGTAAAGTCATTGCACCGTCAGTTATTTTACTCTCTGTTTCTATTTAAACTGATGGGCCAATGTAACATTTTGCAATGTAATGGACAGAGCAACATTCTCTCACCATCTATTGATCACATTTTATCATCGTATTTATATAATGTAATGTACAATATGCAGCTACATTATGAATAATCAGTATGTCCAACGCATTCAAACTGACAACACCGTGGGTACTTTTCGCATTTGTCTTGTTCTTAAATTGGTTTTTTTTTCCTTTTTTTTTTCGTTTGTTTGTTTGTTTGTTTGTTTGTCAAAGATATCATTTAAATTATTATTATTAATTAATTAATTAATTAATTAATTGTGTATTGTATGTTTCAGAGTTAGGTACTTTAATACAATTACTTCAAGTTTTTGTCCACATTTCTTGTGGTATCTCTGTGTAAAAAGTGTAACTATAATGCTAATGTAATAATAATTATAATAATAAGTTGCTCAAGGCAATAGTCCTGTGTGGCCGTTCGATTGTGTGCTCACGACCGTATTTTTTATTTTCCCCACTCCCCTCCCCCCGAAAACTTCCTCTGGCACAGTGACAACATACGATAACCTGTTCACCCTCCACTCAAGATCCAAAGGATCTTGCGCTTCGCACAAAGTGTTACTGCTCTTTTTTTTAAAAGTATTATTCGTTCGTGGGGGGGACGGGTGTGCAGCTGTTTTTTTTGTTGTTGTTGTTGTAGTTGTTGTTGTTGTTGTTGTATGATGTTAATATAGCAACTGAATGTTGACAAAATAACGTTCCGATTAGCGGTTGGCATTTTTAAGTTGATTGGAGAGCCAATCTAGACCCTCGTAAAGTCCATCTCCACTCGTGGCACACGTTGCTTGTATGTACCAATTACGATTACGTAAAGAATGCAAACCCAATTTATCAGTTATTTCTGCAGCATTCATCGCATTTGGCAGATCCTGTAATATTTTACATTAGACAATGATCCATAACAATTTCAAGAAAAGTTCAAATGTCGAACGGCTAAACAATTATTGACACCATACGAACCAATAGGATAAAAAATTCTTCATACTAATAATTATTATTCATATACATTATTATTATTATTATTATTATTATTAATAATATTATTATTATTATTATTATTATTATTATTGTTACTTACTTGTTTATTAGCAAATATTAAAAGTACCGCATCTCTAAGCTCATCCTCTGCTAACATTCTCATCAACTCCTCGCGTGCTTCACCAATACGTTCCCTATCATTACTATCAACGACAAATATAAGTCCCTAAAACAATGAAGTATCATGTCGATTAAAAATTAATTATATTATAACTCAAAGTATATATATTATATTATAACTCAAAGTAATTCGAAAAGCACGATGACAAAAAGAAAAAAAAGAAGGAAAGAAAAGAAAAAGAAAAAAGAAAATAAAATAAAAATAAGAAATAAAATAAAATTAAATTAAATTAAATGAAAGAAAAGAAAGAAAACAAGAACATACTTGTGTATTCTGGAAGTAATGTCGCCACAAAGGTCTGATTTTGTCTTGGCCACCTACATCCCATACAGTAAAACTTATGTTCTTATACTCGACTGTTTCTACATTGAACCCTATACGAAGAAACTATTTCATTAGTTCAGCATATTTTTAGTTAAGTAAGAATAATTTTATAAAAGCATTGTTCGTTTCAAGATATTACATGATATACGAATAATAATAAAAAAAAAAAAAAAAAAAAAAATAATAAAAAAAAAAAAAAAAAAAAATAGAAATAGAAATAGAAATAACGTGTAAAATAAACATAATATATGGTGTACATATATATGTGTGTGTATATGTGTGTTTATATTTACCTATAGTGGGAATCGTTGTAACAATTTCCCCTAATTTTAATTTGTACAGAATTGTGGTTTTACCAGCTGCATCGAGGCCTACCATCAAAATTCTCATTTCTTTTTTGCCAAAGAGGCCTTTGAATAATGTTGCAAACATATTCCCCATGGCTGGTATTAGCTATGTAGAGATACCTGTAACAAATGTATATTAATGAATTAAATATTCAAATGATACTCTTTCGTATCGAATTATATTACATTCATTGTAATTAATCGTTATATATATTATAAAAATCATAAATCATTACTTTCAATTTCAAAATATCATTGTGGAATGAAATTACACTTATCTATCCTATCTCCTATCGATTTAATCCTATTAAAAAATTGATTGTGTTTGATAAATTTTTAAACAAAGGTACACATTGAAATCGATTCTTTTACTTGGAATAATTAAAGATGTTGTTGATTCTATTTAGAAAGAAAAAAATTATAAGATGCGGATGAGATACGTGACATACAATATAGTCACAGTGCCATTATTAACTCAACATATAGTCAAAAATAAATATATATATATATATATATATATATATATATATAAATATATATATTATTTATAATGTAATCGAAAAATAAGATATATAAAGACTGCGAAGAACATTTTAATCGTAATTCTGTGAAATAAGGTATGACGCAAATATGGTAATTAAAAAATATACATCAAACAAAAGAAAAGCTATTAAATGATATATCTTTTTATACGTACGTAGGAAATAACTTGTAATCGAATAAATATATTTATAAAAATAAAAAAAAAAAAAAAAAAAAAAAAAAAAAAAAGAAGGAAGAAAATTTTTGCCACGCAAACCGTGCAATTGCACAAACACGTAGAAATTAACATGCACTTGTCAGTCGAGCCCGAATGAGTTAACCTGAATAACCACGATATATAATAACGAGGTATATTAAAAATATAATCTCGAAAAGAAATTATTTATGAAGACGTACGAGTTTTGGTCCGAAGTAAAAAGAAAACAATATATAAAATTCGTAGAGAGAAAAAAAAAAGAGAGAAAGAGAGCGAGGAAAGAGAGAGAGAGAGTGAGAGAAAAAAAAGAAAAAAAAAAAGAAAGAAAAAAGAATTGTGGAGGCACGCACGAGATGCTCACGCTGCGCGCTATTGATTCTCATTTTAATACATCGCTATGATTATCAGACTAGCATACCCTTATTTATATATCTTTAGAGTGCTTTGTTGTAGATTTATGCACTTTCAAAACTTCTTGGCTACTTAATACGCCAATATCGTAGTAATGCAAACAAGGCGGGGGATATTGTGCGGTTTGCGAAGCCACTGCGTACACCCGGTTGTCTGTCACCTTCGACCTACTCCCCAGCGAATCGTCAAAGGTTCCACGCTCAAACTTCCATTATTTATTTAACTTGGCCTGATTATTGAGAACCCTTTTAACGACACCTTCCACGTATATATCACTTACGTTACTTACGTTTCAGTAAAAAAGATTATTTTTTCACGAGAAACGATAAAACATAAAACCAACACTCTCGAAAAGTACCGTATGTCAAAATGGCGGACGTGGAAAGGATTCATGCCTTATGCCACGTATAGGGCCCTCGAAATTTTCCTATTGGTTAAACCGATCACGTGACTTCCAAAATCTATTTTCATTGAAATATGCGCCGCTAGATGTCACTTCGATAGCGTTCTCCATATGTCATCTTGCATCATTGTCTCTGATTGGTCAAGCGGATAGATTGACGCCGTTCCTCATTGGTCGATGATATATTATATATTAGAATTTTAGTATATGATACTACGTGAGCAAAAAGAAGCTCAGATTTATAACAGAATGAATGAATGATTCTTTGAATTAGGATAAAAGATAAATACTTAGTTTAGGTGAAATTAAAAGGTTCTTTTAATTTGTTTAAATAATATTATTAATCTATGAAAATTAAATGTAAATTAATTAGTTATTAAAATCCAATATGTCAATTATAAAAGTTCCTTTTAAATTTAAATCTGAAATACATAATGAATTGGAAAAAGATTTTATGAAGATTAATATTAATGGCGTTCCTATAGAACAAAATGAGATTGAGGTAAATTTTTCAACAGCATCCCAATTTCTACATTTAAATTATATAAAATTATACCAGTTGAATTTATATGTAGAAAAAATTAGATGCTCTGTACGAATGGATTTGTAGTACACCAAAAACTATTACCTATAGAGTTAATTTATTACTGACCACGGCTGAACAAGTAATAGAACATTTAAATGACGTGATATCGGAGGTAAGTCAGCATCTATTTAATTGAATACAAATCCTTGTATTTATATATCTATTTAATAGTATGGTCCTAAAAAAAAAATAATAATATTCAGCAGTATGAAAATCGTGTGCCAACAATAACAACATTCCCCCATTTATCAGAGATAGTTACTGTACACAGTTGGGACGAGTCTATAAAATTAGATTTATCAAAGCATTCGAAGGAAGTTATTGTTGATGCGGCATGTGGATCAGCTGTATTAAGAGGTTCACATGTATATGCTCCAGGAATCTTAGGAATTCCAAATGGTACATTCTTCTATAGATTTCCATAGATGTTTTAAATCTAATAATGACCTCTACTAATGACAATATTGTTTTTATTAGGTTTAAATGTAGGAGATGTAGTAAGCGTATTTGCAGATATTGTTGGTTGTACCAAGAAAGGATTACTTAAACCATCTGAAGTTGATAATGAAAATAAAACATTTTTGGGTAATGGAATTATCATGCAAACAAGAGAAAATATTTTCTGTAATGGCGGACAAGTAAGGTAGAACCTTTTGATAGAATTCTTTTATTTATAGTATATAAAATTACTATAAATAAAATTTTAATATAATTCATATTGCTTTAGGGGCGTTGCAATATATATGACTGATGTAATTTCTCGACTCCCACAATTAAATAATATTTCAGTACCGGATGGGTGGGCATTGTTACAAAATTTACCATCAATTATTTGTACTCGCGTTTTAAATCCACAGCCTGGAGAAACAATTCTTGATATGTGTTCAGCGCCAGGAAATAAAAGTACACACATTTCGTCCCTTATGAAGGGAAAGGTAGTAGATCCATAATTTATATGTGATTATTCATAATACTAACGCTTGAAAATGAATTACGTTATCTTTTTTTTTTTTCCCCCTAGGGTATTCTAATAGCTCTTGATAGAAACAAATCCAAATCAGAAAAACTTAAATTAAATTGTAATAAATTTTCAAGCGGTAATGTAAAATGTTTTTGGTACAATTCAAAAAAGGCTTATAATAAATATGCAGATAATTCGAATATTAACGATGGACCACCATTTAAAAATGATAGTTTTGATCGTATATTATTGGATAGTCCATGCAGTGCATTAGGACAAAGACCACAACTTCTTAATAAAATTACTGCTGTACAACTTCGCTCGTATGTGGCTTTACAAAGGAAACTATTCTCAACGGTAAGTTTGTTGGAATTAAAGAATTCAATTTTTACAATTTTTTGTCATTATTTTAATTATTCTTCATTATATGCATATATATATATATATATATGTATGTATATGTATATATATATATATATAGGCTGTTCATCTTTTGAAACCAAATGGAATCTTAGTATATAGTACTTGTACTATTACGATAGCTGAGAACGAAGGTATTATCTCATGGGCTCTAAAAACATATCCATGTTTAAAATTGAATTCCATTAGTGATCAATTAGATTTCATTAGAGACCAAACAAAAACATTTTTTTCTAAAGGATATAGCATTGATGGATTAACAGAGAATGAATCAGAATGTTTACTTAGGATGGGACCTGAACAGGATAGTATTGGCTTTTTTATAGCATCCTTTACTAAGCAAATTATGGAAGAAGTATAACTAAAATAATTTTATTAAATTAAGTCGCGAGTTGCGTCCTTACTTTGATTTTTAAAATTTATCGTCATTCTTGAGCTTCATTTGTCTGACAATTTTCATCTAAAACACCTTCACCACAAAGTATACATTTTTCTTCATAATTTGGTACAGTGGACATTATTTTCAATATCTCTATTGATGGTCCAATATTCCTATTCAAAAGTTATCTAATATTATCTTCCATCAAATTCCTTACTTAATGAATCAATTACTAATGTATGCGTACATTTATATTTGTATTGTAAAAAAAAATATAGAATATTTTACAAACCTTGGACTAAAACATACTGTAATTGGTAAAGTATGTTTGCCATTAATAGGACAAGCAAGTATTTCTCCCATAATAGGATAATAATTAAAATCTTCATTGAAATTACTTTTTTTGATTTCAATTTTACATTTGTAAGCTGCAATATTACGTATCTATATATTCATAGAGAGAAAGAGAGAGAGATAGAGAGAGAAAGAGAATTAGGGAAAAAAATAATTAATATAATAAAATTAATACCAGACAAATTTTCAACATCCAATATAAATTTTTTTTCTTCTCCGATACATACATGTCCAAAATTCAAACATGGAGAAACTCGTAATAAGGGTAAATAAATTTTTAGAAGCAACTTCAGTACCTATAATTTTTATAATTTATATTTTTAATATCATTTGAAAAGCAAAATATGAAATATTTTTATATTTTGTTCATATTAATTACCTGACTACTGTTATCAGTATATATAATACGTAACTGTCCTGTATTAAACCAATTATTTGTACGTTTTGAAAATCCTGGTTCATATCGTGAGATTATATTTTTTTTCGTTTCTATTATCTCTTCAATTAGCTTAGCATTTACTGAACAAGCAACATGTACCTGAAATAATATATGTAAATTCGTTGATGTGCACTATTTACAAAAATTTTGCTAACTAACTTTGATAGAATTCCATCCATCTATGCATATACTTTTTACAAAATTATGTATATTATTTATTTTACAATGACTATCGATATAATCTATTGTAAATGGATCATTTACTTCAAATTTTGCAATTATCGGGCTTTCTCCTTTATTATAAAATACGTAAGTTTTATTAATCCTGTAATTTATCAGATAAAATTTTAATTCATAATTATCGAAAATCCTTTTTAAATAAAAAAAAAAAATAAATAACATACTTTATTGTATGATGCGAACTTATCATTACATCGTCTGCATAAAATGTGAACGATCTATTAAATTTAGGAATATCATAAGTAAGACGTGATAAAACAATTTGTGCTTCGATTTGAATCGTTATTGGTGTTAATAAACTATTGTGCCTACAATAATATTTCTTCTTGTATCTGTAATATATTAAAAAAAAAAAAAAAAAAAAAGATATTAAAATGAATATATCGTATTATTTTTTATTTTTTAATATTAATAAAAAAATTTCCATTACTCGTCCATTGGAGCAATTTGTATAAAACCCAATGCATTACAAGATATTTTATATCTATCTTTATATAGCGGACATTTATTTGGAAATATTTTTATTTCGACGTATGCTTTTCCTTTGGGTGGTATAAAAGTTTCCTCAGGAGAAATCTTTTGAAGGAACGACATTTAAAATTGATTTTTAATTCATTCTCATATTTAATTAATTCCAATTAAGTTTAAACTTACTGTACAAATTGTACTATCTATTAGATTATTAGGAATCAAATCTATTTGAAACTCTGTACTTTGAGATTTGTTAATTCGTCTCCCATTATTTGTATATCGATCATTAAAAACACTAGAGCACATTTCGTATCTAAATTAAAAAAGAAAATAAAGAATTTTAGTACACATCAATAATTTAATCGAATAAAATTATTTAGGAAACAAAATTAATACTCAAAGATATCAAATTCATAATTTGAATCTGAATCTGTAGAAATGATGCATTGCGAATCATTTAACGTCTGACAATTCTTTTGAAATACATAGACCTCTAAACGTTTTCTTAATAAATTATCATTTTCATTTTTCTCTTTCAATTTTCTTAAAGCCATTGCTAATTTATTTGTAAAGTGAGTACGCATATGTAAGATGACATTAAATGGCATAGGATAACTTTCAGAGAAACTTTCTATTGAAACAATTTGCCAGTTTATGATTAATGGTACGCTGCTTTTATTTTTCATAAAAATTTTTCTGACTTCTTCTTGTGAACTAGCAGAAAGAATTCCAAATCTATAAAAATTTAAATATTCATCAAAAGTATATATTTTTCACAGATAAAAATCTATCTTATTTGTGTTAATTAATTACTGACCTACACATTGGTATTTTTAGTTGTGTTTTTTCACATATCGGAAATGATATAGGCATTTCTGTAACTTGCACACAAATGCTTAATATATATGGCGGTAATCCGAGAATATTTATTTCCAATTCATCTGTATAAATTCCCCATGTATCAACGAATACATATATATCTATAAATACGTCTTTGTACGGAGTTAATTCTGTTAAAAAAGGATTTACGTAAATAAGTATGCCAGAATTAGGCTGTTTTATTTCATTCCAAATATCATCTGTGAAAGGAAAATAATGATAAAAAAATATATATATAATAATATAAATATCTGATATTACCTGTATGCTGACTTATTATCATTTTATAAATAGATTGTATCATATCTTTCTTTATTTTTTCTTTTTCTGTTATATAAACTGGATAAAAATTATTTATTTTCAACCAAAAGCTTGATGCAATAGGAGTTTCATTTTTGATCAAAAACGTTTTCTTTGTAACTAAAAATATTTCTCATATAAATTTATCAATTATATAATAATAATGTAATATAAATAGGAAAATAAAAGAAATCTGAATGTACCAACTCCTAAAGGTACTTCCAAAAATTCAATTGTAACCGGATGACATATTGATATAGTTTTATCAAAAGGTACTAATTGATTAAATGCTTCATCTTCGTCGTAATCAATTTCTCCTGTTTTTTCATAATATATACTTTGATTCATATAAAAAGATTCTAAAGAATACTTTTGTAAATTGTTAATAATATCACTTTTCCCAGAAATAGTCTATAAATATATTAAAAATTTCTATTACACAATATTTAATATATATATATATATATATATATATAATTACTTTGTTTAGCATTGAGTTTTGTAGCATCAATAAATTAGGCCGAATAGTAATATTGGAGGTATGCCATTCAAAGCAAATGTCAGATGTTTTTAAAATATCATCTGAATATGGTATATGAAAGGTAACATAAAGTGACTTGATCTCACATTCAACTTGTAAAAATATAATTTTTGGTGAATGCTCAATATAACATGGTATATAAAAAGATTCAACATATCCCTGAAATAAAAATCATAAAATATATTTTATATATTAATTATAATTAATGTAATAAAATATTCATTAAATTAAATCACCTCTTCTATTGGACAAAAAATGATTTGTATATTTTTTGTAACTCCTGCTGGGATGCAATCACTTTCACAGCAGAAAATAAGTTTTAACTTTAAGCAATCTAATCCTATAGGATTACCCCAATTATATGAAACTGAAGTGGTTGTCATATTTTTTATATTCACAGTAAACATTTCTTTTATTCCAATAAATAATCTATTATTAAAAATGATAAAACATTGGAATCAGAAATTATATCATGGATATATTTATTATTTTCACATTCTATATATCAACCTAAGTGGTCGTAGAACTCCATGACTGATAATAGGTTCACAAATAAATGATTTTATTGTTTCTATGTCAATAATATCATGAGCGGAAAATAATTCTTCCATCATCTGCGTTTTACAACTTGAGTTAATAAAAAAATGTTTTTTAAATTTAACTATAATTGTTATCTTACCAATGCTGGCATTGTTATAGATTTTTGATCACTATATATATTTAGATCTATATCTGACCAATCTTTTTTTATCGACGATTGTGATATATCAATTTCAAGAATATCTTTATCGATATATTCATCTGATCTATAAAAACATTAAAAATCTTACATTAAAATTTAATATACATATTGTAATAATTATAATAATTATTATAATACAATTTACTTCTCCTTAAATGATGCATCATAATACAAAGTTTGTATTAATTTAATATCAGCCACTAAGATATCCACAGACTAATAAGAAAATAAAAAAAAATATATATATGTACATATGTATATATATTCCATTATCTGCATTGCCAGATTAAAAATAAATTGCTTACATTAGTAGTGCAAACACGTCTTTTTGTTTGACTTTCTGTAGTCCATAATTTATGGCTTTTTGATATAGCAGCTTGAGGTATATCTTCAATATATAATCTAAAAATATAATAATAAGAATTTAATTGAATTGTCTACATAATAATATATATAATCTTGATATATATAAATATAATTGTTTCTGATACATACTGAAGAAGGCCATATATGTGACCGTCAGGCAAATTAAGTGATGGAATTGTAATTATTATGTTAAAATTTAAATCAACAGAAGCAAAAAAAATACCACTTTCAGGTATTATATAAAAGTAATCCAAAAAGTTTTCATCGTCGTTTTCACCTTCGATTTCATTCTCGATTTCATTTTTTTCTTTAACTTTTACTGAACATTTTTCCCAACGAAAAAACATATACATTTGACTATACATATAATTTAAGAGATATATCAGTTAATTCTGATATAACAATGATACAAGAATATTAGAAATATTTAAAACATATTTTACCTGGTATTAGTTATTGAAATTTTCTTAGTTATAACTTCAAATTCTTTTAAAAAATTTCTCTGTATATTTAGATCATAATGAACAACAGATTCCATATCAATTTTTGTCAAGGATAAATATGTCCCTTCCGATTGCTAAAAATTATATTTTTTTTTTTAGAGAGTACATTAAATATTGATTAAAATATATAAATTATTTTCTAATACATACTTACGCTATTAATTTGAAAAGTCTGTGGTTCATACATAATACCATCGCCGATTAATTCAAAGGATTTAACAGAATAATTGTCAGTAATTATGTAGAATGTATCAACCTGAAAATTTTTATTATTATATTAGTTAAGATTTAGTTTTACTATTATGTTAGTTAAGACATTTTTTAATATACATTTTCATATTCATTACATGCATTCCGTATGAATCAGGAAAGAAATATGTATGAATGTATATATCTTCTTGCGTTTTCAAAACAAAATATGCTGGCCATACAGCGAAGCATTGTAAACTGAGTATATTTAGATCTGTGATATCCTATAACAAGAAATAATAATTTATAATTTATATAATAGATTATTTTTCTATCAGATTAATATTATATATTTGGAATATGGCATGCAAATATACATACATGATTACTAAATGATTGTTATAATATATATAAAAAAATAAATTACTTCTATACACATGCTGTACCAATCAATTTCACTTATTAAAATGAATTTTCCATCGGCTCCAATATTTTTAAATCTTATTTGTAAGGCAACCTGTTCACCAACAAAACATTTTCCACATTCAAAAATCATGTCAGAGTTAACAGCACTCATTAATGATCTTTTGTTAGAATAATATTTATTAAACTCTCTGATAGTATTTGAATACTAAAAACAAAAAAAAAGAAAATAAGATTTTATACATATTAATAATATTTATAATATTATACCTCAGTTATACATGAATTGCTAGACACCGTAGTACTCTCAGTTGAATATAAAGTATTTATCTCAGATTCTGCAGACAGTAAATGTGGTATGATAATTCCTACAAATATATAAATATATTAGATAATGTTCTAACAAAATAAAATATGATTTATTATCATAAAAAGTATTTACTTTTCAATGTAGGAGGATCTCTAATACATTGTAATTTAATATTAATTGGTCTTCCATGTTGAACATATACAGTAATAATTTCTTCTTCCTCGTATAAATCATCGGTATAAAAAGAAACAATTAACTTGAGTTGCATTCCCGGGGCAATAAAATTTGTTCCTAATTTTTTATTTTGAATTCTAACTATAAACTTAGAATGACGAGATATAGGCTGTATTTGAAATTTTGTCGAAGTATTACTAATATTTGTTAATATTATTGTCTTCTGCAAACAAAAATAACATATCTTTATAATTATACTTGTAACTATAATGAAGATAATTTAATATAATACACGTACTCTGTATAAAATATTTTTTTGAAAGTTATGAAAACACGCATGATCTGGTTTTGCTATTAAAACTGATCTATATAATTCCGCCCTGTATGTACTTTTTCTGGTTCCACCAAATATCGCATAACACATACGATGTTGCCTTCTAAAATAACGTTTCTATTATTATGATAAAATTCAAGCGATCAGGTTATAAAATAATATACCTTTCTAATATAGATTTCTTTATTACATGATTTTGTGTTATTCTTGGTTTTATTTCTATCATCAAAGGAAGAAATTTCATAAATCCATATCTTTCATCTATTTTAGTTAATTTTTTCTTTATAAATTTGATCTCTGAACTATCATCATCAAGCTCGTTTTCATAAAATTTATCCTATGAAATTAGATATTAAGATATATCAGAATTACGCATTTAAATATAAATACATGATTACTAACAATCCATAATTGCAATGATATTCGATGTAAGATGTAATTAGAACAATGATTTCTTCTACGCTTATGTGACATCTTCCAGCGTGTATTATTTTTGCATGGCACATATTTAGAGTGCAACAATAATGATTTAGAATTCATCTTAACTGCTCTTTATGTATTCAAAAGTTAAAATAATATTAGAATAGATAAGAGCATTATAAAATGTATGACATTTTTTGAGACAATTAACAAATGACTGTCTAGAAATTTCTTAGAAATAATTATATTAATCATTATTATTTTGTAATATTGAAAACATTCAACATTTATAATCTTCCTGTTTTATATTACCATTACTAGTATATTGTATTTTATTGCATAATTTTTTTTTTCTTCTAGCATATTCTTATATTGGAAAGTAGGAATACTAAACATTTGCAAAAAAAAATTAGTTGTTAGTATTGTTTATTTGAAACAATCTTCATATAAAGGATCAGAAATGAGCGTGTATGTACAAATGTGTTATGCAAGTAAAATTCTAGGATTTTATATTTTTTCAATTCTGGGTTGTGAACCAGAATGTATATTCTTTTTTTTTTTTTTTTATGTAATGAAAAGTAAATATTTTCTTATTTTTTTTTTCTTTTTTTTTTTTTCTTTTTTTATAAATAAGAAGATAATAATAATAATAATAATAATTATAATAATGTTAATAATAATAATAATAATAATAATGATAATAATGATAATAAAAATAATAATAATAATAATAATGAAGATAATAATAATGATAATAATGATTATAATTATCATAATGATAATAATGATAGTTATGATAATAAAATAATAATAATAATAACAATAATTATAATAATAATAATTATAAAAACGATAATAATAATAATAGTAATAGTAATAGGAATAATAATAATAATTATAATAATAATTATAACAATAATAATAATAATGGTAATAATAATAATAATAATAATAATAATAATAATAAATTTAATAATAGTAATTATAATAATAATAATAATAATAATGATGATGATAATAATGGTAATAATGATAATAATAATGATAATAATAATAATAATAATAATAAATCAATGCGTATTTAAAAGAAGTAACAAGAAATTTGTAAAAATAAAATATAATTCTGAAGACATGGCCGCTATTGAGATTTTCCTACAGAATTATTTTCATTCAAATACACTTGTATAATTCCTAATGTACTTCATGATTATTGATCTAAGTATTATACTATTTATTAATGTTAGCAAATAATTCTCTCCTATAATTCAAAAAAAGGAATAGGCTTAATAATAAAACTCTGTTAAAGTTCCATTAAACAACTTTGTATTTTTAAATCCTGTAGAGTTTCAGAAATTATAGATGTTGCTTATGAGAGTGCACTTATTTATGTTATAAATAAGCATACATAGTCCATGAAGCACAACGAGTGTTAGAAATGTATGTGATAAGAAATAAAATATATTTAAAGATATATCGTGTAATGTAAGCTATATAGCTTAAATAATAATAATAATAATAATAATAATAATAATAATAATAATAATAATAATAATAATAATAATAATGATAATAATAATAATAATAATAATAATAATAATAATAATAATAATAATAATAATAATAATAATAATAATAATAATAAGAATAATGATAATAATAATAATTAAAAAAAAAAATCATTTCATGAACTTCATATTTTTATGCTTAACGAAAGAATCAATAAAGTCAAACTAGGTTCAAGCTTCAAGCATAATTGTTTTGGTAAAAACACCAATTTTGTAGTACATAAAAAGAATGAGCACCAATGTCTTTGAAATATAATACATCGAATTATGCTCTTTTATACGACACCCTAAATGTATACATCTGGACTTTGTATGCAGAGAGAGAGAGAGAGAGAGAGAGAGAGATAGAGAGAGAGAGAGAGAGAAAGAGAGGGATGAGGGGAGAGAGAGAGAGAGAGAGATAGAGAGAGAGAGAGAGATAGAGAGAGAGAGAGAGAGATAGAGAGAGAGAGAGAGAGAGAGAGAGAGAGAGATAGAGAGAGAGATAATGTTTTGACTAAAGCCTTGTTTGGAAAATATAAAACCCCAGATTATACCTCACTATCCTACAAGTACAACTTACTTCAAAAGCTGTATACTGATGATATCGAAGTTCTGATATTACTATCTTTGTATTATTATTACTATTTGTATAATGGAAATGAATCATAAGAATTAAAATTCCAGAGGGATTGTTCGAAGTTAGGAGAGATGACGAATTTCTAAAATATTTTGGGTTAATATAAAGTCTAAACTTCAATATGTCTGGTACTGAATTTTTACAATTTTACCAGCTACGTTTACTTGCTTAGCTGGAAAATATTAATATTTTTTTTTTTGTCCATTATAATTGTACGAAGTAATCGTTCTTACATATATACAACCCATGGTCACCCTTAAACATAGAAGATTCGTGTAAATATTTCATTCGACACAGGGTTTGTTTGTCATTTCTTTTTTCTTTTTTTTTCCTTCTCTTCACATGTGTCTAAACGATACAAATCTTCATTTGTCGAGTTCAAGCGCAGCATATTGTTCTTCGTCAACTTCAGTCATCATTAAATTTCCATCTGGCAAAAGTAATACCACTCTTCTAGTTCCACCTAATTATAATAAAAATATATTAAAACATATAAATTATAATAAAATGATTGTCTCAAAAAAAAAAAGAAAAAAAAAAAAAAAAAAAAAAAAAAAAAAAAAAAAAAAATTTTATCTATTACCTGGTGTTGGTTCTTCTGCCTGTACAACTTGTGCCACGACTTGTGCTTGCCCATCACTATCCTCTTGACTTCCGGTAACATCCGTAGCATTCGTATTGTCCATTATAGACATTACCATTGGATTTTCGGTAGGCTCTGCGTCACCTTCCTTTACATAGAACTGTGACGTAAGATTGACTTGATCTGGTATTAATTGTGCGACAGCCTCGGCAACAGCATGGTCCAATGTTAAAACAGATCCTTCATCTCCTTGTTGTTCGGTAGTAACATATACACATTGTTGTTCACCATCTGCTCCTCGCGTTACTAATAAGGTTTGACCATCATCAGCTTGTCCAGTTACTTGATATACTACACCATCTTCTCCTGTTATTGTTACTAAATTAGATGTGTCTTCTGTTACTTTTCTTTCTTCTGGCATTTTTTCATCTGGCTTATTTACATCAGTAGATGCAACCGATATAGTTGTAGTTGATGTTACTGCGGCCGATGTTACTCCTGTTGTATTGGTAGATTCACTTACTGGTGTCTCTGTTAAAGATGTTGATACAGTTGTGGTTGATGGTGTTACTGTATTTGTTGTTGTATCATCTAAACAAGGAAGATCTGGAGCAGATACTGCTTCATTTGGTAAATGAATTTGTGCTGGTTCGCTAGTCTGAACAATAGTACCTGTTGTTCCTCCTGGACTCATTTCTACTCTCATAATACCACCACCTTCTGTAAGGGAATCAAGAGAAGGTAACACTAATTCAGCAGTAGTTGTTGTTGCAACGGTGTCTGTGCTTTCCGATGGAGTTGTTACGGTTTTAACATTTGGTAAAGTTGTTGAAGGTGTTGGTTCACTTTCAGCTTCTGCAGGCTGTTCAACCGGTTCACCATCGGGTCCGATTATACGTCCAGTTAACGGACACAAAGTAAATGGTCGTGGCGGGCTATCAGGTTCAGCAGCTGTAATTGTTTCTGCCTCGGGTGGAGGAAGTTCTGGTTCACCTTCGCTACTGCTTTCCTCGGAACCAACTTCGTGAAATTCCATATGAAGTCCGTCCCCTTCTGCTAATTTACTTTCTTTAGGTTTGTTACCTGGAGCAATAACTGTTGGCGATTCAACAGCTTTAGCCTTACCACGTCCAGCCGACGCACGATTACCAGCTAATATGCCACGTCCACCTGGCTTAATCAAACCTGCTGCCTCCTGTGCTTTTCTCTTTGCCATTAACAATTTTTGTTGTGGCGACAATAAAGACTGCGGTTTGCCCAATGATGATTTAGGTGATTGTTTATTTTGTGCAGGACTTCCAGATTTAATAACTTGTTTCCCCTGTGAACTAAGTACCGTAAATTTCGGTCTGACAGGAGTCACCGTTGCAGTACTAGGTGAACTAGCTTGAGTATTTACAACTGTTGTACGTTTCTGTAGCACTTGTCGTGTTTGTTGGCCTTGTAGTTGTCTAGGAGCTGGCGCTCTAACAGGAGTACGAATGGGCGATCCGATACCGAGGACACTAGTTGGGGTAGCTGCACGTAGTGTTGGTCTAGGTAACAGAGGACGACCATCCGCGCCACGCGTTACTGCAACAGGACTAGGTCGTATACCTGTACTTATTCTTGGTTGTAACGTTATTGGAGCTGGTACTGCAGTCACCACATGTATTTGTTGTAATTGTGATGGATCTGGTTTAGGTTGTATTTTAATAGGTTCTGATTTTTGTATACCTCCTGTTTTAGATGCAATTGGCTTAGAAACTACTTTCATTTGTGTTACTACTTGACTTCCATCCATTTTCGAAACTACTTTCACGGGAGTTATTGAGTTTGATTGCGTCGCAGAAATAACTTGTTTTCTTACAACATTAGTATTATCCCGATTTTGTACCATTAAAACACCTTGTGTTGTGGGAGAACCCTTTACAGCTAGTTTTCCACTTGGAGATGAGTCTAATTTTATAATGCCATCCTTTCGAGACATTACATAAACACCAGATGTTAGATTTGGCATTTGTTTAGGATCTACTTTAACAACGCCTTTAGCATTGGCGACTAATACTGGAGGTTGACTTGATTTTGCCCCTTCTGGTGACTGCAGTCCCAATGAAGTTGCAAGATCAGTAGTAGAAACAGTCCTGTTCGAACCATTAGATTGCGCGTTTGCACGGTTAAATGCACGTTGTATTACATCACTACGTCCTATCAGCTTTTCTTCTTCTGATTCTCCAGTCCAATCTTCGTCGCTACCTGTATCACCCTTTGCCCTTTTTGCGGCACTACTGCCAGCTTCTTCAGAATCGCTATCAGAATAATCTATTCTTCTTTTTCCTAATACTGCAATTTTGAAAATATTGTTGCAATATTATCATCATCATTATCATCATCATCATCGTTATTATTATTACTATTATTATTATATTATTATTATTATTATTATTATTATTATTATTATTATTATTATTAGTATTATTATTATTATTATTATTATTATTATTATTATTATTATTATTATTATTATTATTATTAGAATATGACAATGAATGTATATAAAACGTACTGTCACTCTCCTCGTCTTTCATTGAACCACACCACTGTTTTACTTGGTCCATTGCTTTAGATTTACTCGAGCGCATAGGGCGTCTACATATTATAAAAAGAGTAAAACAATGCACTATATAAAATACTTATGTAATAATATTAATATATATTCATTTACATACCCTGCTTGAGCCACATTGCTTGGACCTGGTTTACTAGCATCTGCTGATTTTATTATAGCTTTTTGTGCTGCAACCTTCCCTGATAATTTAGTACTTGCTTGTTGTTGTGCTGCTTTCAGTTCCTTTTGTTTTGCTAAATTTCTTTCAAATTCTTCTAATAAGTACTTGCAAGTTGCAACACTTTCTGCAGGCTCCCATGTATTGCTCTCACTATAAATTTATGTATATTCTTCATAGAGAATTTATATAAATATATATATAAGAAAAAAAAATAGCACTAATTTTAATATATATATATAAAAGAAAAAGATAATGAACTCACTGCGAATAACCTTCCCATTTGAGTAAATATTCTGAACATCTCTTCTTTGGATTAAATCGTTTAGCTAAAATTTTTTCCACAATATATTCTTCATTACTAGAATCTCTATCTTCTTCTCCCGTTGCCTTTGAAGATTTACCCTAAAAAAAAAAAAAAAGAAAAAAAAAAGAAAAAAAAAAAAGAAAAAGAAAGAAAAAGAATAATAATAAAAATATGTAATACTTGTATATACCATATTTATATTAATTAATAATATTACCTTCGGTTTAACAGATGGCTTAAGTTTTGGCTTTTCTTTCTTATCAACTTCACTTTCCATAGATTCTAAACTTTTTTGTGATTTTACTTCAGAAGATCTAACATCTTTTTTTGTATCAGATCCTTCTTCTGGTTGTCCATTTCTTATGACTTTACGTACTACTATTGGCTTTGTTCCTACAGGACGACGAAATTTCATTCAGTTTTAGACAAGGGAATAAATAAGTAGGTAAAAAAAAAAAAAAAATAAATAAATAAATAAAGAAAAAGAAGGAATCTTTTACAAGAAATACCTTCCAAATTAGAATTTGTTTGTCTTGGAACTTCTTGCATTTTTGCATTACTAATTTTAGTAAATGTTTGAATAGTTTTCCCCGCCGTTATCCACGAATCTCTAATATGTGTATCCATTTTACACCATTTTTGATAAAGTTTCCAAGAATTGGTCGAATCCCTATCTGAACCTTCTTGTTGAATTTGTGTGTCTTTCCACAAAAGAAAGGCCCAAACTTGTGCTTTTTGTTCATTCTATGGATATTTGAAAATAATTATTAAATGTGTCATTTCTTTTTTCTTTTTTTTCTTTGAACGATTTACGATAAAATTACGATTACTTTCTGATATACTAACATTAGTATTCTCACGAAAGTGTGATACTTGTGAACAAGCTCCTTCCTTGGTACGATGTTCTTGAAATTCTTCAATAAAATGAAAAACAGAATGACATTGACCACAGACCAAGATATCTAAACGTCCCATTTCTTCTTGTGCAGCTAATATAATACAAATTATATTACAATTTTATATATTACAAAAGCATACAATAAACAAATATAATTTTCAAGTAACTTTATTCTCAATGGATTATTTAATATAGATAACAAAAATAAAATATATAAATAGGATTACCTTTTATACTACTAGGATTAGTATTGATAGCCGATGGGCCATCATCCACTTCCATCTTGTTCAAAATTATATTTGGATTTGCGTTGTCAGCGAATACAGTTTGCTACAAATTAAAACATATTTTTTTCAAACATCTGATGTTAATGATATTAAAAGAAATAAATAATCTTATAATATAATGAAAAGTTTGTGTAAGTTCCAGTACCATACATATACTTTTCTGACAAAACTATATAATATAATATTGTCATATATTTTATAATTAATAATATATTATTGTTACATATAAAATGATTAAAAAAAAAAAATTAACAAAAAAGAAAAATATATAAACAAAACAAAGTGAAATGAAAGAAACTACATATATAATGAAAATAAATACACAATATAGATTATAGTTTTAATGAAATAAATAAATATATATATATATACATATACAATATATATAATATATATATATAATAACATAGATAAGATATACGAAAGTTTATATAAATCGAGCGCGAAAATATAAAATAGGTTGGAAAATATTTCGAAAGAAATTCTATTCCTTTCACTGACCATTTATATACATATATATATATATACACACAGATCTATATGTTAATGTGTGTGTGTGTACATATATATGTGTGTATATATATACATATACATCTTTTCTTTCTATGAATAATAACAACGAATAATTAATAAATTAATAAAGTAAAGAAAAAAGAGAGGAAAAAGAAGAAAAGGAAGAAAAAAGAAAAAAAAAAAAAAGAAAAAAAGAAAAAAAAAAGAAAGAAAAAGAAATTTCAAAGATTCGCGGGTTACTAAAAATAATTTGTACGAAACGGCGCCGGTGAGGATCGAACTGCGAACATTTTCTTTCAATTCGATAGACCGCCAGAGCCGCTCCTATATGTTTTATATGTTCGCCCCGTTTTATACTCTGATATAAATCCTCCACGTCAGCCAGTTCGATCACCGTCGGTGAAGAAGCGCTATGTAAAAGCAAATATACCGTACGCGAATTGGTTTGATTTTAAATGAAACAAATTCCCGCATAAATGATGAAATTTGAAGAGGGACACAGGCACGTATTCATTGTAAACGCGGCCAAGTCGCATGGAGTTACCAACGTACGACGACTTTCGACGTACATATTCTATCGTCTTTTCTCACTCTTTTTCTCTCTCTCTCTCTCTCTCTCTCTCACTACTCACTTACTGAGCACTCTCTCTCTCTCTCTCTCTCTCTCTTTCTCTCAATGTAGATATACATATATACACACACAGAACATACACTTTTTCTCTCTCTCTCTCTCTCTCTCTCGCTCTCTCTCTCTCTCTCTCGCTCTCTCTCTCTCTCTCTCTCTCTCTCTCTTTCTTTCTATCTCTCCCTTCCTCCTTCGTTTTCGCGTTAACGCACGCGGATCACCCGGCTAAAATGGCTTTGGCCTTACGCGAAGCGACTACCGTTAACGGAAATAATTCAAGCGCGTCGTGATATCGCGATTATTTCGGAAAGATGTCATTGCTGCCGCCACACGCGACTCCTTTCCTCTTCTTCTGTCTCTACCACGAGCGAAGAGAGCCGATGCTCGTCGTCAAGATGGCTCTCCTCGCTAAATGCTCTTCCCTCCGTCTAGATTCACTTCCTGTTTTTCCAAGAATACTTTCCGAACGCACTTGAGACACCTGAACGATTATTATTAACGATCATCTCTCGAACCAATGATGACGACTTACGGCCGATAAACCGTAGAAAAATCGGATTTTCACGATCCAGAAAATACCACTAACCAGCACGAGACGGAATGAAAACAGTGATCGCGTCTTCCGACGGTGGCGCCATGGCGCCCGCTAACCGCCAGACCCAATGACGACAATTATTTTGGCGGGAAGCCGATCTTACATTTTCCGACTTTATTATCTTTTATATCGTCGATATTTATATATTTTTATCAGTAAATAGACACATCTCTTTTATATCTTATATTTATGATATGATATAATGTTAATCACATTAATTAATAGACGAAAGAAATGATAATACTTGATAGATTTTTTAAGGATTTTAAATTTACCGCCTTTTACAATCGGACCTGCTGATATTCCGGATGAAAAGAGATAGACCTATATTAATTAATGTCAAGTCGATTCCGATCATATACATATGTAATAGGACTATATATTGTTAGTTCTCCATAACTGATAGTAGGGTCACCGATGAAGTAAGATAGAAAAAAGTTACTTTTTCCGTTGTGCGCAAAGTATTCTGCGCAGGCGGTTAAATATGAAACTGAATCATACACAATCGTTAAATACACATAAAACATACGATACAACATGTAAATATAATTATAAATTGTACCCATTGAAAAAGCTTTTTTTTTCTTTTTCTTTTTTTTTACGATCAACAAAAAATATATTAAATTTTTTTTATTTAATACGTATTGAATTATGTACGAACGTTTTAAGATAAAATTAAAATTAGTTCATATTTATGTATACTTTACCGTAAAAGTGTCTTCGCTTTCTTCAGATATTATTTTTTTCTTCTTCAAACGAGACGACATTACATCTTGTAAAAATTTAACGCGTTTTTTAAGTTTCCTCATTTGATCTTGTAAACTTTTAATACGCTTTGATTTTTGTTGATCTGTCGCTTTTATTAATTTGATAACTCTATTAGCCCTTTTCGGAGATGTAAAATCTGTCACTGTAATTTCCGAAATATAACGAGGTTCAAAAAATATTCGTTGTCTTTTGGAAGTACTGTGGCTATTATCATTTGGTGCTATGGTAATAAAAGTAATGATTAGTTGAAACGATTAAAGGAAAAAAAAAAAGCATTGTTATTAAGTTATCAATTTCAATTTTTAATTTTATTTGCTTTATAGAATTTACCTTTATTATTGGCATCATCGTTTTTATAAGTAAATGATTTATCTTCCACGAGTGTGGATTTAGAATTTTTATCAGAAACTGAAATAAAAGAAAAAATTAATATAAATAAATCAAAAGATAAATTTGCCATTTCTAATAAATATGTTTAAAATATTCAACTCTTTTAGGTTTACCTTTAACTGTATCATCAGTTTCAGACAAAGTATATTTACATCTGTCATTTACAGTCACATTTGTAAATGTTTCTGATGACAATCGATCAACTTCTTCCTCTATGACAAGAGGATTTGTTATAAACATTGAAGGGACTGCTCCAGGTTTAATTACAGATTTACTTCTTCCAAAGGTATTACATTTATTTATATCCGTTTCAGCAAAGTGAATAGAACAGATATAACTATGTGATACATCGTCGTTTAAACTTAATCCGCATACATTTAACCACTTCTGACGTACGGTCAAATGTTTTGGAAAGCTAAAATTGATTATACATTATTGACAATTATAAGAAATTTATTAAATAATTAATAAATATTTCTTATACATTTACCTATGTAATGAAATGTTCTCTGTATTTGACGTTTTTCGATTACATAGATAACACAATTTACCCATCTTTATAAATAAAAAAAAAAAATAAAAAAAAAAAAGTAAAGAAAAGAAAAAAAGAACCAATATATTGTAATAATAAAATATATAAATTATCATAGATTTCGAAGAGTGTATTGAATTAATAAATTTATGACTGCTATAACCTCTAAATAGCATGTTTTAACACGTGAAATAACATCCCCGCTTTCTTTTGAGAAAATTATCGCGCATGCGCATAACGATTAAAGTCCTTTGTCAGATAAAGAGAATGATATTATCTCTACTATAATGTTTTCGTCCTTTTTCTAATCTAACTGGCAAATATAGTCTTAGTACATAAATGGTTTTCGATGACGTCGGTAATAATCCAGGTTCTTTTTTTGCTCTTTATTAATTTTAAATAGTGTTTATTTCTTGTGAATTTTTTAAATATTATTCCATACAGAGTATATTTTTTAATTAAAAAATATGGCTGATGAAGAAGAAGAAAAAGAATACAGATGGGAAACTGGTTATGAAAAAACTTGGTATATATGTTATTATGAAATTTATAAAGACAAAGTTAACCAAATATAAAAATATTTATATGATAGAATTTTATGAATGTAATATATATATTTTTTTTTATATAGGGAGGCAATTAAAGAGGATGATGATGGTCTTGTTGAAGCATCCGTTGCCGATATTATACACAATGCTAAAAGAAAAAGGCAATTGGAAAGAAAAGCTGGCGCCAGATTAGGAATGATGAGACATTTATACATTATTCTTGATACCTCTGAAGCAATGTCAAATCAAGATTTAAAACCAACGCGTTTGCTATGCTCTTTAAAAGTACTTTATATATAAACATTAAATAAGTTTATTTATAGTAATGATTTAATTTATAGTAATGAATTTATAAAATAATTGTAAGCTTTTAGAGGACTTTGTGGATGAATTCTTTTATCAAAATCCTATAAGTCAAATTGGTTTAATTATAACTAAAAATAAAAGGGCTGAGAAAATCAGTGATTTAGCTGGGAATTCAAAGAAACATATTAAGGTTGGTATCATAAGATATCAAAGTATAATAATGGTCTTTATATTTTCTATAATTTTTCTAGGAAATAAAAGCTTTACAACAAACGTCATTAGCCGGTGAACCATCTTTACAAAATTCTTTAGAATTAGCTATAAAATCGCTTAAATTATTACCATCACATGCCAGTAAAGAAATAATAATAATAACTGGTTCACTTACTACATGTGATCCTGGAGATATTACCGAAACTATACAAGTAAATGAATTTATTTATTAATCTAAAATAATATACTTCAATGCAATAATAATTAATTTGATTTTAGGCTATGAAGTCGGATGGTATAAGATGTAGTGTAATAGGTTTAGCCGCAGAATTATATATTTGTAAAAAAGTTGCGACTATAACAGGCGGAGAGCATGGCGTTGCTTTAGATGATAAACACTTTAAAGAACAATTAAATGCACATATTGATCCACCACCTGCTGCTACTAGATTAGATGCTGCACTTGTAAAAATGGGTTTTCCACATCACTCATTGCATTCTTCCAGTACAGATACTTCAATAGCAGTATGCATGTGGTATGTACAATTATATTTACATATAATTATAAATGATTTAAAAATTATACTTTAATATAATCAATTATAGTCACGCAGAAAACTCGGATGGATCTGTAAAATTAACAAGTACTGGTTTCCTTTGTCCCCAATGTCTAAGTAAACATTGTGAACTTCCAGTCGAGTGTAGGGCATGCGGTCTCACTCTTGTTTCTGCTCCACATTTGGCAAGATCATATCATTACTTATTTCCAGTTGCGCCTTTTAAAGAATTAGATTATGAGAATGAATTTACAATGTGCTATGGATGCCAAAAAGCATTATCACAAAAGGATAAAAAGGTATTGACAAAAATATTGAAAATTTTATTACATTATATATATAAATATATATATATATATCATTTTAGATCTATGTTTGTGAAAAATGTTCAAGAGTTTTCTGTATAGATTGTGAAATTTTTATACATGAGTCATTGCATACATGTCCAGGCTGTGCGACAAATCAAACGACATATCAAAAATTTACAGATAAATAAATTGATATTATAAATAATGTCGCGTCTAATAAGTTTTGTTATTAATTAACAATTTATATTCGTGTATATAGATTTTATTTGATCACAGATTAATAATATCACATTCCATCGTTTTTGTAAGTATTTAATAAATAAATAAATAATGTTTCTACTTTGTTTTTTTTTGTTTTTTTTTTCTTTTTTATTTTTTTTTTCTAACGTATAATAAATTTACACGATAAATACATAATGAGAAAATGTTTTGATGTAACAATGAATAATCCAGATGTCTTGAAATATCTTATGTATTCGCAGATTTTCATAGTTCTCGTTTGAATACAAATGTCCTTCTTCTCAATCACAGTGGGAGTAGTCAATTCAATTTTATTAGCATCTAGACAGGTGGGAGAGAGAGGAGAGAGAGAGAGAGAGAGATAAAGAGATATATATATATATATATATAGAGAGAGAGAGAAAGAGAGAGAGTCGTAATATTACTGTACTTATTAGTTCACAGTCGTCCTCTGGTGTGACCGGTTCGAGCGTGATTGACCTAGTCTCGCGATTTTATTATATGTTGACTACGTGTGCGCGCGCGATCCCATATATTGATTAAATTTATCTACATATGAAATATTGTTTGATCACATTGTTTCTCTATTTAAAGGGCATCTTCAAAATTAGGTAAGTGAATTCAGATTATCTATTAAATTATATTTTTATTTTGTATTATTAAATATATATTCCATTGATTCATTGTTTATATTAAACTTTAATATACTTAAATCATAATATTGTATATCAAAGTTTTACCATTATTTATTTATTTATTTATTTATTTATTTATTTATTTATTTATTTATCCTTTTATTTTATTTTTTTTTATTTTATTTTTTTTTTAAATAAATAAATTTTCACACATTATTATGCATATACTTTTACGTGTATACATTGATATTAATATTTATATATTCAGTCTTTGGAAAATTTATCTATTCATATAAGTACTTAAAAAAAATTATCTCTAAAAAAAAAAAGTAGGAAGGCATAAATCATGATTATCATGACATGTAGATATGGCATGATCGATATGACGATAATGTTAACAAATAATTAATAATTTTAATAAATTAAAACATGAAATTGACATTTTTATTTTCGCTATATAAACGAAGGTAAACAAATTTTTTAAATATTATTATTAGATATAATTATATATATATATATATGGAAAATATAAAACTCAATTGAAATATATTATTCGAGGATATCAAATATATAACTGAAAGAGAAAGTTGTTTCTCAATCTCTCTTTCTCTTTCTCTTATTATATTGCTGTTATTGAATATAAAAAAATATACACATATATTTCTTTATCGTTAGAAACGAAAATTTTCGATAAATATATATCGGAATTTTCGAAACACCGAATATATTAAATATTCATATCAAGATCAGCAGCTTTCTCTTCTATCAAAGATAAGAATTATCTCTCTTTATTGTTGATACATCTTATTTCAATTGACACATTTTATAATTATAATCTCTTATAGATTATTTTAATCGCGCGTTCTGAATACTTTATTGTTACGAAAGAAAAAAAGAACCAAAAAAGAAAAAAAAAAAAAAAAAAAAAAGGGAAAAAAAAGAATGAAAAAAAAAGCAATGCACAAAGAAATTCAATTATTATTATAATATATTGTCATTTTTATTTATCAGATAATAATAATCACAAAATTATGTGTTCATTCGATGAATTCATTGAATGTACATACATACATTCTCTTTCCTCGAGGTCATACCTTTTCCAAACGTTATTTGCTGAAATTCTGTTAAAAGGTACAGTGTACATAACGAGAAACGTAATTTTTATTATAATAATTCTTATCTTCTACAAATATTTTATATACATGCACATGCACGCAGACGCACACACACATCAATTACAAATAAAGATTAAAATTTTGTTTATATACATTCAATTAATTATTAATGAAGTATATTCATTTATCATTATTAATTTATTAGCCTTATTTATGATTTAAAATGTTTCCATGCCATATGTCTCTCTTAATCGAATTAATAAATTTACGAAACTAATACTATTTCTTCGAGTGTACTTCTTTTTTCTTTTTTCTTTCTTTCTTTCTTGTTTTTCTTTTTCTGCTTTTGTTTTTGTTTTTGTTTTCCGTACTTATCTATTTATGAAAAGTCAGCTAAGGAAAACAAGTGGTCATTTAAAAATATCAGTTACTTAAGCGTTACTAACTAAAAAAAAATAATGCGTTGTATGTCGTGGAAAAAAAAAAAAAAAAAAAAAAAGAAAAAGAAAATTGTTTTCGTTGAATTAACCTTAACTATTATATAACGTTTAAATATCATTTTTATTTGAATGTGAACATTTGAGAGGTGAAATATGTTTCTAAACGTGATTGTGTAAACTTAATATAACGATCAATTGCGCAAATATATTTACGAGAGTCGATTTCGAATTCCTTTGAAATAATTTCGTGTATTTGTACAAGGATAAAAAAAAGAAAAAGAAAAAGAAAAAAGAAAAAAGAAGAGAGAAAAAATGAAGAACTGTTTTACCTTGGACTATTTCACGCAGAAAATTTCTTGGATGTTAAATAGATGACTAACTCTCTACGTGAATGTTACGTATATATACGTGGTGATCCAATTTAAATGGACTCCTGACGATTTATATTAATCGTTTAATAATGTTTATTGTTTCTTTAAAAAAAAAAAAAAAAGGAAAAGAAAAGAAAAACGATATCAACAATTGTATTCATTAATTACATCAATGTGATTTAGTTTAATCGATTGGACCAATAAAAAGGAAAAAGAAAAAAAAATAGAATAAATAAATAAATAAATAAATAAAATAAAATAAAGCAACGTAAGATCATGGCGAAATCAACGTTGTAAATATAGTTACAGGCCGATAGGTCATTGACCTTGACGGATCAGTTTATGTAATGCAAGAGAAATCCTTAATTACAATTTCTACAATTAGTTTCTTCTTTTAATAATAAAATAATCTTTTTTTTTTTATTTATTATATAGACATATCGATTGATCATTATATCATTAAGATACAAGGATTATAATCTCAAATGTATGAATTATTATATAAATAAGTTTATAAAGTTTATACAGTTATAAAAAACGAAGAAAGGATTAATCGTTATGGCAGCGAATCGCCTGTGGAGAACATTGTCACGTAAACGTATTGATGATGATCAAGAGGGCAAGGGCGAGTTGGCAAGAGTTCTAAATATATTTGATTTAACTGCCCTTGGAGTTGGTGCTACTCTTGGTTTAGGCGTTTATGTTCTAGCCGGGAGTGTTGCAAAAGAAACAGCCGGACCAGCCGTTTGTATTTCATTTCTTATTGCTGCTATTGCTTCTGCTTTTGCTGGTAATATTTTAATATATACAATTCTATTAATCTAATTGTCCATTTCGTATAAATTTTCTATATCTTTTGGACTTTGGAATAACTTTTGGAATGTTTTCCTTTTTATATAAAATTACTATGACTTTAATAGTTGATTTATATACAATATCAAATTCTATAGGAATGTGTTATGCGGAATTTGCATCAAGAGTACCAAAAGCAGGATCAGCTTATGTTTATAGTTATGTAACAGTTGGCGAATTTATAGCATTTGTTATAGGTTGGAATTTAATATTGGAATATGTTATCGGTATGTCCATTGTTTTGATCTTAATTATAATTTTCTATTGTAATTATTCCTTTGACAAGGTAATTATTATTTTTTTTTTCTAATTTAGGTACAGCAAGCGTTGCTCGAGGTCTTAGTAATTATATTGATGCATTAATAGGAAATGTTATGGGAAAAACTTTGCAATCTATCATGCCTATAGAAATTTCTTTCTTATCGGAGTATCCTGATTTTTTTGCATTTGGCATGGTTATGTTACTTGCTCTTTTGCTTAGCATGGGAGTTAAAGAATCTTCTTTTTTAAATAATGTATTCACTGTCATCAATCTTCTTACAATTCTTATCGTTATAGCAGCAGGTTCTATTAAAGGTAAATAAAATTTTTTATGAAATTGAATTTAAATCTTGACATCTGATTTTAATTGTTTGAACTTTTAGCCGATCCGAAAAATTGGTTCATTTCGATAGATGATATTCCTAAAAATGTAACGAATGCTGGTACTGGTGGTTTTATGCCATTTGGAATAACCGGTGTAATGACAGGTGCAGCAAAATGTTTCTATGGCTTTGTGGGTTTCGATGCTGTTGCTACAACCGGTGAAGAGGCAAAGAAACCACAACGTAATATACCCTTAGCCATTGTTTTGTCTCTTATTATTATTTTGGCAGCATATTTTAGTATTTCTACTGTATTGACCATGATGTGGCCATATTACGATCAGGTATAATGTTTTACACTGACTGCAAACAAACTTATGTGTAAGTTAGGTGATTTACCTGCAATATATTTTGCAATTTTTTATTCGCTAATCGTAACATTTATAATCATGTGAAATTAGAATCCTGATGCTCCATTCCCTTATGTTTTTCAACAAATTGGATGGCCAGTCATCCAATGGATTGTCAATATTGGAGCTATTTTTGCTTTATGTACGAGTTTATTAGGTGCTATGTTTCCTTTGCCACGTATATTGTATGCTATGGCAAGTGATGGGATTATATTTATGTGGCTTTCTAAAGTACATTCTAAAACCATGACACCAATTTTGGGTACAATACTTTCTGGACTACTTGCTGGTTAGTAAAAATATATAAAATATGATTATGAGATGCATATATATGTATATATATATATATAATTATTTCAATATACTTTTTTATTATGACAGGAACTATGGCTCTTTTTTTTAATCTTCATCAATTAATCGATATGATGTCTATTGGAACATTATTGGCATATACTGTAGTAGCAATATCAGTATTAATATTAAGGTTGGTTATGACTTGTTTTGTGATCAAAAAAAAGAATAAAGCAAAGGAAAAACTTTATAATGTTAAATAAAATACTTTGTAATTTTGAATCATAGATATCAAAAAGAAAATGATATTATGCCTGAAGTGACAATGAATGGTTATGAATTTACAGCAATGAATATATTCAAGCAAACATTTAATTTAAATAATCATAAGGATCCATCACATATTTCCAGTATAGTTTCAAAATGTAGTATAGCTAGTTTTAGTAAGTATTCTAAAAGAAATTTCTTATAAATATTTTAACAACATTATTTTAATTGAACATGATTTTAATTGAAATCTTTTGTTTTAGCCCTCGTTTTATTTATACTTATTATTATATCAAATTATGTTGAATTTGATATAACAAATGGCAATGTAATAGTATTTGTAATAATAATAATACTCGCATTTATATTAATATTAAATCTAGCATCTATTGGTAGACAACCAGTTCAACAAGTCGAACTCTCTTTCAAAGTATATAACACAGTATATTATTATAAATTATTAATGTATTATATCAATAACGAATCCTTTTTTTTTACTCAGGTTCCATTTCTTCCATTGATACCATGCTGTAGCATTTTTATAAATCTTTATTTGATGTTGCAATTAGACATGTTTACATGGATTAGATTTATCGTGTGGATGTTAATTGGTAAGTTGCTTGAATAAAAAAGGAAAAAAATATGTATATATATATAAATTTAAAACATTTATAATTTCAGAAATATATATTCTAATATTATTTATATATATATATATTTATAGGTTTTTCTATTTATATATTTTATGGAATTTCTCATAGCGTTCAGGGAAAAAAGAATAAAATTGAACTTAATATAATGAAACAAAAAAATGCGGATCAAAGTGGAACCATAACAAAATTTTAAATATATGATATATAATAAATAATTTCACAGCCACATAAAGCCACAATAGAATAACCTCGTTTATATATTAATTTTTAATATATTTTCAATTTAAAGTATTTTATATAAGATAACAATGATTATTGTGATATATTTCTATTGTAATATTAATTTATATAAAAAATATTTTATTGATATTATATTTAAATAGTATATAAAAAAAAATCTTTCGATAAGAATTTTAAGGACTTACCACTTACACCGGTTGCCCAACCTGTCTAATGACAGATAATAAATTAAAAAGAAAGGAGAAAGCATTTCTCGTAGTACTCCTGGCGCCATCTAGCGTTATCAGTTTGAATAATATTTTCGCGCCTTTTATTGAACGAACTCCACCATCGTTATGTGTTCCTGTTACAAATCGAGCATTTTTGCGACAATAAAGTGGCCGATTATAAACACTCATATATATATATATATAGGATATAATAGCTATGGTTAAAACGTTAAATATTTTTATTCCTTATTATTAAGTATTATAAGCAAACTTTTAATATATTATATCGTTCTAGAAAATTTGGAAAATATTTCCAAGATATTGAAATTTGTTTAAAATTTATTCCCAAAGGCCACATGAAAAATTCATATTTTTAATGAATAAAATAATTAATTACATTTACAAGCAATCTTTATTATTATGTATTATAAAGATTTTTAAATTTTTGTTTATACTAATCTTTAAGTTATTAATAATTATTATCAAACACTTTATATGTAAACATATCATTATTTTAATGCTGTAAATTTTTCAGTATGTATATCTTAAAAATTGTTATTATAAAGTAATAAAATAATATATATATGTATAAATGTGTATAGAGAGTGAGATAATATAAAAATATATGTTCAAGATATGATAGCATTATTGTGTTTATTGCAGTACATTATATAGAAGATAATCACAATTTATTAATCACAAGCATAATTTTTCAAAAATACATACTGCTTTCATACATACAAATTGTTCAAAATTATGATTATTATATATTAAGTGATGTTGATATTACTTTTTAAAATATTTAAATTATTCATATTATAAATTATATTTCGTTCTAAGAATTTTCCAGTTGCAAAATCTGATCCCCTTTTTTTTTTATTCTCTAAGACCTATAGTTTGTAAAAATAGTATGATTATAAATTAAATAAGTATATTTCGATTCTACAATTTGAAAGAATATTTAAATAAATAATTCTCCATTTGTCATTATACGTATTTACTTGCATAAAAGCAAATCTATGTTACAAATACGACTAATAATAATATATTAATTTAATTTATAATATATTAAAATAATTTATTATTTTATATATTATAAATAATTATCACATACATATAAAAAAAAAAAATTAAAAAATTACAAAATTAAAAAATAATACTTTCCTGTATTATACGGAATGTAGTTAATGTATGAAATTTTCATACTATTTGTCATTTACCTTGTGTGTGTATATATATAAAATGTTATATATATATATATATATACATAATGAAAACATATTTGAAAAATTTTTTTTATAAGCAATTAATTTCTTCTATTTATTATACCTCCAGTGCTTACATGCTGCCAATTTGCCTGTTAATATTTTATTGATATTATATTTAAAAATATATATATAAAAAATCTCTGGGAGATTAAAAAAATTTGTCAAGACTTACCCCTATACCAGTTGCCCAACCTGTTCCTGCTGGATTTTCATTAGTTACACCAATTCTTCGACATATTATACCAGCACCAGAAACCGCCCACACTTGTCCTTCATCTTTGGCAACAGAAATATGTCTAAACCCTTGCTTTGAATTTATAACTGAGATATCTAATAATAATAAACATACATTTTTTATATGTAAATATTGTCACCTCCATTGAATAATAAAAATATATAAAAGTATATAATTTATATTTACCTATATGAATAGGATCATTTGGCATTGCTGGCAATGTTTGCCAATGACTACCCTCTGGGAAAATATTTGCTTGTATATCACGACGAATAGATAATCTACCTGTTGTGTCTAAAGCCCATACAACATCTTTCCCAACTGAGATTTGTTTCAATTGAGCTCCTGATGGTGGTTCAACATTTTGCCATTGCAGACCTAATATATATATATATATATATATTTATATAAATGTATTGTATTAATAATTATTCTAAATATAAATTCATGTATTATATTATACCTGTTGGTTTAGTTAGGGTAACACCGAGTCTCCAATAAGAAGAACCATTTTTTCCAACTGCCCAAACCTGTCCATTTGGCCCACAAGAAATACCTATTAATGGTTGATCGCTTGGTATATGTTCCCATGATACACCCTATGTTATAAGAAAATATATTATATTTCTTTAAAAAATGTATTAATATTATTACATTTAAATATTCTTACCATTGGACAAGATTCAGAAACACCACGTCTAAATAAAGCTTCCCCATTGGATGCTACTGCCCATACATGTATAAGAGAATCTTCACCGGGTTTACTAGCCGTCTATAAATGTATATTAATAAAAATAATTACAATATTATTAGACAGAATTAATCTTTATATTAAAAATGTAAATGATAATTCATACATATAAAGAGACATCAACTAATTTTGTATTTCCTAACTCTTGCCAAGGACCACTCGTACTAAGTTGACATTTTCTGTACCATCTTCTTCTTCTTACGTAATCAGTAAATTGTTTTTTTCCATGATACTGCGATGGAAAATCTGTGGCATATTGCCATCCATCTCTGTCAACACCTCCGGGAGTATGAAAGTCAGTAATCCAGTCGGATATCTTTCATTAAAATAATTATATTATTATTCATTTTTAAAGATAAAAAAAATATATATATACATATATATTAATAATTATGTAATATATATTTTACCCATTGCCAATGCATTGATAATAATTTCGTATGTTCCCGTGTTCGTTTATGACGACCAGTTACATCGCTCCACATGTAACGATCCGTAGGAAGACCATGAGAAGTATATCCTGTTACTGGATTCCAACGTTGATTTTCATAGACAAAATAATTATGTATATCTACCATAGTATTTATTCCGGTATTACAAGTTCCTAATCCTTTCAAAAATGTTCCTCCCCAACCATTAGTATATACCCAGGCAGTATTATCGTATCCTATACCCCATGTAACACCAACAGAACATGTTTCAACTTTTTTCAAATGTCCACCCATTTGTCTCCAAAACATTGTTATTGGTTCGATTATAATTGACCTAGATTTATATAGAATACTGCACAACGTCATTAATCCTTTTATTCGTAAATGTGTAATATTTTGTGGTGATATTCTATGACTATAAAATGTATATTCCGTGTCGTTAATAAAAATTCTATATCCTCGTTCTTCGCAAACAATATTTAATATAAAATCAGAGCCTGGTTTTAATGGACTCCCACCGTTTCTTTCTTCGTCGCCCCATTGTCCATTCTGATACGTGTTTCTTATTATTAAATTTTCTTTAAGACGTGGATTAAAATGCAATGCCACGTCGTGACAATCCGTAATACCTTTTTGTTTCAAAGATGTTGTCGTATAACATACTAAATTAAATGAAAGTCTGTCGGCATCGTCGTGAATGCATACTGTTATTTTTAATGAACTCCCATATCCAAAACTATTTTGTAATATACTTTCGAACGGTAAATCTTTACCAGCGGCATCTAATTCCTGTACATAAACGTCTTCGGAAAATTGATTTTCCTCTATTATCGCAGGATCATATACGTAAACATCTCCTAATGCATTGGTGATCCAAATTGAATTAGGACTTGGTTTTCCATAGATATTATTTGTCTGACAAGATACAGAAGTTAAATGTGCCAGCCAATCTTCCATATCCGTATCACTTGCAAATTGTAATGTAAGAACTTTAGAGCGTATTAATTTTGGTGTATGAATAGCTATACGCGGATTGCCTGGTTCGCTGCAGCAAACAACACAAGTTATTTCAGATATTGGGAATTGCATTAGAATTGTAGCACCATCGGAATTTAAAATTGTTAAAGTTCCAGAATCCAATGATCCGCTATCGCTACTTATCCATTCTAATTCAATAATACAATCCTCGTACATGCTACTACCTTTAACTTTACATCTTGCATCACCATTTTTAACCCAAGATGATTTTTCTATAGCTTTCTCATACTTAGATAAATCTAAATCTATCCCTTTCAATCTATTTTTTAATTCCTCCAAAATGTGTATCCTCCATGGTTCAGCAATTTCTCCGTGCGTTACACCATTGCTATCTGAAATCCATTTTGGTGGATTCAATAAATCCATATAACATGCACCGGCTTCTACTTTGTACCACGAGGCATCGCATTCAGCCCAATAAACTATTGCCGCACTTTCGTCCTCTCCGTATACACCAGAATCACCAGTTAAATCAGGATCAAATATACTCCCGTCTGTTTCTGGATGTGCTTCTATACCAACCATAGAGCCAACAGAATGTACAGGACTCCAAGCAGCTGGATTGACCTTGACTGTACTGCTCATACCCTTACCAGAGACAACTATAGATTCCCCAGTTTTAGTTAATGATTCATTTGATATAGTTATATTTGCTACATTTGTTTCCGTGTAGTCACTCATATTTAATGAATTTGCCGAACGTTTTTTCTCTTCCGTAGTATATATATCCTGGCAAGATGTTTGTTGAGAATTTTTAGTAACCGCAGTATCATTAGTACGTTGCCATAACTTCAAAGATGTTGGCGTTGGTGCTGATCTTGATTGTTCCTCCCATTCTCTAACCAATGTTGTTCCTTCGCTAGTACTATGAGGTCGATTTAAAGAGCTCCAACTTTGATGACGTTGTTGTTGTGGTGTACCGCACATACTATGTCTATTACTCGAGGATAAACTCGCATTGCTACTGGCTCTACTTAATTGAAGAGGAGCATTAATTAATCTCCATTTTTTCCCTGTTAATTCTGATCGTGTTATACCCATACGATAATAAAGACATCTATCTTCATAACCGATAGCCCAAACCTGATCGTTTGGAGCAACAGATACCAATGCCATTTTGCTTCCCATTTCAACCCATCCAGTTCCAGCTGCTAATTGTTCACACACGCCGCTCATCTCACCTTTAATACCTTTCCGAAACCATACATTACCATCGTGTGTAACTGCCCAAACAGCATCTGTACCTACACTAACTTGTATTAATCTTAAATCTTTCTGCGGTGGTTCCACTTCTGTCCAATCATCACCCATTGGATTCTCTCGGGTAATCCCGGTACGAATTATAGCTTTTCCGGCTAAAAGAATTGCCCAAACAAGACCCGTCACTCCTACACTTATTTGACAGACCTCATGTCCGTTATTTAATTTAATAGAACTCCATCTTTGGCCTTCGGGACATGTTGTACTTGTTCCAACGCGGAACATCACCTATAACATAAAGATATAGATATTTAATTTTATATCTATGCGTGATTATAATTTAAAAATTGAAATATAATTTACCCTTCCATGAGCTGTTACCGCCCAGACTACTAAACCACCAGGATTACCACCAGGCATTTGATTTCCACCGACAGCTACGTCGATAAATGGTTCCTAAAGCATTTTGAAAAGAGTCTACATAAATGTCTTTATAAGTTTATGATTGTTTAGTATATATTAAAAATCATTACTTTGGTTGGATCTTTGTGAAGTGGTGCAATAGCACACCATGAGTTCATAGCACTGTATCTTCTATATCGGACCCATTTGCGCCTTCTGACACAAGATTTCCATTGTTTTTTCGCTGAATATGTTGCTGGAAAATCAACTGCATATGTCCAGCCCTACCAAAACATCAGATTCTCTGTGATCATAACTCTTTGTCTTGTTGTGGACGATTGATAAAAAATCTACATGTAAATAAAAATTTGTAAGATATAATCGTAATAAAGAAAAAGAAAATAATATTAATGGTAGCCGATCCTTTACACGATTAAAATAATAATTAAATTGATGAATATATATATATATGTGTGTATGTGTAAAATCTCATTATATACATTTTTTTTTCTAATATAATAAAGAAAAACGAATGAACCAATATAAAGATATTAAATTAAATAGAAGAAGAAGAAGAAGATATATAAAGAAAAAATAAAAAATATTTTAGTACCTTTACGATATTAGTTATGTAAAATTTGTTTCACTTGTTAACTTGTATAGCATTTGTATATATTTACATCGTGATCTAATGGTTGACCATCCAGCGTTGTTTCAATGTGCCAATCTCCTTCCCATTGCCAAGCCATAGATGGAAGTTTAACTTTATCTCGACTGCGATCGACAGTACCATCTTGATTAGAAAAATTATATCTATCTGTTGGTAATAAACGTCCACTAAATCCGTCTAAAGGTAGCCAGCGCTATAATTATATTAAAGATGAAAACAAAAATTAAGATATCCATTTGAAGGAAAAAAAAAAAAAAAGAAAAATATTTGTTTTATAATATACCTCATTTTCATAAGTTTCTTCTTTAATTCTTATAGGTATATCTAAGCCGTGAACGTGAACGTAAACTTGACGATCACCGCCAATTGCCCACATAAAATGAGGCACGGCTGAAAGTTGTTTAAATTCAAGTCCTAAATACATAAATTCACGCCACATAGTACCTGACGTTGATAAGCCAAATACACGTCCCTCATTGTTTATAGCATATAAATAAGAACTAGGCATTTTAATTGTTAATGTTACAAACTTAAAAAGATTTATTTTTAATTGTAAGATTTTCCTCTCTGTAATAAAATTCACATATAATTCGTATGAATCATTGATGTATGATAAATAGATAAAGATCAATAAGAAAATTATTTCATACCAATTATTCGCCGAATATTATCAAATATTACAGAATCAACTTCATTACAATTAATGCTTTTTAAAAAATCTCGTCATATTTACAATTATATTAGCAATATAAATATAATCGGTTTTTTTTTTTATAATTACAAAATATATTTTCCTCGTTATATAAAGTAGAAAACTATATATACTGCGGAGAAAATAATTATCTATCCGATAAGTACAGATTATATGATATTATCTTATAGTTCTTTTTTTTTTTTTTTTTTTTTTTTTTTTTTTTTTTTTTTTTTAATTTTTTTTATACTGTCATTGTTATGTTTATAAGAAAAAAATACGATCGAATGAAGAGATTAGATTCTTATGTCAAATAACACTATAAGAATCTCGTAATACAATTTTATGTATATATACATATATATGTATATATACAATTTAAATGTTACACTAATTCAGCACAACATGATCACTATTAATCACTACAATTACACTAAAATAAACTCATCGAAGAAAGTGAAAGTATTATCTATTGTTTCTAGTTATCTATTTGCGGCCATTAATGCATAACGATGAAGGTTCCCTTTTCATGTGGCTGAATTTTCCTTTCTGTACTTATGTTAACCTTAATACCGATTCTTATACGTATATTCTACATAGAAAATTATTAATATATTTATTAGAAATGTTTGTATGCAATGAGAAAGATAATAAACCAATCATATTTATTCGCAAACAAACAACGAACCAATCATAATGTTTCTTTCGTTGACCAATCGCTATGGTTATTTACAAATGTGATAATAGATTTGTTAAAAATTGGCAACACTGTGTTAAAGGAAAATTACTTTTTAATTCAAACCATATGATAAGTGAACATGTAAACTCTTTTTAAACGCGAAAACTTATAAATTAATATTTTCGATAGTTTTTAATTAATCGCAGACTAAAAGTCCTACGAAGGAATGCGCTTTCATTATTCAAAATTTGGAAAACACGAATATTGGAAAACACGATAAACGCATGATGGACATAGCGTTCTCCATTTGTATTCGTAGTTTATATTTTGTTCGTACATGTCGCTGTAGTCGCACGCGTTTCAAACGCGTTTCAAACGAATTTTTTTAGTTAAATAAATCATCAAATAAATAATAATGGACGAAATAAAAAATCTACAAGATAAATATCAGAGTATTACTGTGGCACAACTTGGAGAGATTATAAATAAACGTGGAAAGAAAGTAAATCAGGTTATACATGAACGAGATCAACAATTAAAGGGTAAATGTTATTTGTTCAAAAATTTTTGAAAGATTAATTTTTTCTGATTATTGTATTTTTTTTCTTTTTTTTTTTTTTTTTAGAAAATGAAGAAAAACTTGAAAATTTGATGTCTGAATTGGTAATATTGAAAGAAGATATTCATACCAAGCAACAAGTTTTAGAACAGAAAAACAAAGAATTGTCAAATCATAATGAACATTTTGTGAGTTATATTTCTTTTATATTATTTAATGTGAATTATTTTATACAGGCATAATACTTACGTATATAAAATTAATATTTTCAGGCCGAATTAAAAGCGGAATACAATAAATTTATGGAAGAAAATACAAATTTGCAGATCAAGAAAAATCTTTTAAAAAATACTAAACCAAATCAGCATGATCAATTATTATTAGAAACAGGAAGGTATGTAGCTATTTTTAAAGAATAATAAATAAATATAATTGATTTAACTTAAGCTTTATATTTTTCAGGAAGAAGCTTCGCATGTATAAAGAGTGGACCGGTATACATTGGGATTATAGTAATCTAAAGGACAATATAGTAGGATGTATCCTTTTTTATTATTAAATAATAATTTGTTTCACATCACATTAGATTATTTCTCCTTTATTATATTATCAGATGTAACTAACAAAAGTGACTATATACATCATTTTAATTTTGCCAAAGATGAAAAGGATTCCGAAGAATTATCCAATCTTTTATGGCACGAGGTTTATCTGTCTGTTGAAAATAAATTAAATGAAAATAAAAAGAGTTCTATCGCAAATGAATAAAATATTAAAGGTTAGAAAATTATATAAATGTTATTCCTTCATTAATGATTTTGTGCCTTTGAAATTGTTCCTTTTTTTCTTTCTTTTTGTATTTGATAATATTAAGTATAAAAAAAAAAAAATAATGTCAACGAAAAGATATATTTAATTTGAATAATATAATCTCGAATTTTTATTGATATCCAATGTACATAAACAACAACGTGTGTTCAACAAATGGCAGTAGTAACAACAGCGCCTCTATCGACTATATTTTACATTACACACAATTATAGTCTTACCTCACGTGTAAAAAAATCCTCCACATTTACAAATGGAAAACAGTATCGTGAATATGGTTATGTTGATATGACGACAATACGAAGTATTTGCATCATTGTTTATAATTATGAATATACGATTAAAAAGTTTTAATTTATAATAATGCAAGATTATTATATATATATCTTTTGGTGATATAAGTATTGGAAGTATTAGTTTATTATTACTTTTTTTAATACAGAAACAAAAAATATTTCAAATAAACATGGGCAGTGATACACAAATAGCAAATATAGTAAACGACATTTTAGTAAGTACTCTATATTTTCCAATAATTTTCTATATATATATATATATATATATATACAGAATGAAGAGAATTATTTTTATTGTTAAAATAATCTTGATGTATTTACAGAAAGTGGAAGCCATAGAGGAAGCATTCAGTTGCGTACTTGTACATAATCCTAACAATGAAAAAGAAAAAATATCGACATGGCAATCAGAATTAACAACTGCAATGACTGATCTGACGGTCGAACAACAAGAAAATGCAATACGTCAGTTTCTTACAACGGCAGCCGCTATGACAAATCACAGACGTTTGCAATTATTATTATCGTTACTTGAGAATTTGGTTTCGACAAATGTTCTACCGGCGAGGTGATATGAAAATTAAAATATTTATTTATTTATTTGTTTATTTATTTATTCTATTTGAAACATATATATTAAATAAAATAATATTACAGATTAGTATGCGAATGTATTCTAAACTGTGATAAATTACAATATCAATTAGAAGATTTTTGGGTAGAATGTTTCCTTCTTATTCGACATATTATTGGAGGAGTAGATTACAAAGGGGTCAGAGAAATAATGAAAGTAAATATTATTATATCTAATATTAATATTATATTAATATAATTATTTCTATAAATAAATATATTTAATATATTATTATAGGGTTGTATAGAAAAAGCTCAAACAATACCTGCAAGATTAAATGCATCTATTCAGCCACAATTAAAAGCATTAGAAAATGTTATCGAATATATTTTTGATAGAAATGCCTGTTTATTACCAGGATATTTCATTGTTAACGAAATTCAAAAGGCTTATCCAGATCATAAAAATTGGCCACATTGGGTAAGTAAAAAAAATTTATAAGTTTAAATAATATATAAATATTTGATAAGTATTTTTTTTTTACAGAAATTAGCAAAATTATTATCAAATTTTGTGGAAAGTTTTCGAACTACGGCACAAATGGTTTCCATTGTGGGACATTCAAAAATGTTACCGGTCGTAGAACATACAGGTTATGCCGATCATTTAATAAATCCTTGGTTATTAGATCCTACTACATTAAAGTTTTCATTGAAAGGAAATCTTCCATATGACCAAGATTTACTAAAACCTCAAACCGAGTTATTAAGATACGTTTTAGAGCAACCTTATAGTAGAGACATGGTATGCTCAATGCTTGGTCTCCAGAAACAAGTATGTGTGCATAAAAAAAAAAAAAAAAAAAAAAAAAAAAAATATAATAAATATTAATTTCATTTATTATTTATAGCATAAGCAAAGATGTATAGTACTGGAAGAGCAATTAGTAGAACTTGTTATTTTGGCTATGGAAAGATCTGAAAATGATCCTTTACCAGCTGAAGGAACAGATGGGACTGTCGCTAATCATTGGGTGTGGTTACACCTTTCATCTCAATTGATTTATTTTGTACTGTTCCAATTTGCATCTTTTCCAAGTCTCGTAATGGCGATACATGATAAAGTATAATTAATTCCTTAATGATATATATTTTTTACATTTTATATATATATATATATATATATATATATATGTGTGTATAAAAATTATAATATTATATAAATGTTTATTTAGTTGGCTGGTAGAGAATTAAGAAAAGGAAGAGATCATTTAATGTGGGTTTTATTACAATTTATTTCTGGAAGTATTCAACGAAATCCGGTAAATAAAAATATATTAAAAAATTTATTAATAGATAATAAATATTCTAAATATTTTCAGCTTTCAAATTTTTTACCTGTTTTGAAATTATACGATCTACTGTATCCAGAGAAAGAACCTTTACCCCTACCAGATTGTACCCAGGCACTTTGTACTCATCAAATGGCTATTATATGTATATGGATGCACTTACTTAAAAAAGCTCAAATTGAACATTCAAATATTCACAGACCTATTCCGCATACATTAAAAATTCATCATGAGTATGGAAATAATTAAGAAGTAGTTTAAATAATTATAATATTTTACATATATAGATATTAATATTCTGACTTTTATATATTTTAGATTTTTACAGCATTTAGTTATGCCAAACACATCTCTTTGTATGGGTTTAGATTATCGCATTGCTTTATTATGCAACGCATATTCAACAAATCAAGAATATTTTAGTAGACCAATGGCAGCACTAGTTGATACTATATTAGGCAATCCAAAGGTAAATTAAATTTCTATATATTTCTATTATATATTTTATAACATTTTGTTTTTAATTAAATAGGGTCAACAGCAACAGCCTTTACAAACATTACAAAATAATGCCGCTTTGGCAAGTGGTCCAACTACACCACTTTCAATGTCAATATTAGATTCATTGACTGTACATTCTAAGATGAGTTTGATTCATAGTATTGTCACTCATGTCATCAAATTAGCACAATCAAAAAGTAATATGGCCTTGGCACCAGCACTGGTTGAGACTTATAGTAGATTATTGGTTTACACAGAAATTGAAAGTCTCGGTATAAAAGGTTTTATAAGTACGTATGTCTTAAAAATATAATAATAATATAAACATTATAAATATCTTATGATTTATGATTATTTACATATTTTTTTTTTTTTTTTTTTAGGTCAATTATTACCAACAGTATTTAAGTCTCATGCATGGGGAACATTATATACATTATTGGAAATGTTCAGTTATAGAATGCACCATATACAACCACATTATAGAGTTCAACTTTTATCTCATCTTCATAGTCTTGCTGCTGTTCCACAAACTAATCAAACGCAGCTTCATCTTTGGTATTATTTATAAATTAATGATTTTCTAAATACTTTGTATATATTTTTTTAATTTATATATATATATATTCTTTTTTTTAGCGTTGAAAGTACAGCTCTTCGTTTAATTACCGGCTTAGGTTCGGCAGAAGTACAACCGCAATTGTCCAGATTTTTATCGGAGCCTAAAACACTTGTATCCGCGGAATCCGAAGAACTTAATAGAGCTTTGGTTCTAACATTAGCACGATCCATGCATGTAACAGGTAATTTAATTAAAATTGTATTATAAATATAAATAATAAATTGTTTATTATTGCAACTATATGTATTATAAATTAGGTACTGGAGCAGAAAGTCTTAGCGGTACTTGGTGTAAAGAATTATTGAATACTATCATGCAAAATACACCTCATTCATGGGCTAATCATACTTTACAATGTTTTCCACCTGTATTGAGTGAATTTTTTCAACAAAATAGCGTCGCCAAAGAAAATAAACAACAAATAAAGGTAATTCTCGTTAGAGGAAGTTTAATGATGTTGTGAGAAAAAAAAAATTATTTTCAGAAAGCCGTAGAAGAGGAATATAGAAATTGGGCATCTATGAGCAATGAAAATGATATAATCGCTCATTTTTCTGTACCTGGTACACCTCCTTTATTTTTATGCCTTTTGTGGAAGATGATACTCGAGACTGATCGCATTAGTCCAATCGCATATAAGTACATATTTATATAACATCTATATATTTATTATTTTATTGATTGTTATTATAAATATTCTTTTTTCTTTGTTTATAGGATATTAGAAAGAATAGGAGCAAGAGCATTATCAGCTCATCTTCGAAAGTTTTGTGATTATTTAGTATTTGAATTTGCCAATAGTGTTGGTGGACAGCATGTTAATAAATGTGTCGATACAATCAATGACATGATATGGAAATACAATATAGTGACAATCGATAGATTAGTTCTTTGTTTGGTAAGTATCAATATTAGAAAATAAATGATATATTAAGGATTAATATCTTTATTATCGTTTAGGCTTTACGAACTCAAGAAGGTAGCGAAGCACAAGTATGCTTTTTTATTATTCAATTATTATTACTTAAAGCAGCTGAATTTAGAAATAGGGTTCAAGAATTTGTTAAAGAAAATTCACCTGAACATTGGAAACAATCAAATTGGCACGAAAAACATTTAGCTTTTCATAGAAAATTTCCAGAAAAGTTTGCTCCAGAAGGTATAATGGAACAAGCTAGCGGTGGACCTAGTCAATATCAAAGTTTACCTGTATACTTTGGAAATGTTTGTTTAAGATTTTTACCTGTGTTTGATATAGTTGTACATAGGTATTTGGAGATACCACCTGTAACAAAAAGTTTGGAAATATTATTGGAACATTTAGGTTGTTTATATAAATTTCATGGTTAGTATTATATTATTGTAACAAATCTATATAAAAATTTTTTAATAAGTTAAGTGTAAAATTATTTTATAGATCGACCTGTGACATATTTGTATAATACATTACATTATTATGAACGTAAATTAAGAGATCGACCCCCTTTAAAAAGACGTTTAGTTTCTGCTGTTCTTGGATCATTAAGAGAAATCAGAGCACCAGGATGGGCATTATCTGAAGCTTATCAAATGTATATGGCACGATCTGCCGATGATGCTATTACTTGGGTACCAGAATTGGATTATTATATTAGACTTGTACAAAGAATTGTAGAAAGTAAGTAATAAATATATTTTGTTAGAAATTTAAAAAGTATAGATTTATAGATATTAAAATTTAATTTTTGAAAAAAAATATCTATTTTAAAGCAATGTCAGGTACAGCCCATTTCCCAGCCACCGATTGGAGATTTAATGAATTTCCTAATCCAGCAGCACACGCATTATATGTTACATGCGTAGAATTAATGGCTGTTCCTGTAGCGCCAAATTTAGTTGCAAATTCATTACTCGATGTTGTCGCTAAAGGGTATAATATAATCTTTATATTAATTCATTATATTATCATACACGTTTAATATATTTATTAATTACTTTTTTTATATTATAATAGGTATACCGTAGTACCATCCAATGAAATACATTTATGGATAAATTGTGTTGGATTGCTTTTAGCTGCTTTACCAGAATGCTATTGGTCTACATTACATGATAGACTTGTAGAAATTATAAGTAGTCCAGGTTTAGCAAATTGGCAGTATAATAATTTAACACCATTTCAGATGTTTAATTTCAATATCACGCATAATAGTTTACTTGAAAATAAATACAGTTATATGCTTGCATTGGCACATTCAATTTGGCATCACGCTGGAGCTGGTCAAATTACAACGATGCCGCAGTAAGTTAATAAATAATTAATTAAAAATTGATTAATGAAAAAATGAAAAAATGATATTAAAAAGATTTCTATTCTATTAATAATTCTTGATATGTATATATATATGTATATATATATATATATATTTATTAGATTCATTAAAGAAAAACTTCAACCTGTGGTAAATAGCGAAGAACAATTAATATACGCTTGCCATTTAATTGGACCTACTTTAGCGAGATTTAATGCTGAGAGACCACGTTGTATAGTTGATCTGGCAGTTAGTTTATACGAAATGCTAGAACAAGTGGATCGTACGCAAACACATTTAAAATATATGGATCCAGTTTGTGACTTGTTGTATCCTTTGTTTTTAATTGTTAAAACAAGATTAATCTTTCAAAACAAATTTTTATTTTACAATGTTAACCTTAACATTGAATATTATAGATATCACATAAAATATATGTTCGTTGGAGATATGATGAAAAATGAGGTCGAATGTATTATTCGTAGATTGAGACCTGCTTTACAAATGAGATTGAGATTTATTGCTCATTTGAATATAGAAGAAATTCATTCTACGTAGATTAATTTATATTGGAATAATACATTAGTGAATATTGTCACGACATTTCTATCTTTGTATATGTAAATATATATTTTATACATATATATATATATATATATATATAAATATTGAAGGGACTCAGAGAAGATATAATTAATTAATTAATTAATTAATTCTGCTCTCAAATAATTAGGAGGTCTTATCTCACTATTAATTTAAAAAAAAAAAGAAAAAAAGGACTGTTGAGATTAAGGGTCTATTATTTTTTGCAGCAACAGAAAGATCACGTGTTGATAATCTCATTGTTGTTTACAGTCTGTATCTCTTATACCATTATAGTACTATGCTAAATATTATTTGAGAAATGAACAAACAAAAAAAAACACTGAATTTGTGAAGCATGATGTTCTATGTATTGTCATTGTATCACGATTAATTACTGAATTGATTTTCAGTTCTTTACTTTAAACAACTTATTCTTTTTTTTTTTTTTATTTATTTAATGTCGACTTAGAATAGATTATTTAAATAAAAAGATAATAATACAGCAGTTTATTTAGGAATAATAATGATTAATATTTTTCTCTTTCTCTCTCTGTCTGTCTTTCTTTCTCTTTCTCTCTCTTAGTTCTTATCTTTTGTCTGTCTATAGTATTTGTAAAAGCATTTTCTAAAATTTCGATGACATTCTTTATATAGCATCGAAATCAATATCAGAAGATTTCATTTCGTTGATAAGCCGCCCAAACTTTTCATAAGAGCATGCATTTTCTTGTACAAATTGTTGTGCTCTCATTTCAGTAATCCATTTCATCTGTTAAATCAAAACAAAAAATATATATATATATATTAGTTGAGATATGTATGTATATAGTTATACTTACAATTTTTGGAAACTTTTGTTTATCAACATTCAAAGGTTGTTTATAAATTAATGATAATGACTTTGCTCTTTCAATCCATGGCCACATGAGAATATCCAACATCTTAGGTTCATTACCTTGAAAAGATTATTGTAAACAATTAAATGTAATAAATGAAAATATAATACAATTATTATATTTATACGAACCTCCATAAAAATCTGTGTCGCGCATTTTTAATTCGTCCTCAAATTCTTCCAAAAGATTACTTAATTCATCTACTATTTCATTCAACATTCTTGAATCTTTACCGTGTATACAATTTGAAAAAATATCAATAATCTATAAATACAATCATTGTTTTAAATTAATTTAGATACTTGATAGATAGATTTAATTATCAAAATTACCTTGGAATAATGTTCGAGTAATTCTAAATCACGATTTTTTGTTTCTTCATGATATAATTCCGGTAGAGGATACTTTTTATCTATATAATTTGCAATTTCCGTTGAATCAACGATTACTTTACCATCTGCATCAACAAATGCTGGTACTTTTCCTTCTGGATGAATCTATTTTTTAATTTTATATTAATAATTTGGTTAAATATTATTAATATAAATGTAAAAATGATAAGACATTATATACCTCTAAATACCATTCCGGTTTGTTTTTTAAATTAATATTGACGATATCATGAGGAATTTTTTTAATGGATAGTATCAGACGAATTCTATGAGCGTATGGACAAAATTTCATACTATATAATCTTGCCTGTCCTTCGATTTCTGCCGGTTTAGTAGAACCTATAAAAAATATATATTATTTCTTCTTCTTTTTTTTTTATTTTTATGTAATACGATAAACCCATTAATTGTTGAATCGAAAACAAAAAAAAATTACACCATCATACAGCTTACCCTTTCCAAGATGTAATGAACTCATTGTTTATTATAATATTCTGACAGAATAATCATAAAATAACAATATTGTATGTAATAAAAGTTTATTGTATTAAATTATTGTTAATTTATAAATTAATATTGAACAACAAATAATATTTAATATATATATATATTTGATTCGTTGTATTACTTTTTTAATTGAAATAAAATTTAGATAATAGCAAATATACTTCTTTTTTTTTTGTCTGCAGAATATATCGGTCCGAATGATGTCAAAATCTAGAATACTTGTCTGCAGCAGCGTCAATGCGATGCGCATACGGATCTGCGCATTTCATTATTCGAGATATATCGAATACAATTGATTTCAAATTAACATTTAAAATGGAATAAAAATTACGTAAGGAAAAAGAAAAATTAATCAATTGGCAAAATAATTTTAAATAATTTTAAATAATTCGATTAATAATAAGTAGATATTAAACTCGATGGTAGTTTGCATGTCGATAAAAAAATAAACTTTCAATTGACTTCGACAATTCTGGAATTTTTTTTTTGTATTTCAAAGAGTAAAGTAAGAGTGTCTTTTTTTATTTTTTAAGTAGTACAAGTGGGACATTGATGAATGGTCCGACATTAAAGTAGTACAATCGAATCAGTCTTATAGTGTCAGACGTTTAAGTAGTACAAGTAAATCATTTTTATGAGATTGAACGTTTAAGTAGTACAGGTTAAGCATGCTGAAAAATCAATAAAATAACAATAGAAATGTACGTAAATTATATTTTAATATTTTAATTTAATATTTTATTATAAACGAAAGATTAAAAAAAAAAAAAAAAAAAAAAAACTATTATTAAAAATTTATATAAAGTACATTTGTTATTTAATTAATTTCATTTTATATCACAATTCTATTTATATTTGTGTTTGTTACATTGTTATTAGTATAAAAGTATATTTTAAATTTGTATAGATTTAATGAATAAGAAAAAAAAATTATAAGATATTTAAGGAATGCTTAATTGATAAATACTCCGTATGTTTTGAAATATTACAAATGCGGTATATATATATATATATTCTAATGTATATAACATCATATTTATAATATAATCTTTATTATAAAAGTCTAAGCTCTCGTTAAAACAATTTAAGTGGCAGTAGGTATTCTATATTCTATAAAAACCCTGTAATTTACAAAAATATTCATTTACATTTAGTTATATGTCCATTAAATTTATAGCAGATGGACGTAGGTTGGTTTGAAATTCTCCAAAAAGCATAGCAGCTAACCATTTGTATTGTTCATTCTTATATGTACCAGCTAAAATATTACCAAAGAAAGGATTTTCCTTGCATCTAAAATAAAAGGAAAAAAAAAAAAGAAAAAAAAAAGAAGAAAAAAATATTCAACGCTATAATAATTTAATTTCCTAAGACTTTGAGTAATGAAATAATTAATTATAAAGATAACAATACCTTGTTGGTTTTTTATTTCTTAATATAAACGTAATAGTCCAGCTGCAAAAGAAAAAAAAAAGAAAGGAACAAATCAATACGATAAAATAATTAAATAATAAATTTAATTTAGATAAAAAAAACCAAAGTTTTAACTTAATTAATATTAATATATTTACCCCATTTGTGGATTGCGTTTGGTCTCATGACCTATATACCAAATAATATCTTCAATTTTCCATTCGTGCAATTTGGTAGAACAAACTTTATCTTTGTAACAATACAACTTAGCCTGACTAAATTCGAAAAGATAATTCTTAAAATTTTTCGACTTTACGTCTGCATATTTCAATTCGCCCGATATCGTCATGGGTGGTTTGATCTTGAAAAAAACAGAAAAAAAAGAAACAACAATAAACAATTTATCAAGAGAATAAATATTGACAAAGAGAGAGAGAGAGAGAGAGAGGGAGAAAAAAATCGTGTAACCATAATTGTTGCTTCCCGTTTAGACATACATATAAAAATATCTTTCTTTTTTTTTTTTTTTTGTTTTTAATTGTTCTGACTCACGTTAATTGATCTATCTACGTTATACAAGTGACGTGTGAAAGAAACAAAATATATATGCTACTATTTTAATCACTTGCTTATATATATGTGTACGTATTTCTATTATTAATTATTATTTCGCACATATATAAAATATTACCAATGGTACAATATCTCTGTACAATCTATCCTTCTTCAATATTAAGATATTATCCTTCCTATCATCTGGATCCCAATAACCCCATCTAGCAACTGTTTCTAATACACGTTCATTATGATGAAGTGGTCTCTTCAATGCACCCGAAAGTGCATATTCTTCTAAACACAATTCATGAGCAAGTAGATTAACTTTTTCTGACAATTCACGACATACATCGAATGCCGTCTTTTGCGCTCCGATCTAAAAATAAAAACTATTATTTTTTAAGTACAAACGATTATATATATATATATATATATACATAAAAAGAAAAAAAAATTTTATTTCTATAATTGTTTTAAGGATAATCAAATAAATATTTACCGATACGTTAATGCATTCTCCTTCTTTCGAAAGTAAATATATCCAAATTTTTAAATCGCCCGACGGCGCACCGCGCAATCCATTATTAGAAACATGATGTTTTTCAAGAACTTCTAAAATTTTAGCTTCCTTAGCGAGATCCGCGTGAGACAATTGATATAATTTTGGAAATAAGTGTATCAAATCGCCAATCACTTTTGTCTCCTCCCTGTTCCAATCCTCAGCACTATTCTCTCCTGCGTGCATTAATGTAGGTCCCCAAACTGCTGAGAGATTCTCAACAGTCATCAAGTTTCTTGAACTTTGTTGACTAAGATAATGTAAATGAGCAAGTATTCGACGTATAGTTGCTGATGTTATAGGATTCAATGTCGTCAATAAATTTCTATAAATCTGTATTCTTTCACTTTCATTGCTAAGTTCTAAATACAAAATGAAAAATATTACAAATACAAATATATATACATATATATACTCTGTATATCTTGATGATAACTCTGATATAAAATTCATTGAACTGTTGTATAAAATCATGATTGACAATTATTATCTTTACCTGAGCATCGACAAAGCAGATTATGTATACTGGGGGGGAATAAAGATTCTGGTAAATCCCGAAGAAATCTTCGAAGAACCGTAGCAACGTCGTGTTCTGTGTAAGATCCTCGAGTAATTTGTATCGCCCATGCGTCTCTTCTAAAGGCTTCCAATAATTTAATAACGGCACTACTAGATCCACTGCGACGATAAATTCCTTCCGACATTATACCTGTTGTTATAAAAAAAAAAAAAAAAATTACTCTTTGACATTAGTAATAACAATTAATTTAATTTAGATTCAAATAATATTTTTATTAACCATGCGTGGAGATAAAATTGATGCATTTGTCGAGAATAACAGGGACATTGTCATGCGTTATTTGTTGTTGCTGTAATGCCGGACCACAGTTGGTAGCGGCTTGATACAAGGCATGTCTCCAAGCTGAAGCTTCTTTTGAACCAGGTGCTGCTATATGCAATGCACCGGAATCACCAGCGTCAACTACTACTACAGGTACATTTTCATTATCCGAATTTGGTCCTTCTTGTTCTCTCAATACTGAAAGAAAATATTTAATGTACATCAATCACTTGATTAAAAAGGAATAATCTGGCATAATAAAAAGCGACGATATATCATGTGACAATAATGCTTAATAGGATCATAAGACGAGTTGGTTTAATAAGATCAAAATAATATCACCTTTTTTTACATGGAATATTACTATCGTATCATATTATTTTATATATTTACCTATATAACGTGCCTTTCGTAAATCTAAATATTCCAATATCGGAGGCTCCAATGAATTCGTATAAACCAATGTTCTTTTTTGAAGAAGAACCCAAGCTGAGAACCATGTACCCGTTATACCCTCCTGCAAATTAAAATATATATTTAAATAAAAGATTTCTTTTGTGATAAATAATAATCGCATACCTTTTATCAGATTCCTTTTTGTATGCTAAGAAAATTATAATGTTACTATTTTGTACCGACGAACTATATGTCTTCTCTCATTGGCATTATCCTTTATTTAAAATATTTTCATACCTTTAAGTAAACCCAACCGGCTCTAGTAAGATCGGATGTGTATTTTATAGGGAAAACCGATGTCATTGCTTCTAAAATTTTTTGAGCCCAACTTCTTCTCTCCGCGATACCCTTTGCATAGAATATATATACATGGGGTTTAGATTCACTGCTAATCGCTATGCAATGTACCGTTTCACCGTCTACTACTCTGTCATTAGAAATATTCATTATAAAATAAAATTGTATTATCAGGCATGACGAATGTATTATCAATCAATCAAATATATATATATTACTTACTTAATATCTTGCAAGAGATGAATGCTATAGACATTTTCAAGATTAATAGTTTCCTTCAGGGTTGACATACTTTTGTCATTATAAAAAGATAATTTTGGACCAGTCAAAACGGCAGCCCTTTGAATTAAATCTTTAGCTCTTTCAATACCAACACCAGTTTTATAAACAATACCTCTATGAGTCGAATTACATTGAGAAATATTACACTTAGGTCTATCCATTTTAATTTGCTTCGAATTATGATCGGCAGATCCCTCGTGATCACGATTTCTCGACAACAATTTACTACCACTTCTAACAAAACTTATGACGTTCGGTTTGATCACGTTGGCCGTTGAATCTTGACTTAACTTCTTTAATTTTTGAATTACACTGACTTTCCTCGTATCGTCGTAAGTCGTTTTAACAAGAGAATTCGACGTGGCATCGTCAATTTTCCCCGTAGTAGTAGCCATTTTAGATTCTATGGTCATTGATGATACATCAGGAATTACTTTGACAGTTGTTTTTCTAGGTGGTACAGCTGGTTGCTTTTTTCTTGTCATTTGAACCAATTTTGGTAAAAGTGCTGGATTCTTACCTGTACAAAAATATATTAATAATAATAATAATAATAATAATAATAATAATAATAATAATAATAATAATAATAACAATAATGAAGGCGAAGAGATTAACCCTTTGACTGAGAGCTGTTCTAAGCTGAAGAGCTTCACGTATGTGGCTCATGGATACGATCGCTGGGGACATGCACATTATTAAATAATAAACAATCAAAATGGGCGCATATATGCGTCCAATGATAGCCTTTGCTGGACGCAGCAGTCAAAGAGTTAAAGTATTAGAGTATCGTAAAAGGATTTAACTCTAGTTGTAGATCTGTGTTATGTAGGAAATCAGAGCCAACTTTTGAGCTCAATTAAAATAATTTGCGTATTGTATGATTCATGAATTTCTTTTTTTTTTTTTTTATAATGTCAAAATTGTAAATGTTTAAATATTACTGACGACATTTACCAATTTCAACCTCGTCGTATTCGTTCTTAGGTAAAGAATCGAATCTCTTAGGTGGTTCTGGTGGTATCAAAGAGTCCTCGAGCCTTTTCTCTTCCAATTCCGTTGGTTCCTCGTTCTCGTTATCTTCGTGAAGATCTACGGTACTTCCAGGATTACTCGAGGAGTCATTAGTCAATAATAATGCTTCCAACAACATCAAATCGTTGCTCTCGTAATTATTATAAATGTTTTCCTCGGTTGTCTTTGCGAATGGATCGAATTCGAATAGTAAAGATTTATTACTACCACTGCTACTTCCTTGTTTTACATTGGATAACATCGATTCAAATAATTTCTCATCTTTATTACTCTTCGATGTAATATTATTATCATAAATAGAATTTTCTAAGGATATTAAACTGGCGTTAAATGTTGTAAAATTCACATTCACTGCCTGTTCTAAAGTTTCCTCCTCGGTACTGGATATCCTATCGAGTTCATTAATAACTTCGGATTTGTTTGACGGCGGCGTTGTGTCATAAAATGTCCAAGAATCTGATCTCGACAATCTCCTGTCGATGTCGGACTTGCTGTCGCCGGTTAAGCTCACGTTTATGTCGGATAAATTTAAACTTTGATCGGAATCGCTACCCTGCAAACAAACAAACAGAGTCGTTTTAGAGTCTAAGATAAAAAAAAAAAAAAGGAAAGAAAAGAAAAAAGAAATGATATAAAATAATATAATTGAATTACCTGACGTTGAATAAAATTGAAGAGATTGAAATTCGAATCTGGAAAATCTCTTTGTACTTGTTCGGAGATGGTAGAACTAAGAGTATCATAATGGCTGCTACTGCTCGATGTAAATGAATTTAATTCGTCGTTGATAGATGATTCTACAGGAAGCGGGGGTGGCGGATATACCGGTGGTGGTGGACTGTATCGTAGCCCGGAAAGATCTTCCTCGTTTCTGATACTTTTAAGATTACCACTGAACGGACTGTGAAAGGTAATACTGCTAAATATATCATCAGCTGGCATTGATACGCATCTTTCGTCATCAATGGCATTATTATCGTCCCCAATTTTTTTCGTATTCCTCATAACATTAGAATCATGCATGATATCCTCCTGATTAAGGGACGTCAATAATCTCCGTGTCAAAAGATTCTTCATAGATTTTTCAAGGCGTATACTGACGTTCCTCGTACTCGATATAACGGCGCGTCCCTTTAACGTCATCTTCTCAGATATTTCATCCTTCAATTGACGTGAACTGGTACTCAATTGTCGAAAAAATTCATTCGAATTTCTTCCCTCGTTATTATTAGATTTAACAATCTCATCACTTTTCTGACTCGATTGGCTCGATTCGCTCGGACTTTTACTACGTGCCGGCGATGACGATGATGACGATGATGCCGGTGATGGTGATGATAAAACAACAGGTACCGGTGGTACTTTCCTTGGAGCCGGTACTGGATGTTCGGCCATTATAATTGACCTCGGCTTTGGTATCGGTTTTGTCTCCATCTTTATCTTTCATTAATGTTCTTTCTTTCTTTCTTTCCTTCTCGATAGGATATATTACTCCCCAGTCACGAAAAAAAAAAAAAAAGAAAAAAGGAAGAAGAAGAAGAGAACACTCTCCGTCTCTTACATCTGTATTAGTTCTACTTTTTTGCTTATCACACCTTTTATCATTATTATTCTCACGTTTGACACAACCAGATTAGTCTCAGGCTAATAAAAAGGAGCAATTGGTGGAGGGTTCGAAGAATGGAAGGTCATTGAATCAACGTAATTGACAAATTTGTATATAAAGAAAGAAGGGTCGTTCGTACACCCCTTTTCTCTCCTTCCTACCTTTCTTTCTCCCTTTTTCTCATGAGTCAATAAATTGATCGCGGATTAATAAGGTGGAAAATAAATAAATTCTCGCGGGGAAAAAAATCTCTTCGATATTCTCTGATACGTGAAACGTTATAGGTCACTACTATTACTATCAGTTTTATGATAGGATAGGCAAACATTTCCAGTTTGAAGCATGTCTATCAAATTCACTCAGAAGAGAGAGAGAGATACATAGAGATAGATTACAGATGTAATTGTACATGTATTATACATTTTTCTATTACGAATTCTCGATTGTATATTTCGATCCAAATTATTTTTCATTGTTGTGGAGGAAGAAGAGAAGGAAAAGGAAAGAGAGAGAGAGAGAGAGAAAAAAAAACAGGAAAAAAAAAAAAAGAAAAAAAAAAGGGAGAAACAATCAGACAAATTCTCGGCTCCTTTTGTTAAATATCTCGCCTATGGTTAAATTGATTTAATTGCGTTTTATGGTGAAATATCATTTTAGATGAATCATATCCGACACTCGTCAATAAATTCTGTAATCAAAAAACAAATACATATATACACGCGCACACACACACACACACACACACATATATATATATATATATATATTTATATATATTGTTTTTTAGAAGATATTAGAGAACAAATAAATTAACAAGAGTCAACAAAAGAATCAATAGGAAGCTATTAACTCTTAATGCTTCGGTGATCACACCGGTTCAAGGTCTAACATTTTTCTAATGTGTTCTTCCGCGACGATTCATTCGTTTCGTTGAATCACAAAATAATCTTTTTTTTTTTTTTTTTTTTTCCTTTTTTCTGACCGGAAGAAAGAACAGAGAGGAGAGGAGAGGAAAGTAGAGATACCGTTGGATATATCATTGGAAATTGCATAGAAAAAGTCTTTTTGATGAGGCTTCTCAATGATATAATTTATTATTTTTATATCCTCTCAGTTATCACCGAACATAAAGAAATATTTCATTTAATATCGATCCGTTTGATCTATCGATCATCCTTCTCTCTCTCTCTCTCCCCTTCTCTTTCATACTTCGATGAACTGTATAAAAGAATAAATAAAAATAGAAATGGAAAAAGACACGTTCGAAATGATACTACTACGCAATTATTACGATACGTTCGACGAATGAACGTAGAGAAAGAAGCAATATGGCGCTCGATAGATCGATCGATCGATAGATAGATAGATCGATCGATAGTTCGATAGATCGAACGAACGAACGAACAAAAGGTCATACAGCCAAAATTTTTTCTATATATATATATATATTTTATTTTGCGATCGTCTTTGATAATTGTGGTTATTAAATTAACTTAAAAAAAGAAAGAAAGAAAAAAAAGGAGCGACCAACGAAATAATTAAATGATTTAACTTTGTAAATAAAATAAAAAAAAAAAATAAAAAAAACAACAAAAAGAAATGTTCAATCTGATAAATGAATTCTAATAAAAGAACGAACGTCATGGATGTTCTTTCTTTATAGATGTCCTTTTAAACTTCAAACTGGTTATAATCTGAATATGACACTGATTCATTGATAAGCATAGAGTCGCACTCACACACGCACAAACAAACACACACACACACACACAGAGCTGAGAGAACAAAGGAACCTGCAGGAGATTTAATAATGGAGAAGTAAAGGAAATGGTTATCTTCGTGAATATGAAATTAAAAAAGAACAAAAAAAAAAAAAAAAGAAAGAAAAAAAAAATAAATAAATAAATAAATGAGTAAATGAATAAATAAATAACAAAATACCTCTCTTTCCCCCTTTTCGTTATTTTCCTTTTCTCAGTTTTTTTCTTTCGTTCTTTTTTTTCTTTTTTTTTCAATAATCCACCATTTGCACGAAAGAAACTTTTGCACAAACAAACAAACAAATTACTATAATAATAATAATAATAATAAATTATTAATAATAATAAATAAAATGTGTGTCAGTCATTCGAGAATAGTGAAAGTCCTCAGCATTATATTCACAACCAGATAGGTAAGTATACATATATATATATATACACCATCATCGTGGGTCAGAGACCCACAATTGGGTATATACTACAGTTGGTTGTTGGCACTGTTGTCGCAACTTTTCCTTTTCTCTTCCCCTTGACCGTCGTCTACTGCCACAACTTTTCTCTCTCTCTCTCTCTCTCTTTTTTTTATATATTCACCACTTCAATTGAAGAACTTATATATTGTAGAAAAGACAAAAACGATACACAATACTTGTCATCCAATATTTGATCAGGTGCAATGTGGTCAATGTAGTTACAACAAGTACGTATATATTATATATATATATGTATATAGACACACATCAATTTCAAACGTATTGTATGCAATTCAAAAGAAAAAAAAAAGGGAAAGGAAGAAAAACACTATTCTTTATCTCACTTCCCGTGTTTCCTTGATTACACGCGATAAAAATGATCAATAATTTTAACGAAAAAAATTACTAGAATAAGAGTGTTGTGTGTGTGTGTGTGTGAGAGAGAGAGAGCGAGAGAGAAAGAGGCAGAAAGAGGAGAGAGAAAGAGAGAGAGAAAGGAAAAAAGTAATAACACACAACGAAAACAAGAATGATAAAATGACATTACCACTAATATAGAAGAGATCCGAACAAGATCGGATATCGTACTGAACGTCTACCATTTCGTTGGAAACGCACAAGCTCGATATCTTACCCCACCACAAACTCCACTGATCGACCGTAGCTCCCTTTTTCAAACAATGATGGCTACTGATTGAATGGAAGGATTTATATCTCTCATATATATATATATATATATATATATATATATATATATGTAAAAAGAGCATACTAAATAAGAAAATGATTCATCCTTGCCATTCCTGAATAAACTGTTATGCCAATTATTGTTATCGGTATAATATAATCATGTCATATATATGATTCTAGTTACTATTTTTATCATTTATATCTTTAGAAAAAAAGATATATATATATATTTTTTAGACAGAGAAAAAGAGAGAGAAATAAAGTATATATACGTATATATATATATATATATTTTTTTTTTTTAATAATAATTTGTTGAATTTAATATGAAATTAAATATGAGCGCGAAAATGTCGTCATATCCGGTGACGTAATTCCGGTGGAAGGAGGTGTGCCGATCTCGAAAGATGCGCATGCGTTTAAGGGAGTAGACATTATTCAGTCTGATCATTATGGCTTTTTTCTTTTTTCTTTCTTTATCAACGTGTTTAATATCCACATTTTTGGCGTGAAATAATGACCGAAACATATTTCTTTTTATAGTTGAACAATTCGAACTTTCAAATATGTAAACATAAAGTGAAATTACTTCTGATAAGAGAACATCTTTAATGTACGATCGCTAAACACCGGTAAATCCAAATGAAAAATTGGTAGACATGTGTGTGTGTGCTTAAGGATGAATCATCGATTTGCTATTAAAGAAGGATCAATTAAGGATATTATTAATGCAAAGGTATCTTTATAGTATCTATGGAAATATCACGAGAATTTCATACTGTATAATTAAGTTTATCTATTGAAGAAACTTTGTAATATGAAATTAACTGAAAGTGGCAATACTGTAAGAGCATATTAATGATAATGTTGAATCTCGTTGAATGATTAATTATTTTTAAGGGATAATTTTGAAAGAAAAAACATATAATGATAGTACTTCTATGCGATTTAACAGAATCATTTGATACGTTCATAATGTTGTTGAAAGATCATTATAAAAATGAGCTTACTTTGGAATTAGACAAATTAATAGATAAAAAAGTTTCGAGAAAGAATCATTTAAGGTATAGCATGAAAAAATCCGACGATATAACGTTGTATATATTAAGAAATCAAGCACAATATATAATCAGGTGTAAGGAAATAAAGGATAAATTCTACAGTAATTTAGTCGTCGTATGTTACTTTCATAATAATTTAGGACATATAAAGAGGTTATGTCGAATGTATAATAAATGGAAGGAGAAAAGTTGAAAGGAAAAAGATCAGTTAAGTTATAGGTTATGATAATGTATGTGTGTCTTCATGATCATAAATATCGTTCAAACGATCTAGATTGATTCAGGAACATATATCAATTGAAAGATACAAATAATGCTTTATTAGCAATAACAAGACAACATTCTATAAATTGTTAACACATGTGAAAGTTAGGATATAAGGACTACGATAAGACTACGATAAGGACAATTCATGCATTGGTATTCAAGACCGTAGTTAAAAAGATTACTATGAAGAACTAAATGATCAAGGAGATCTGCTATGGTACATATCTGAGAAGGATAATAATCAAGAAAGCTTTTCCACAAAAATCTGTAAGTAAGTTTGAGTCCATACTAAAGTACAGATGTTTGCGAAAACATTGGAAACAATGAGATCAAATCAAAATCTAACATTGATCAATGATTATGGTAGATATAGATTATGGTAGATCTTAAGACTTTTGGATTGGATAAAGGTACAGAGTATATCAATAAAGGTTTAAAAGATTTCTTTGAGAAGAAATTGTAGTCAAAGGAAAAAAATAGATCTCTTTTGGAAATGTTTATAAATTGATGCCAAAATTAAGGAAAAAATATCGGGGAGAGGAGGGGAAGACTATCAATTTTTTCAACTATTTGCAAAACATTCATTAAATCTACAGGAATAATATCTCAATGGAGAAATGGATTAGAATGAAATGATTTCAATAAACATTATAAAAGATATTGTCTTTTGAATATGAACAGAATAATTATAAGTCATGATCTGATATTTATGGATTCATTTAATAAAGGATAACAATGAAATAACAATAAGTCTTCTTAATGCTATTCCATCCTATATAGAAATGAATGATTAAGAAAAAGCCAAAGACCACATTGAAGATAAAAAAGAAGACTATATCAAAGATGAAATTGTGTGACATTAAAGAATAGGTAATATTTACATTTAGTAATATTTATATTAGAAGACATGAATGATCTTGAATAATAATGACTGGACTAATTAGGAGCAAACTACAAAAATTATATATCAAGAATACAGACAGTTCAGTTCAGACAATTTTGTAAGATACACTCATACCATGAACTGATAAGTGGTTTAATATATCTACCAATTGTGCCTACACCTGACATATTATGCAGTAAGTTATTTAAATCAATATTAATTGATACAGGAGATCACATTGGAAAACAGCTAAAAGAATACTTAAATGTATTAAAGGCATTGATCATTATTTTATATCTTATCAATCAGGTAATAATTTTTTGGAATTGAAAAAAGATGTATAAAAGATTGCCAATTCTATGCAGATTTTTTTTTTTTTTTTTTTCTTGGTGAAGGTTCTATTTCATGGGAATTAAGAAAGCAATGGACTGTTGCTTTATCAACTAAGGAGACAGAATACATGGTGATTACAAGTGCTATTAAAAAGGAACTTTTAAGGAACTGGAATTAGTTATCAAATCTGACGTCACTATTTATAATGATGATCCAAGAGCATTGAAATTCTCAAGGAATTTAATATGCCATGGGAAATTCAGGTTACAGTATTTATGTACGAAAAATATGATTGCCCAAGTTTTAATCAAAGCATTAAACATTTCAAAACATATCAAGTGTTTTAAAAGGTTTACATTTAATTAGTTAAGTTCTTTTAGCGTTCAATTTAAAAGATAGTATTGAATGTATAAATTAAATATGAACGTGAAAATTTTTATACACTTGACATCCTGTTGTGTGTTTAATTTAATTTTTATAATTTTGTTTTTGTTTAATATTCTCATCTGTATTTAAACCTATATATTATTATTATTTTTTTTTTTTATAATAAAGTCATTAAGTATAATTTTGTTACAGAAAGATATTTCTAAAATAATTGTTAGTTAATTAAAGTTAATTAATTCAATTATTATTTTAATATTGATTTTAATAAAAAATTAAAATGTAGTTGTTTCTTTTTTTTTTTTTTATTTTTATTTCTTTATTTTTGTATTTTATTTTTTATATCACATATATTATACATATTAATATAAGTGATGATAGGTTGTTCAATTAGAAAAAAAGTATCTATATATTTTAAGTTAATTTCAATGGAAAGGTTTTTCTTTTTCTTTCTTCTTTTTTTACTTATTTTGTTTTTTTTTTCCCTCCACCTATTCAGAGATCACAATGGTGACGACAGATTATAATCGATTTATATTTATTTACGAGAAAAAAAAATGATCATTACTTTTTATGAAATTAAAATCGCAATACAGATTCACATAATTACATCAAAATCCATATACATTAGAAAGGTGTCACGTGTACAGTTGTGTCTCTTTCTAATATTTAATCTAACATTCAATCATATCATTTGATTTTAACAATTAGATGGAACAATTTTTATGATTTCTTATTGTAAATGTGTTTTTCGTTGATCGAAGAAAGGACGGCCGTGATTTTAAGGACGAATTTATCATTGATTAATGGTTTTTCTTTTTTTTTTCTTTTTGGTTTTCACTTTTCGCCTTTTTTCTTCTTTTTTTCATTTTGTTTCGTTCTCGCATACCTATAGATAGTTTACGATCATTAATTAATATAAACTTTGCATTGCGTGAGAAACTAAGTAACACAACTTTATTGTTTTGTTTTATTGGAAGGAGAGGAACGATAATAATTAGAATATATAGTTATAAGTATAATTAGAACAGAAAGACGATTGATTAAATATGTGTATGTGTATGTTCATTTATTATTCTCAATCAGGAAAAGAGAGAAATAATTTTAAACTATGTAAATTTTATTGAATTCATTTTCATTCTCTTGAAATTAATGCAATCAAATAATAATGAAATATATATATATATATATATATATATATATATATATATTTAAATTTATATAACTTTCAACACTACAAAGAGAGAAATAATTTTAAATTATATAAATTTAATTTAAAATTCATTTTCATTCTCTTGGAATGATTGCAATCAAATAATGAAAAATATATATTCATTTCAAAAACGATTGAACAATTTTATATCTTATAAATATAATTAAATTTGTTTTCAATCTATTGAAATCATTTTCATCAAATAATAATTAGAAATATCTATACATTGTAAAAAAAAAAAAAAAAGAAAAAAAAGATGAGACAAATATTTAATTGATGTTTAATTTATTATTATCGTTGGACATAAATAAATTTATTTTATATATAATAAATAAAAGATTTTAATTCATCAGACGATTCATCAGAGAATGAATGTTTGTTCTGTTGTTTTTCCTTTTATTTTATTTATTTATTTTTTTTTTTATTTCATTTCATCGTCTATGATTGAAATATGTAATATTGAAACAGTAAGAAAGAAGAGAAAGTGAGAAAGAGATTGAGATTCGAAGAAAATATTTGTAGGCACATTCACATACACACATATACATATATTAATATATTTGAGGAACGCATTAAATCCTTCAATTTTTTTTTCAGTGAGAGTAAATCGCAATCTTAACAATTGGATTTACTATGGACCGTCCTACACGAGCCATCTTAAAATAATGAAAAGTATTGATTTAATTTATCCAAATATTTAACCATATGTTACTTCAAATATTATATAAAAAAAAAAAATATATATATATATATGAAAATGATAAATTTTATAATAGCAATATTTATAATAATTGTTAATAACAACAAAAAATATACTCTTTCTTTTCTAACAAGATTAAGCTCGTGAAGGATTTTTTCTCACTTTTTTTTTCCTCTTTATTTTACTTTGTACAGGTTTGCGCAGATATATATATATATATATATATATATATATATATATACATTATTTATTTATATTATTATATGTTTTATTTAATTTAATAGCAAATATATTATCACATTTAGATTGTATTAATTTTTTAAGACGTATCTCCATCTGTTGATATCCTTCGACGAATTTATTTTATATAAGTCTAAAATTCTTATATTATTAATATATCTCAATTATAAATAATGCTTGTTACAATGGTTTTATTTGAAAAAAAATGTTTAATGATCTAAAAAGAAAGAAAGGAAATACGCATTTTATAGCACAAAGGAAAAGAATCTATGGGAATTTTGCTTTCAGCAAAAATTGTTCGTTAGCCAATTATTACAAGTTAATTATATCCTTAATATATAATACATTATATAATAAATAACATAAATTCGTCATACGAATGTACATTAAATACTATTCAACAATTTTAATAATTAATGGCCAGTTGTTTTTTAGGTAGACAGTACATATATGTATATAAGTAAATAAATAAATATACATATATATATATATATAAAAAATCATGTGTGTATATATAAAAAGATGTCGTTGGCAATTTATCACACGCCGCTTCTAATAAACACATTAAAAATATAAAATATTTAAATACAATATATATATATATATACATATATATATATATATATATATATATATATATATCAAAAGCAAGAAAGTTTATTTTTATATTTATTATTATTAAATATTATTGTTATAATCATGTTAGTGTAAGAATACGTGTATATTTGTATGTATGTAATGTTGATGGTACGTATATATTTGTATATATTTAATGTATGAATGTTCTATAATTTAAGAATGTAATAATTAATAAGAGCTCAATTTGTTGAACAACCATTTTAATGTGCAATACATATCGTATATCGAGAGTTCTTACAAACATTTTTTTTTTCCATTTCTTTCGTTTTTTATATTTTTTTTTTCTTTTTTCTTTTTAATTTTTTATTTTTTATTAATTTTTTTTTTCCTTTTTTTCTCTTTTGCTTTAATTAACAACTAGAACGTATTTATTAAGTACAATAGATTCAAAAATTGACACACATTTTATAAGTATTGGCTTTCGTTATTTTCCTCAAATGTTTATCTAATCAATTAATAATTGGCGGATCCCCCACGACCCCTCGCTCTTTCAATAAATTTTGTTCTTTTTTTTCGTTTGTTTGTTCGTTTCTTTTTTCATATTTTCTCTTCAAAAGCCATTCGAAACGAACCTTTAGGGGACGGTTTTTTGTCTTTTATTTTACTTTATTTTTTTTTTTTTTTGGCGATTGAAAGAGCGTATACTTGTTTGAGGGAATAAACAAAAGAAAATATATATATATAAATAAGTAAGTAAATAAAGAAATGAATGAACATGCTGTACGTGTGAAAATAAATAAATGAATGTAAAAATTAATGTGAGAATAAGTAAATAAATAAAGAAATGAAAAGAATGAATATGACGTACGTGTGAAAATAAATAAATGAATGTATAAATAAAAAAATAAATAGAGAAATAAAATGAATGAACACGCCGTACGTGAAAGGAAATAAATGAATGAATGAATAAATATATAAATAAAAAAATAAATAAAAGAATAAAATGAATCATCACGCCGTACGTGAAAAAGAAATAAATGAATGAATGAATGAATATATAAATAAAGAAATAAGATAAATAAATACGCCGTACGTGAAAAGAAATAAATGAATGAATGAATAAATATATAAATAAAGAAATAAAATGAATAAACACGCCGTACGTGAAAGGAAATAAATAAATGAATGAATAAATATACAAATAAAAAAGTAAATAAAGAAATAGAATGAATGAACACGCCGTACGTGAAAAATAAATGAATGAATGAATGAATGAATAAATAAATAAAAAAGTAAATAAAGAAATAAAATGAATGAACACACTGTACATGAAAATAAATAAATAAATGAATGAATAATATAAATAAAAAAGTAAATAAAGCAATAAAATGAATGAACACATTAAATAAATAAATAAAATAAAATACAATAAAATGGAATAAAATAAAATAAAATAAAATAAAATAAATGCACTGAACGCGTCTTCCCTCGTGAGCCATTAACATGTATTAATAATGTAATAAAATTATTTCCAAAATAGCACCCTCTTATCTAGTTTAGCCAAAGAGTCCCCTGTTAATATTCTTATGACATTTACTATGTGGATCATGTGATACTATCTATGCAACGTTAAAATTGAATTGAATATATAAAGAATATAGAATGAGAGAAATATATATATATATACATACATATATATATGTATATATGTATGTATATATATATAAACACATACATAGATATACATATATATATATTATATTTTTTATGTGAATTAGACAGGAGACTCTCGAGCTTTAAATAGATTATAGAATTGCAGTCTTCAATTTTCTCATTTTTTAATCACGGCAAGAACACATTTATGTAAATAAAATAACATATACATACATATACATATATATAAATATATATATATATGTATATATATGATGCCATGAAGCACACCTATTATCAGTCTTTCACTATGATCCAGTCTACGAGTCTAGCACCATTATGCAGCTTTTATTTTATTACGTTATTACCGAGACTAAACGTTTCGAATACCGAATGTATAATTACGTTATTTTTTTTTTCTTTTTTTTTTTCTTTTTTCTTTTTTTATTTGTTTAATTTAATTTGATTTGATTTAATTTAATTAAATTTAATTTAATCCGTTTTTTTTTTGTTTCGTTTCGTTTCGTTTCGTTTTATTTAATAACAACAATTAATTAATTAGCTCTTAATAATGTCTATATGTAAGTGGCTTTTTTTTTTTTTTGTATTTATCATTATTATTATTTCTTTTTTATGTGTTTTTTTTATTCTTTTTTTATTTTTTTTTGTTAATTTTTTTCTTTTTTTTAAATTGTTTCTTAAACCTTTAATAATAAAATTCGAGGGGGTATTATTACACTGAGAATATTCATCGAAGATTTGAGATCACATGCAGATTTATAGAAATCACATATTAACTTGATAGTCTAATAATATCCGTGTCGATTATGATTAGAGATCGATCGTTTTGAAATCGTTCACGTTTATAATCTTATGATCTTTTTTTTTTGGCTTTGGTACGATACGTAATATATGTGTATATATACGTATACATATATATATATAAATATATGTATATATATATATATATGTATACATACACATATAGATATGCAAGAGACAAAATATTGTTCGAAATGTTGAATCTTGCAAAAATTTTATTTATAATTACTTATATCAATCTCTGACCATAACGAAAAAGTCCAAGTACGAAGATGGACGAACGTTTCGTTTTTATAATTAATTTTTTATGATCCTCTACGTTGTGGTAAAAAGAAAAAGAAGAAGAAGAAGAAAAAAAAAGAAGATGAAAATAAGATGAAATCAAAAATCTTCAAAAAGATAATAAAAGATTTCTCATAATCTCGAAGTTTCGCGATAGCCTCTTATTCTTCGTTTCACAGCCATTCTCACTTTCAAGATCTTCCTATCATGCTAGATTTAATAAATTAGTAACTGAAAATATATTCGATCGATTTCAAAAAGAAAAAAAAAAAAAAGAAGAAAAAAAAATAATTGATGAGACATTATAAAGGCAGAAGAGTGCGGGCCAAAAAAAGTATACCTAAGAGATCATTAAAAAATAATTTTATCCAATCTGTAATGCCGTAAAAAAAAGGGAAAAAAAAGAAAAAAGAAAATCGGCTTACAAAAATTTCACAAAAGCATGATTAATATTATTTAAAAAAAAAAAAAAAAAAGAAGAAGGAAAAAAAAGATCACTTAGAATTACTTATTTTTGGCCCGATCATCCAACCCCACTTACAATCCATCCCACCACGCCCCGTTCTATCCCACCCACAGTTCAACCCCGTGCACCACCCTGTTATAAAAAAAAAAAAAAAAAAAAAAAAAAAAAAAAATAAGAAAAGAAAAAAAAATAAGTAAAAAACAGAAAACAAATTAGTTATCTCTGATCGAAAGTCATTAAGAGGCTAAGTCGTTCTTTCCCTTGTACTAATAATATCTTCGTTTTGCACTAATTCGTCGAGTCAGGATTCGAGGACGGCGATGATGCGGGAGTTTGTACAACGATTGAGTCATCCTTATCGTTAATAGTTGGTGCTATTAACATGCCACGTGGACTAAACGTATCGCAATATAAATTCTCTTTCTTGTGGACTCGTCTAACATGACTGCGTAGATTATCACGTCGTGCACTTCTGTATGCGCAATGCGGACAAAGATGTGGTTTCTCGCCAGTGTGCATGCGACGATGTTGAATCAACTGAATCATCAAAATTGCATACGTATATATATATATATATATACATATATATACGATTAAAAAGAAAAGAAAAGAGCGAAGTTTTTCCTTTTCTTTCTTGTTTTTGTTGTTTGTAGAGAAATCAAAAAAAAAACAAAAGAAAAAATAAAAGAATATGTTCAATATAATTACCTTCTTCAATTGAACAGTACGGAAGATACAAATATCGCAACAAAAGTAACGATCGTCCCGATGCCTTCTCATGTGTCTACTAAGATCAACCTCGGATGATCTATCTGCGCCGCATACCGCACAGCTAACTCTTGTTTCTGGTGCGGTACCTCTTGCGTGTGCCCTCAAATGCCTTTGGAAAGCTTTTTCGATCGTACAAGCGTAGGAACATAAGGTGCATCGATATTCCTCCCTTTCGTATCTGATTTGTTTTCCGAGAAAATAGAGGAAGAAAAGACAAAACCATAATCAAACAAAATCACACAAATTAGGAAAGAAATAGAAATAGAAGAAGAAGAAGAAAAAGGATAATTTCAATTTTTTATAATTCTAAATGTACTATCAGTGAATTATTTAAATAATAAATGATTTGGACTTCAGTACCTATACCTAACGCGTTGCAAGGCCAATGTACGTTTTTTCCCTGTTGGTGTCATTCCTTGTGCAACGTGTGCCGCTACATGAGTTTCCATTTCGCATCTACTATTCGTTGTAAAATCGCAACCTGGTGCAGGACAACTCCTTGATTCTCTCATTTCAGTACCATTTAACGTTGGATGACAATTTGCAATGTGTTTCCTTAAAGCTGGCCTAGTAGGGGCTACCACGTCGCAAGAACCGCATGAATATCCTCGATGTACGTTACTAACATTTGGACTACTACCTCTAGATCTGTCACAAATCATTTCTTATTGTACTGATTCGTTCGAAAAAAAAAAAAAAAAAGAAGGAAAGAGAAAAAAAAAGAACAACAAAAAAAAAATGTTTATAACTATGCGCATATACCTTTCCGTGTAAGAAGAATGTTCACTTTCAGAATCGCTGTCGGAAGGTATGTTTGGGATTTGTGTAGCCTCTAATGCTGCAGTAGCTGCTGATAATCTTCCTAACATTGCCGTATACGCACCTAATACCCAACCATTTAAAACTGGTGATACCGCACCTTCCTATATGTGATAAATAATTTAATTATATAATACGGAGAAATTATATATATATATATATATATATATATATATATATATATATACGGATTTTTATTTCTAATTAATTAAGTAAAATGACGTACCTTGTCGAGACCTAAACAGGACATCGGATCTAACAATTTTGTTGGAAAATTGTTATTAGATGACTTACGCGAACTTCCTGTACTTCCCGTATCACTTTCCTCGTCCTCTTCATTTTCGTTGGTTTCGATTTGTTCAGAAGAAGTCTGTATAATATGAAGGATATTTTTTTGTTTGTTTGTTTGTTCTTTTTTTTCATTTTCTTCTTCTTTTTTTCTTTCTCTCTTTCTTTCTTTCTTTCTTTTCGATAAAGTTTTACCTACTTGATTCTCATTATCGTCGGATTTTTCGATGTTATCTTCGTTGACTTCGTTATCATCTCCGCCATCGTCATTTTCTTCATGATAGACCTCATTAGTATCGTCCTTGGCCAATTCTAAATCATTATTACTCCCGGAAGATTTCGTAACTAATCCTATAGGGCCATAGGGCGATGGCCCATTTAAAGCTAACGGCAATGGTACCATATTTGTTGTAGATTGACATAGAACATTAAGAGTTAAAGCAGTCCTTGGAGTTATTTGACACACATATGGGGGTAAGATAGGATGATGTCTACGGGCGAGGCGTGGGTCTCTCCAAAGTTCACCCGCAACGTGAAGACTCCAAATCCCATATTCCATCTAAAGAAAATTTCATAGAAATATATATATATATATATATATATATATACATATATGTTCTGATATTAAATTCAGAACACAATTGAAATAGAGAGATAAATAGATATAGAGAGAGAGCGAAGAAGGGGAGAGAGAAAGAGAGAGAGAGAGAGAGACAGGGAGGGAGAAAGAGAGATAGAGAGGGAGAAAGAGAGAGGGGGTAGAAAGAGAGGTGTAGAGAAACGAAGAGATTAGAGATCTAAATTTATTCGATAGAACAAAGCAAAATATTTTACAAAGAAGAAGAAGAAAAAGAAGAGAAAGAAGAAAAAGAAGAAGAAGAAGAGGAAAAAGAAGAAGAAGAAGAGGAAGATGATAATGAAGAAGAAGAAGAAGAAGAAGAAGAAGAGGAAGAAGATGATGATGCAGAAGAAGAAGAAGAAGAGGAAGAAGATGATGATGCAGAAGAAGAAGAAGAAGAAGAAGAAGTTTTAACGAGCAAATTACCCGTATTATGATCTGTGACGTCAAACATGTGTCCTGGGTTTGGTTATTAAACTGAAATAATTGAGAAAAAATTAACTGTGAATTAATTGTTACAAAAAAAAAAAAAAAAAAGAAAGAAAAAAAAATATCGGCTCATAAATATATACACACACAAATACATATATATATAAGCACAATACATACATACATATATATATATATATATATATCAAATAATTTACTTTTAATAATTTAGAAGATGGATTAAGGGATTTGATGTTTCTCTTACGGGCACCCCTCTGGCGGCCTACCGCAACTGTGCCCGGACGTCATTACGGAAGACTTTTATACCAGAACTCTAGTATTAGCAGGTACAGTAATTACTGGACGACGTCGTTCGACGGTCCTGTTGAATAAAAATAAACCGTTTTTATAATTTTAACCGGTATTCTAAAGAAGACAATAATTTCCCCTCCTCCCACCTTCTTCTCCCACAACCCCACGCCACCCTACCCCAACCCACCCCAACCCACCCCCTTTATACAACCGAACGGATAATGATAAATCAATGGGATCGAAATATAAATATATATATATATGTATATATATATATATATATATGTATATATATATATATATATATACACACATATAGAGAAAAAGAAATTTTTCTTTTAATTACTTTGTTAGAGCGATCTGCCCGGTTACGTGATACTTGGCGCAGGAACGAACCTACGAACGAACGAACGAACGTACGAACGCACGAACGAACGTACTTACGAACAAACGAATGAACGAACGAACGAACGAACGAACTCGCGATATTCCTGACCATCGGACCAACCCTCGTGCATGCATACTTTAGCATAACGTTCTCTATACAATATCTAGAAAGAGAGAGAGAAGAGAGAGAGAGAAAGAGAGAGAGAGAGAGAGAGAGAGAGAGAGAGAGAGAGAAAGAGTAAGAGAGAACTACAGAGTTCGGGGTAGAGATGAAGGTATGGGCTATGTGTACGTGTACATGTAGAGAGTCAAAGGGAAAGAGAGAAAGAGAGAGAGAGAGAGAGAATGAGGGAGTGGATGAGGATGAGGGTGAGAGAGAGAGAGAGAGAGAGAGAGATAGGATCCCTCCCTCTCTATCTCTTTCAACCCTCGTATAAAGCGCCATCCTTCTCTCGCCTGGCAACTGCCCTGACCCCCACCCCATTTGCTCTCTCTTGCGAATCGATTTGTTATTGTTTTTGTGTCTGCGGTCCTGGCGGAACGGGAGGCCAATGGAGGGAGGAATATACATCAGTTCTGGGGGTAGAGAGATAGAGGCAAATATATATATGTATATATATATATATATATATATATATATAATATGTAGGGAGAGAGGGAGAGAGATAGAGATAGGGGAAGGTCCTGGGAATTCTGGTACTGAGAAGTCTCGGTTTTCGAAATGGCCGGGTAAAAGGGTAAAAGAGGGTGAGATATATTGCCCGTGGCACTTCGTGCCTGGGATAGAGGTGGTGGTTCCGCTGGGATGAGAATATAACCAGCACCATGGTTGGTTGAAAAAGACCCAGGGAAAATGGGTGCTCGGGAGTATTTGGTAGGGAAGGAGGAAGAGAAGGAGGATGAGGTCGAGTGCTGGACCGATAGTGGGAGGAGGATTCACGGGGTTCTCGCTAAAACGGGTAATAGTAATGGTAGATGGGTGGGTGGATGGGTGGGTGGGTGAAGGTGGTAGTGATGGTGGTGGTAATGATGGCTGGTGGTCCTGGTGGTCCTGGTGCTGGTGGTAGGTGGTGGTGGTGGTAAAGGTAATGGTGGTGGTTAGGAGAGTATGGTGGGAGGATCCCTGGCAAAGAAGACTCGTACGGGGTTTGGTGGAAGGGAGGGAGGGAGGGAGGGGGGTTAGCTCAGATTCAAAGGGGAAAGAGGGGACTGAGGTAAGGCGAGGGATACTACGTCGGCTTGACAGGTGACAGCCAATCGGACCACTGACGTCACAGATCACTCGCTCGACCGCTCGCACGCACGACCCGATCTACGACGACTACGATTACGATTACGATTACGAGTACGACGACGATGACGATGACGACGACGACAACGACGACGACGACGACGACAATCCGACGTGTATTCGACGAAGATAATACACGTAAAAAAATACACAGCCAACCAAGCTGATCGACTTTCTTCTTCTCGTGGAACCGAGAAGAAATGTATTAAAAAAAAAAGAAAAAAAAGAGGTTTAAGAATGAACCGAAAAGAAAAAAAAAAAAAAGAAAAAAATAAGATAACTATGGCTCAAACGAGGCGACGTTTTTGCGTTTGTTTGTTTGTTTTTTTTTCTTTTTTTTTTCCTTTTTTACTTTTAAAGTGATATCCCGCGAGTACACGTATCGAAAATAAATAAAGGTTATTTGGAGAGATAGAATATTTTTTTCGCGCTAGTACGGTAGTAGGGTATTTACGGTGCTAACCGGCCGATATCCCCGCGCGACGTCTCTATCTCGTTACCATTACACTCGGATGTATGAAATGCGCCAGAAGGCATACACCATCCCCCCACAATAGCCCTATTTATGATTGGGCAAAATTGCTTTCCATGCGCAGAATAAAATCGCGCGCGTCTGGAAAAATCCGCGGTGCTGTAAGCGAATCTCAAACGTATTCCTGTGAAAAAGGGAATCCGCATAATTCCTTTTTAATTATTTCTTTATAAAAGGTTACGAACGTTAAATTAAATTCTTTTTATAGTCATTCTTTTATGTCAATCATCCCTCTGGTATTTAATATATTTCCTTTTTATGTTTTTATTCCTAGTGTCCTCGAGCAAAACTTGCGAAAAATTAAATATGGCGATATCCGCGAGCATGCGCATAACAATTACCACCCATGTCTATCTGTTAGCCAATCAGCATTCGCCAATTTTATTCCGTTCGTCGTCGTTAGAGCGCGCCACCATTGGCTACCTTCCTTTTCTATGTTTTTTTTTTTTCTTAACGACGTACGCATGCGACGCCATTTTTTTTATCTCTCTATTTTTTTTCTTCCTCTTTTTTTCATGACGTCAACGGCTATCACCGCCGCGGAGAAATTAGCATTTGTGCTAATTTCTTTTTCCCTTTTTTCCCTCTCTTTTTCTTTATCCTGAATAACGATTTAACGTCCATCTTTATTTTTTCATGGTTTAAATAATTCCATGAAAATTAAATTATCTGCTCCTCTTCGTTATTTCAAGTTTCATAATTTTAACTAATCTGTTTTACTTTTTTTTTATTTTTTTTTTTTTATTTTTTTTTTATTTTTTCTTTCCCCCATTTTTTAAAACTTTTTCCAATAGAAATTATGCATCATACAAAGTTTTAAAACTGAATAAAAACTTGTTTTCTCACTTTCTACATTATACTAAATATTAATCAAGCAAAATCTTATAAAGGATTTATTTGAAAAGAAATATTATAGATTTGAGATTAAAATATAAATTTTGTATTGGATAATATAACTGTCACATATTAAGCACAGTATACCAATTTTGATAAAATAGAATGACAAAGTATATTATAATGTTGGAAGGATAGATTTTATTTTATCATCAATGATACTTTATGATATTTTTCTTTTTAATTTTTTATATCATTATTATCATATTCAATAAAATATATTATAAATACTTTTCAATCAGATACTCCATAGGAGATTTTCACATTTTTTTTACACTTCTTTTAATTTTAACTAAAGAGCAATGACCTATTACAATCTAACATCTATCATGAATAATAGTAGATGTAATAATGATTTTTTTTAAATCATGAAAACAAGATATAATACTACAAATTATACTAAATCATACAATTAAAAGAGTTTTAAAACATTACTGAATTTCAAACAGAGGTGGTTGGGAAATATGAAACTTGCCATGCGCAAAACAGCTGAAGGCACTCTTTTAAAACAAGAAAGAGATGAAATACAAAATATTAACAAAATAAAAGAGAATAATTGTAACAAGGATGGTTAGTTTTAAGAAGAAAAAGATCATTTTTAATAAAGAAAGATCATTTAAAAAGCAAAAAGTCATTTTTAATAAGATAAATCGATTTTAAGAAAAAGGAATCCAATAATTTAATTTTTTATTAAATTTTAAAATGAATAAATTGAAATATCATGAAATATTAAAAAAACAATTAGAATATTTAATGTTTAATAATTTCACATACCTTTCTTGAATGGTTTGAATCTGGACTTTACTTTTATCGTGCTTCCATAAGTAAACGCAGCATGCAACGAATATATTGAAACACATTTTGACACTAATATAATTATTTCTCGTGAAGTAAAAGCAACTTCCCAATCAATCAGATTTTATAACTTAAACAATTGTCACGATTCGTTCACTTCGGTTGCTTCTTTATGACTTTTTACTTCTTTCTGATCGAACCACTTCTTGTTAGCAAACGATACTATATTAATTAATGTAATGAGTGTTTGAATTCATGTTTTCAAATTTCACCGCTAGCTACCAGCGCCACCAGCGCTGTGGGCGTTTTTTTCTTTTGCAAATTTCTAAATTAATCGTAAGCTTAAGTCAAACTCACTACTATTGAGGTAATGGTAAAGATATTTACTTTAGTTAATAATTAATATTAAAATATATATAATCCAAAGTGGCGACTAAATTTTTAAGGGCGTGATCAATCGAAAATTTATTCATCGGTTATGGATCAGGTATTACTTTTAAAATAAATAATATTTTTATATTTTTAATCATAAATATCACATATCACTTTTTTTCTATTTTCTTTCAAAGGAAGAAAAACGACAAGTGCCATCATTTTTGAAGAAGATTTTGGATGTCGATGTTTATTTAACAAAGGTTTTTGTAAATTCATTGGAAAAATATCTACCAGTAAGGCAGCTTCAAACACATTACAAAGCATTAGAGGTATTTTATAATAAATATATTTAAATGAAACACATCTGTTATTACACAGATCAATTTGAAGAGGTTAAGTATTAATAATTTCCTTTTTCAAAGATATCATGCCATGGAATACCTTGGATTGCTTTGACATTAGCTTCAATATGGATTTTTCATCTTACATCTCTTTATCAATTACAAGTCAATCTTTTTATTGGTAAGTAATAAATATTTGTATATGAACAAATGATAAAAAAGAAACAAAAAAAAAAACAAAAAGAACAAACAAACTTTCAGAATGAAGAATGATACAGCATTGAATATGTTTCAATTAAATTTGAATAAATTTTCCTTAAGATATCATTGATATAATCTAATATATATATTATGGAAATCTTTTCAGGCTTTTTAATTGACTTGTTATTAATTGCAATATTGAAAGCATTAACAAGAAGAAGACGTCCAGCAGTTAATGATGATCCATTTGCAATAGGTCCTGACAAATATTCTTTTCCATCTGGCCATGCCTCTCGTTGTACATTCATTGTCTATTATTTTTTATATTTATGGCCACTGCCCATCATTTTTGTACCATCATTATTAGCCTGGTGTACTTGCGTATGTTTGTCTAGACTTTTAATGAGACGACATAATATATTGGACGTGGGTATTGGAATAATTTTAGGCATTCTTGAAGGAATGATTATTGGTTACATGTATTTAAGTCAAGATACATGTATAAATTTAGTTACTTGGATTACAAACGAAAAAATAGATGACGTATGAATTAATTGACCTTTAAATATTCTATTTGTTATACTTTTCTAATGAACCATTTCTTTTTTCGTTTTTTCTTTTTTTACAAATTCTCTGTTACAATTTGATATATATATGTGTTTTTTTTTATGATTGACAAGTGTTCTTCTTAAGAAAATTATGATTCTTTAGTTTTGCCAAATTATTCACTACCATAATGAATTTCTTTCTTTCATTCTTTTTTTTTTCTTATTCTTTTTAATTTTTATTTAATTCATTATCTACATACGTGGACAAAAAGTAATAAAAATATTTCATAATATGAGACTGTAAATTATATACCCTATATATTACGACTAGATATTTATCTTGGTGTCAGTATAGAATTTATATAATTAAATTCTAGTCCTGATTTAATAGGTTTAATTTTTATCATTTGTTAAAAACTAGTCTGCCACTATTCTTATAAATTCTACAATTTAGTATCAATTTTTTGATGCATCTATTATTGTACTCTGTATTTATAGAGTATTAAACTAAAATGATATTAATACTGTATACGCAATTATTACAATAAAAATTAAATACTAAATTAATTAAGTATATTTAAAAGCTAATATCTGTGTGTATGTGTGTATGTATAAGAATCTTGAAAAAAAAAAATAATGATCATAAAGAGATAAAAATATAAATAAACAATTAAAAGGAAAAATCACGCGAGAAAAAATTTTGTCATAAAAACGCAATGCTTTTTTTCTTTCTTTTTTTTTTTTTTTAAACATAATACGTATTAAGAAGAATTTGAATGGAAATTATTACCATAGCATCAAATTTTTTATTTCTATCTTGTTTCTGATAAATGTCATTTATAAACGTTCCTCTTTTGTTTTTTTTTTTTTGGTTTTTTTTCTTTCTTTACCACAACGGTGAATGATAAAATTTAAGATCAAGATGACCGTGCTGATTGTTTCCAGTTACTTCTTGGCTGCACGAAGGGGATGGTTTAACAGTTTTTTCAGTTTCTATTATAACAGGAGCGAATGATGTTGCTTCATTATTAGGAACAACTGTCGTTGATATAATTGGTAATTCATTTGTATGTTGCTTTTGATCTTCCTCCGAATACAAGCTTAAAGATCGTGGTCGTTCCAGTTTTGTTGTAATAGGAGAAGAGATAATGTCCTCGCTGAAATATTAATCTCTCCGTGAAGACGCGGAAAAATTATTAAATATAAATAAGGAACATCATGCAAATATTGTTTCGACATACAATATAACATTTCAGTGATTTGTGATTTATTTTATTTGACATAAAAAATTCAAGAACACACATATATTAAAGGGGACAAAAAAGTTACATAAAAAATAAAATTGCAAACAAAGCTTCATCCTCCTTCTCTGAAGGCTTTAGAAAATTTTATCTAATGATAATGTAAACGTAGCATGGTTTTATAAATAAAAATTATTATTCATTGGATAAATTTTAATAGAAATATATATATATATACCACCAATTCTTTTTCTTAAATATTAATACATTATAATCAAGAATTGTTATTAATAATGCAACGAAGAATATTTTACAAATAGCCAGAAAAAATTTTGTCAGAAATTTTTTTTTTTTTATATAAAGATTGCACATTCAGAGTACTGATCCATAAGATATTTTGCTAAACGATAATAAGCATAAATTAATTATGCGAAGCGTGAAAATAATAATAATAATAATAGTAATAATAAAACAAAAAAAAATTTGAATGAGATCGGTGCAAGTGATTTTAAATATTAAAATATAAATATCACAATTAACTAATTATATACTATATGCATGTGTAAAAAGACATACACAATTAAAGTGTTTGAAGTATTTTTTAAAGTGCGAGTATTAACAAACAATGCATTTGAACGACAATGTTTGTTTTTCATATTATTTACGAAATAACTTCTACTATATAAATATATTTTCTTTTTTCCTCTATCACCTTTGAACGTTAAAAATTAATTCATCAAGAATAAATTATTTAAATAAATATATATGTTAATATTTTGTAATAATCAATGACTATATTCTAAACAAAATTCACAAAGTTTATGTCTTTGTTATTTAGTAATACTCGGGGGAAAAAAAAAAAAAAAAAAAAAAATAATAATAATAAAAAACATATATATATATTTTATGCATTAATCTCACAAAATTGTCGTGAATTAATACATAAATAATGATCTAGATAAAATCGAAACAAGACTTCTTTTTTCTTTGAACTATAATTTAAGATGTATCCCCAAAAAAAAAGATATATATATATATATATATTTTTTTTTTTTTGACAATAACAATCATTCCATTTAACAATTCTGAAACGAAGTTTGTTACTTTTTTTTTAAAATAGAAATGTGAATAATCAACTTTGGGCTAAGAGTCCTGATTCTCTTTGATGTACGAAGAGAAGAGAAAAGAAAAGAAAAAAAAAAAAAAAAAAAAACAGAAATATAAATTGTTTAACTAAATAGTTTGTACAAATGCTTTAGGAGAGAACGCACAATAAATTTCAATCGTTGATACACTTTTACTCCGATTTTACTCACCCTGTACGTTCAATTGATTGACCAAGCATCGCGGTATTATGGATTATCTATAACAAAAAAAAGAAAAAAAAGAAATCAATTGTCATTCTCAAATATATCTTATATGATTATTTATAAATTACAGATAATAATAACGAGATATGGTTTTGTAAATTTGATTAAAAAATTAAATAATCTAACAATTACAAGTATTATAATTTAATATTAATATTGATTATAAATATACTCACGTTTGCCATTGAACATGGCGGTCGTCCAGCAGCGTATCTACCGTAAGAACTACGAGTAACTGTAGAAACATACGGTATACCATTCGTACTAAAAAAATAATTTTTTTTTTTTTTATAAATATCAATTAATAATTATTTTATTTAATTAATTAATCATATACACTCACACACACACAAGCACACGTATCATTTAAAACGCACCTACCTATTACTTTTCGCTGCATTATTATTTGGTGGTGTGCCGATATCAAAAGAATGTCTTGGTGGTAAACTATATCTATTAGCTCTGACATCTTGAATTTCTAAAAAGAAAAAAAAAGAATTACAATTTAGAAATGATATTCCAAGTAATGACATTAGAAATAGATAGTCTACATAATGCAATAGAAATTATACAGTAGTTTAAAGAATACTTTTATAAATCTATTATTTTGTGAATAGTAAATAAGTTGGTATATTTGTAATTGACATGTAAATCTAAGTCAAGGATTGACTTAGATTTATATGTCAATTGAAATCGGTTTCTTAGAAAGAGCTATAAGCTTCTTTAAATTAATTATCAAATGGTATTGACTGTTACTTCCAACTTTTTTCTTTCCTTATCTTCTTTTTTTTTCTTTTTTTTTCTCTTTTTTTTCCTTTTCAATGCAATATTATTGCCAAGTATCTGACCTATTTATATATATATATATATATATATATATATATATATATATATATATATATATATATATATATATATCAGACTGACTGACCTTGACATGTACCTTTTTCGTACCTTTAAAATGAAGTGGGATCGACGATGACTCGACTATGGCCTTGTACTTTTACGATGGTATTGAGATTACCAGACAGGACTTTGCATGGTTCTCTCTCTCTTTTTCAATATTTTACATAATGGTATATATGTATATATATACACATAATATTTATAATATACATAATAATTTTTATATACAAACTTAGTCCCATTTACGTATCGTCGATTAATTTATCATTATTATTATGTAAATAATATAATTCCTTTTATTTATTTATTTTTCTATTATATTATTTTTGATTTACTCTTTTTATTATTATTATTATTATTATTATTATTATTATTATTATTATTATTATTATTACTATTATTATCATCTTTTACCAGGGACAATTTCTATCTAGCTCTTATTTTATTGATTTTATGTATACCAGTAAACACGCCCAGTTGATAAGTCTTATTGGTAAGCCTTATTAACTGAGTATTATTGATTAAACAATAAGAGAAAAGAAAATGTAAAAAAAGAAACTTACCGTCATCGAAAAATCCTTGGAACACAACGAATTTATTATTCTGCGTAATGATTTTCGTCAATCCATAATGTTTTTGTAGAAAGGCAAGAAATTTCTCCGAAGGTCGGTCAATTGCTAATTTCACTGGCCTAATATTTTCTTCCTAGAGAAAAGAATTTTTTTTTTTTGTTTCTTTTTTTTTTTTAGAAAGACCAGAAAGAGAAATTGTCCATAATTTTCGAATTTATTATTAACGTTTAGAAATATTAGAAAAAAAAAATATATATATATATAAACATATGATTATTTGTTTTTTAATTGTACGCATTAATAATTATAATAATTGACCGTGAAATATAAAATGATTCGAGTATGTAGAAAGTTTGTTGATCTCTTTTTCTCTATCTATTTCACTTTAACGTCAAGATTTATCTAATAAAAGAGAGCACAGGTAGAAACGTTGCCCATGCACCATGGATTAGATAGAAATCAACGAACCGTGTCGAAATAAACGGGCATGCACGAGTTCAATCACCTTCTTTCGACTCTACCTTCGAATCGTAACACCCACTTAATGTTTTACGTTTACTAATCATTTTTCTTGTTCACGTTATTAGATCATTCTTTCACGTTACTTCCTTTTCTTTTTCTTTTATTTATTTATTTATATTTTTTTTCTTCTTTTTCCTTTTTCTTTATAATACAAAGGGCAAATTTATAAAGTGTTATAAATCTAAATGTAAAAGAAGATTAAGAATTACAATTAAAAAATTTCATATATTATTGAATCATAATGATTATCATTTTTATTAATGAAATGATAACTTAAGAATGTATTTATGTATTTACAAATTTTTTAATTGATTCTTCTTCTTTTTTTTTCCCTTTCTATTTTTCTTTCTTTCGAGCAAAATAAAATTCTATACGAATATTTTATAACTGTTGTTTAAAAAAACATATATATATATATATATATTTATGTAAAATTTTTTTTTGTTCTTTCTAAAAATTAATTTTTAAACTTATCGATTAACAACTTACGGACAGCATGTACTGATAAAGAATATTTCCAAGTCCCATACGTTGTCGAGATTCATGAATATAAAAATCCAAAATACACCGTGGTCTCAACTGATAATTCGCTCCCGTTTCATCGAACATGAACAAATTCTTTGATCCAGTTTTCAGCAACCCTACCACGCTTCCCAGGTTGCTAAAAAAAAAAAAAAAGAAAAGAAGATGAAGAAAAAAGAAAAAAGAAACTGAGAAAAAGGAAGAAAGAAATCGATGATTCGAACGTTTACACGCTCTTGCATTTAATGATTATAGGGATGATTACTTTAAGAGATAAAATAAAATAAGAAAAAAAAAAGAAAAAAAAAGGAGATAAAAATATAAGATTGATCAGCAAAAAATATTGCAACTGAGTAACATTAGTATGAGATAATGTTTATGTTATTGTTTAAGTATTGACCTAATTCTCTTCAAAGCCTTAAAAATGATAATAAAATAAAAAGGAATAAAAAAAAAAGTAAAGAAAAAAAAAAAAAAAACAAGAACTTTATCTTGATCCTATCATTATCTCTCAGTTTTATTTCCATGACTGTATAAGATTATTACTGGGCAAAAAAAAAGAAAAAAAAAGAAAAAAGAAATAAAAAAATGAGCAACGACGAACATTAATATAATAAATTGAAGTAGATAAATTGAAGTCAGTGAGTATTCTTAAAATGAACGTAATATCTTTTACTCTTCGTTCCATCTATTTTTTTCTTTTTTTTTTTTTTTTTTTTTTTTTTTTTAAGTTAAAAGAAAGAAAGTAATAAAAAAGAAAAAAGAAAAAAACGGCCTGAAAGACTCCTGCAGTAAAACCCAGCTTCGTTATCGATCCACTAGCTAGCTATATATATATATATTGCTATATACTTTGAAAGTCTTTCTGCTAGAAAATATATAACTCCTATTATTCGTCCATATTGTATGCTGAATATTGTTCCCTAAATTATTATTATTATCATTAATATATATATATATATATATATATATATAGAAAAGTTTTATAAAATTTATACAATAGTATTATATAAATTGAAAACTAAATGATATAATATGTAAAACAAATAATGAAAGATACGAAGATAAAAATTTTTAAATAAAAAATTACTTGTTCGCTTCGTTGTCTACGAGAAGATAAACAATGTGATCTGTGTCACGAAGTTTAACAGCACTTGTTATTGATTTACTCAATCCTTGAGCCTTTGCAGAAGCTTCTCCCATGTCGTCCAAAATTTTACTTATTTGCCGTTGACATTCGCTGTAACGTTATCAGAAAAAAAAAAAAAGATTAATTATTATTTTATATTATTTTTTTTTTGTGAAATAGTCAAGTTATAAATACCAATGACTATTTCATAAAAATTATATGCGTATGCGTGTGTGGATATGAAAAAAATAATTAAATCAAATTAATTCGATGTTACACGTGATGCATAATAGAAAATTATTACATCACGAACGCATCGTTACATAATACACGTTGGTATGCTCGTTGTATTACAACTTTCAACTAATCTTGTAATAGCTAATATGACATATATATATATATATATATATATGATTTATGTTTGAAATTTCTTATTAATTAAATTATAGCATATGTTATATATTTATTGCTATGACAGGTTTGTAATCATTGTCTATAAGTTTATGGCCTTAATATCAATTTGTAATAGTTTAAGGATAGACGATGGATAAACAACCATAAATATTTTTTCTTATAGCTGTTATATGTGTCACAAATGGTAATGGATATTTAGTGCATCGATCAATTTGTCTATATACATGTATCTAGAAATAGGTTTATAGATATCACAGAAAAGTTATCAGGTTTTATGATATTTCTGTTGGCTAGTAAATTTTATAATGAGATTTTCATCCCCTTTTTTTTCTTCCTTTTTTTCTTTTTTCTTTTTTTTTTTTTTTGGAGCGAAGTAAAATTTTATACGAATATTTCGTATCTCTCTATACTTCGTTCTTAAAAAAAAAAAAACGTATGTATATGTGTACATATATATATATAAATTTTTTTTTTAATTTAATTTAAATAAACGATATTAAATAAATATCGTTTGAGAATATTTTCTTAATTATTATTTTCCTCATTTTTTTTTCTTTTTTTTTTTTATATACAATTTAATATTAAAGATTATTCGATTATACCAACTATAGGCATTTCCTTTATCATAATTTCATTAAAATATTATACTTTATTTAGAATCGTTTCAATGATGAATAATATCAAAATTTCATCACAAATATAATAATAATATTATACTATGTTTAATAATTAATATAAACAATTATTCAATCTTTAAATAATTGTATAAACGATAAACGCATATACGCAAGCTTTTATAAATATATTCCATTTTAATCGTCAAATTTCAAAATTAATTAATTCCTGCAAAAATTATCTTTTTAAAAAAAAACAACAACAACAACAACAACAACAACTACTACTACAATAATAATAATAATAATAATAATAATAATAATAATAATAATAATAATAATAATAATAATAATAATAATAATAATAATAATTTAATGAAACATTTATAATGTTTTATTATTTCTATCAAATATGAATAAACGTAGAATGTATTCAATTCCTTACGTTACTACATTCTAGTATGAATAAAGTGCAAAAAGGAAAGATGAATCTGTGAGAGAAAGAGGGAGAGAGAGAGAGAGAGAGAGAGAGAGAAAGAGAGAGAGGGAGAGACCAAGAGAGAGGAAGAGAAGGAAAGAGAGAGAAAGATATATAGTTTTCCACATAATAACGGAGCAAATAAGAGGAGGGGAAGCAGTGAGAAAGCACTCTACCATTTCGTCATAGACTTCCGTGAACGTTCGCGAGTCACTGCATAAGAATTTCTTCCAACGTTTTAATATTTTTTTCTCTCCTTTCTTTATTCTTTCCTTTTCTTTTCTTTCCTTTCTTTTTTTTTTTCTCCTTCAAATTAAAATTATACACAACCACACATAAAAAATAACACACACACGCGCGGGCGCACGCGCGCGTAAAAAAAAAAACATAAATCACACACCAAATATACATACATACATATATATATATATACAGCCACGCATATACAAACATAAAGCACATACACACATATACATATATATATATATACATATATATGCATACATACATATATTTCATTGTATATTTATCAATAACGAAATCAAGAAAATATAATTAGTTTTCATTATCCAAACACATTTTCTATATCTCATAATAATAATAATAATAATAATAATAATAATAATAATAATAATCGTCGATATCATAATCGATCATTATCGATGTAATCGATATATCAGTTAATTGATACGTCTCAAAATAAAACTGTTGAAAGATCGTAAAGATTATATTGATCTATATTTTCCAAGAAATCGTATTGATTATATAAGAAAATTTTTTTTTTTTTTTTATTGAAATCTCACGTTAATCATTATCCACACAATGTAATAACATCTCTTACGTATATATATATATATAAATTACGCATCGATAATAATTGGGCGAAGCCTTTCTCATCTACTCAATCTATTTCGCGCCAGCGTATTAGGGTTCATGTAACATGACCGATTAATAACGCAAATGTAAATGTCATCTTATATATGTTACTTACAAAATAAATAAAACCAAACAAACAAAAAAATTATAAACATATAATAATAATAATAATAATAATAATAATAATAATAATCCTTACTTTAGTTCACGACGATCTCCTTTAAAATCTTCCGGTATGAGAATATGAGTAACCTTGTTAATTTTCCTTGGTAGAAGTTTATTGACGTTGAACTTGAACTCCATCTTTCGAAATATCTAGTATTTCTGAAGTCTCAAAAGGCAAATCGATGATTAGAGATCAGAGAACGTGGACATATATATACATATATATATATGCCTGTGTGCGTGTATGTGTATGTATGCATGTATGTATATGTGTGCGTGTCGTGAGTGTACATATGTGTGTGTGTGTGTGTGTATGGGTGGGTGGATGTCCCACTTTTTTTCGTATACCTTCAAAAAATGGTTCCTCTCTTTCTTCCTTTTTTTTGTCGGTCGGTCGTTGTTGTTGTTGTTGTTGTTGTTTATCTTCTTTAGAAAAAATATTAAACGAGTCACGAAGTTCTGCTTCTCTTTTTTTTTTTCTTCCCCTTTTCTTCTTCCCTTCTTTTTTTTCTGTTTTTTGTTTTCTCTTTTTTCTCTTTTTTCTTTTTTTTTTTTTTTTTAGACAACACAACGATCGAAGAAGAACATTCTCTTCTCTTTTTCTCTTATATATGTAATGTCAGTGATGTAAATTGTGATATATATATATATGTATGTGTGTGTGTGTGTGTGTGTGTGTGTTTATATATATATATATATATATTTATTTGTAAAATAAATTAATTAAGGTAAACTGTTACCGACAGGAATGATTTTGTAATCGTCCATAGCCCGCAAACTTCGGATAATACGAAAATCTTGTTGGGAGGAAAAAAAAAGAAAAAAAAAATGAAAGAATATTGTTTTATATATAATTTGTGTGTATATATATATATATATATATATATATGTATGTATTATTTTGTTTTTCTTTTTAATTACTCGGATTATACGTCGATCTTCTTTTTCTTTCCTTTTTTTTATCAGCTCTTCATGAAATCATCTTTTTGTTTCTCTAAATTCCTAATTAACGTCGTACACGTTCGTGACAATATTTGTCGTAGATAAATAATTCGAGATAAGAAAATTGACTTTTTTTCTTTTTGTTTTTTTTTTTTTTTTTTATAGTTTCCTATCGAAGAAAATAGATAACCAATCAAAATACGTTCTTAACGACAACGTCGACACAATCTTGACATAATACAATCTAATCCTTTACCGTTTTTATCTATGTATTAATATCTCTTGCGTATATTAATAAAACGTGTTCACGTAATAAAAAAAAAAAATTAGTAATAGATAACTTTGTTACGATAAAAAAAATTGCGTAGTTTTTCTCTCTCTTTCTCTCTCTCTCTATCTATCTCTCTGTAAATCTGTATCTCTTTTAATCTTTCTTTCTTTCCTCTCTTTGTATCTTCTTCGATCGTGTACGTCTTAACACTTTAATGTCCTTCACGGTACTCACAGCCACCGTGATACGAGAAACCAAGTAAAGAGAGCGATGTCTCTCTCTTTTCTGAGGGATAATGTTAGGTAGTGAGGGAAACCTTCGCGCGCATGATTACTACAGATCGACCAATCAGCTACGTCCGTTAAAGGATGCCCTGATGGTCACGTGACCAGTGTCTCGTAATGCCGGTCAATTTCAAGATACATTACGATATTATAATAAGCTTATTTCTATATTATTTTAGGTAACAAATAAATATATATTTGATTCGAACGAAAATTTATTTCTATCGAATAAATTCGATAAATAATAATCGTTTGTATTATTTAAATTTTCTATGAAACTTACGAACAGATTTTATTCGACATATATATATATATTTGATGTATATGATTAATTGACCAATAGGATGACGTTAACGTGTGTCTTACGTAATAATGGCGGTCGATTTTAAATTTTAATAGAATACATTTTCGTAAGAAATATCGTCGCGTTATTTGATTTAAAAAAAGATAAAGAAAAAAAAATATTATTATTGGATTTATGTAGATTTATTTACGATATGATAATTCATATTTCTTGTATTAATTAACGTTGGGTAAGAAATGAAAATTTATTTGTTATATTGGATTTGATATATGTATTTTATGATTGACCAATAGGTTGCTTAATGGACGATTACGTCATGGGTCACGTGATCTTACATCTCCATTATGGCGGACAATTGTAATGGAATGGCAGAATAGATACGCGTTGAATATTTGTTACCTTTTTGTTAAGTTGTAATTTTTAATAGAGATATTTCCTTGGACTAGGATTTGATTATTATAATCATAGGTGAAAACAGACCAATGAGAGAAGAGTATCGATCCTAACAACACGACATTTGGTTTCAGCGAATGAGAAGCATCTTATACATAACCAATAGTAACAGTGAGAAGAGGAGTGAGAAAGGAGAAGTGGAAGAGAGAGAGAGAGAGAGAGAGAGAGAAAGAGAGAAAGAGAGAGAGAGAAAGTGATAGAAGACAGAAGTTAGAAGAAAGAGAAACACGGAAATTACAGACGGACAAGTGTCTTTTATCAAAGTGTTACAAGTTATTATATTTATTTCATTCTTTGACGGACATTTAAAGAATCAAAGGTAATTTTATTGATTATTCCAATATCATTCATCTATCAAATAATAAAATAACTATCGTATTTGATTTATTTTCATTACCTATTATCTTGTAACGAAGTAGTTAAAGAAAATGTCGTTTGGATTGAATATGCTGTGTTAGAATTGTAACTTGATTCATGTGATTGACAATTACGCATTCATTATTCAATTAAATAAAAACAAAAATAATTAAAATGAAATAATAGATGTAATATTACTTCTTGTAATTAGTGGACTTTAGTGTGATATATATATATATATATATATATATATATATATATACATATGCATATATGTATATATATATATATTATCAGTGTTGATAATTTGGAGTATAATTTATATTATTTTTTTTTTCCAATTACTTTGATGTACATTTTATATGCATACATTAGATCTAAGATTATAGATAATATTAAATTTTTGTGCAAAAATTTTTTTTCCCTCCCACAAGGGATAAAATAACATACTTTCTTAGATATTAATTTTATTAGACATATCAAAAATAGAAATTGAATTTTATTATAGATGCCGAACATTAAATTACAAAGTTCTGATGGCGAGGTATTCGAGGTGGACGTAGATATTGCAAAATGTTCTGTAACCATTAAAACAATGTTGGAGGATTTAGGTATGGACGAGGACGAAGAAGAAGTTGTACCTTTGCCCAATGTTAATTCTGTTATTCTAAGGAAAGTGTTACAATGGGCAACTTATCATAAAGATGATCCACCTCCACCAGAGGATGATGAAAATAAAGAGAAACGTACAGATGATATTAGCTCTTGGGATGCTGACTTCTTAAAAGTAGTTATTATTATGATCCTTCTATTTATTAAATCTTAAAGAAATATTGTGATCAATCAAAGCTATAGAATTAGATCATTTATAAAATGTATATATCCATGTATATTAGTTTGTATGTTATCTTTCTTACTTTCTTTCTTTCTTTCTTTTTTTTTAGGTTGATCAGGGTACACTTTTTGAATTAATTTTGGCAGCTAACTATCTTGATATTAAAGGATTGTTAGATGTAACATGCAAGACTGTTGCCAATATGATTAAAGGCAAGACCCCAGAAGAAATTCGTAAGACTTTCAACATAAAGAACGATTTTACGGCATCGGAGGAAGAACAGGTTCGCAAGGAAAATGAATGGTGCGAGGAGAAATAAGCCAAAGGATATCATATTTTTTAATATTTAATTTTAGTGTTTTTCAATTTTTAATTAAAATTTTTTTTTTTTTTTTTTCCTTTCCCCAACTCATTTCTTTTCTTTTTTTTTTGTTTTTGTTTCTTTTGTTTTTTTTTTTTTTCCTAATCCTGTTACCTTCTAATAAAATATTTTGGTATCAAGTACACACAATAATCGATAGGAAACAATGGTTCCATCCAAATGCTTAGATAATATATGATAAACTTGATATGATTTATTTGTCCATATTAAATAGCAAATATTAATGAAATTTATATACGCTGTACACCATAGAGTTCTCTCTTTCCATAGAGTATTCTTTCTTTTTTTTTTTATTGGTCTCTTAGTAACATAAGTTTAACATCACCTTAAATCTAAGCTCCTCAAGATTCATTTTGTGAAAATATAGTTAGAATATATTTGCATAATTTTAGGTAATATATTAATATATCTCAATCTCTCTCTATTTCTCTCTCTCTCTCTCTTTCTGTGGCATTACAACTTAAATTAAAAAAAAAAAAAAGGAATATTGTGTATACATTAGTTGACAAAATTAAAGGATAAGACTTAACAATATTTTATCTTCTTCTTGTTTAATGCTTATCCAATTAATAAATCCATTTAATTTCTTTAGGAAATTAAATCGTCGTTTCTTCATGCATAATTATCATTTAATGATAAGTAAGCTAAATTAAGAATTTAATTATATATATATATATATATGTATATATATAAAAAAAGCTTTTTGGTAATTATACAAATACACACGATCGATATATTCGCTATATATATATATATATATATTTTAATTCAACTTTCTACCGCTACGTGGCTCTGACTTAGATCAACATAACCTATTTTATAAATGTGAATTGCAGAGTGATATTTTAAATGGCAAATATTTTATCTTAAAGATTTAATATATCACTGTGATATATTATATAAATTATGGGTAATAATAATAAAAATTTTATGTTTAATTTAATATATAAATAATGTCTGTGAAATTATTTTTAACAGAAATAAATAAAAGGCAAAAGTTATGTCATAATGTAAATGACAAATTAAAATCATTAATTGACATAATTGATTGGAATTATTTGAATAATATAGCAATAGAGTATCATGATTTAAATATAATTCATACGATTAAATATTCGGAACTTAATGAAGCAAGGAATAAAATTGTCTCAATGTTAAAGTTTATAGAAAATTTTGAATTTATTGGTATTGGTATTGATGTTCCAGAATATTGTGTACCTGCATTAATACTAGGGTGAGAAATTATTTTTAATTATATTATATCAAAAAGAAAAATAAGTAAATAAAAAATAATATTAATTTACAAATTTTTCTTTTCTAGAATAATTACTAAAAGTTTTGGCTTTGTTAATTTACCTTCAGACATTACAGTATATAACAAATTTTTATCTACCTTGTACATAAAATATATTTTTCTATGGCATCCCATAGATAATACAGAAATTATTTGCAAGTTCGAGTTACACGGTGTATATTTGTATCTTTTAAAAATGAAACTAGCTCAGGAACAATATATAAAAAATATTGAAAGTGGTTATGCTTATGCCATTGCAACATCAGGATCAACTGGGGAAGAAAAAATTTGTAAAGTGTTTCATTCCTGTATAATACCCAACATAATAGATTTAAAATTAATTCTATCTGTCACAAAGTCTGACAAAATTGTACAATTGACAAATTTTACATTTGATCCTAGTATAATAGAAATATTTTTAACTTTTCATTCAGCTAGTACAATGTGCATGATATCAAAAAGGATTAAAAATGATGTTGATAGGTAATAATCAAAAAAAAACAAACAAACAAACAAACAAACAAAAACAAATATATATTAATCTCTCTAATCTGTAATATTTATGATATTATATTCTAGACTTTTGGATATAATATTTTACAATGATGTAACCATATTACAAAGCACTCCATCGCTATTTCTTCATAGATGGTCAACCGAACGTCTTTCCAATACAATTCTTGGAAAAGATAGTCCATTGAGAATTATACTTTTAGGGGGTGAACCATTTCCCAAGATAGATCTACTTATTGCAATTAAACACTTTGATAATAGAACTCAGTTTTTTAATATATACGGTATAACCGAGGTATCATGTTGGGCCAGTATTAATAAGATTATATTAACAGATGAAAAAATAGAATCATCTTATCTCGGTACGATCTTATCCGAAACTATATTTCAAGTTAGAAATGAAGATGATAGTATAGTGTCAAATGGAGATGGTCATCTTTACATTGGTAAAAATTTTGTAATTTTATATATAACTTTAATTATATTATATTTATTTTGTATAAAATTTATATTTATTTTAAATCCAGGAAGCAATAGTAGATTATGTCTCATTGATAATGAAGTTTTGCAAAATATAAAAAGACCTGTATTTCGTAATACTGGTGACATTGTACATGTAAGTTAATATTTTTTTTTTTTCTTTTTCTTTTTTTTTCCATACGGAATAATTATATTTAACAACATTTTATAATTATAAATTATTTCAGATCGATAATAATGGACGAATGTTTTATAAAGGAAGACAAAATGATATAATTAAACGATATGGAAATAAATTAAATTTATTAAGACTCAATGAAACCATTAAGAAATTAAATTTTGTACGCAATTGTTATTCTTGGTGGGATCCAATGAGACATAAATTACATTTGTGTATACATCCTATAACAAATGGAATTGCTATATGTGAATTAAAAAAAGATGTAATATCGCATTTAGAAAAATTACCTGACATTTATAAACCTGATAAAATTCACTTTATCAAAAATATTGAACTTACAGAGAATGGAAAGATTTCTATTAAATTCTTAGAGAAAATATGTACGGAAGATAGAATTGTTATATCGAGTAATCTTCGTGATACAATCGAAGAGAATTTTGAAAGCGTATGGAATAATTATTTAAATTTAAAAACTGATGGATTTATAAAATTAGGCGGAACTTCTATTATGGCACTACAAATTTCAACGGAGATTTGTGAACTTTTAAATACACAATTTCCAAATTTAATTGGTATGTTACTTAAAGATGCCACTTTCGAGGAATGTCTAACATATCTTAAAAATATTTTATCGTTTAATACACGTAATGAAATTGACGTTTCAACTAATTACACGTCTATACATACGTATGTAACTATGGATAAAATATTTTCAAATGATACGTATAAAATAAATGAAGAGAATATATGTTTATGGCAAAGATGTAAAGGAAGAAGGTACACACATTTATCATTTAATGAACGAACATTAAAGTCTGATAAAAAAACAATAACTAATATTCGTATTAAAAATACATTTGATTTACTTAAATGCGTTGATGCATCACCAACTATATTTTGTTATAAGTGAGTATAATTATAATAGGTTTTATTTATATAAGAAGATGATAAAAGAAGATGATAAAAATTTTGTTTTTTTCTTTATATTGTTTAGCAAAAAAACATTTGTCACGGTTGGTTCTCATTCGGGTATAATTTGCACCGTTGAACTTAAACCTGATGATAATAGCGTTGTATATAAAATTCAACTTCCAAATAGAATTGAATCTTCTGTTGTAGTTTTAGATAATTTTAAGGGTATTGTTGGTAAGTGTTTTTTTTTTTTAACTAACAAACATTAGTATTAATTCTCATTTTTCTAATTGATACAATTTTTAGGATGTTACGATGGTCATATTTATTGTTTTCATTTAAAGACAGGCGATATTATTTGGAAATATCAAACTGAAGATATAATAAAATGTACAGCTATATTATCTGAATCAAAAGATAAATTATTTGTTGGATCTTATGATAATAATGTGTACTGCCTTTCTACTGAAGTATGTGCTATAATGTATATATATATATATAAATATATATATATATATTTATCATTAGCTAAATTAAATTAAAATCATAAATATTAATAAATATAGAATGGAGCAAAAATTTGGAGCGTGAAAGGCAGCGATGGAAGTATTTCAGCAAGCGGATGTTTACATTCGCAAACAGAATCAGTATTATTTGGAACTTTGGATGGTTCTTGCATAGGAATAAATCAATCGAGGGGAAATATTTTTTGGAGGCATAAATTAATCAATCCAATATTTGTATCACCTATTACACTTAATAATGGATATGTAATTTTTTCTACCGTAGGAGGTACATTAATCTGTTTCGATATACAGGCTGATACAAAGGTGAAAATGATATTTGAAAGTGTTTAATCTTTTTTTTTTTTTTTTTTTTTTTTTTTTTTCAAAAAAAATTTTCATCAATCTTTAATCCATTAAAATGAATATATTTCTTTTAACAGTTATGGACATATCAAATAAATGGCAATATATTTGCCTATCCAATAAATCAATATGATCCAATAAAAAATTGTGAAAATATTATTATAGGATCTTTAGGAAAGTGTATATATTATTTGGAATTAAATCCAATGATAGAAAAGACAGGACCAATTTTAAAATATATTAAAAATGTACTCTCACCAATTTATGCCACTCCTTGGTGCGAAGATGGTAATATATGTATTGCTTGTACAGATGGTACATTATATGTCTGTAAACTTTCCCAAGGAGATATATTAACTAGTATAAAACTTGATGGTGAAATTTTTTCATCGCCAGTTTTAGCAAATGGATTAATCACGGTTGGATGTAGAGATAATAAGCTCTATATTTTAGAGCAATGCGATATTAATAGAATGAATGAATGAATGAATGAATGAATGAATGAATGAATAAATAATAGAATAAAATAAACTGATATTAAATCAATATATTTATTCCATAGGACTTTCGTATTACAGTTTACATTGCCAATACCATCTTGAAGAGAGAAATAAAAAAAAAATATATATAATAATAATAATAATAATAATAATAATAATAATAATAATAATAATAATAATAATAATTCACTTATTCATCAAATGTGTATGCACAATTCATAAAATCTCTTTGTACATAGTAAGAAATAGCGAGTGTGTTTGGTGATTTCAAGCAATAAGTGCAAGCAAATATAGGAAAAAAAAAAAAAAAAAAAAAAAAAAAAAAAGAAAAAGAAAGAAAGAAAAGTGAGAGAGAGAAAGAGAGAAAGAAATGATCGAACATTCATTCCATTCTCACACAACACAACACACAAACACATGCTCTCAGTAGCAGCAAACAGATGTACGGACATATGCATTTGCTATCTATTTCTTTTTTTTTTCTTTTTTCATTTTTTTTTTTTTTCTTTTTTAGCATACCTTATCAAGTAATGATAGATATTTCTGATATACATTCAAGGATACGTAAAGGAATATTCACATTCGCAAGCTCACATAAAATAACAATATTTCAACGATCCAATTTCATCTTTACATATGTATATATATATATATATGTATATATATATATATATATATAACTATGATAAAACACACTTGACCACTCTATTCTCTATTCCATTTTTATAAAGTTATCGTAGACATTCCTTATACCTTAATCATTTTCTTTTCGATGTCATTATAATTTACGCTTAGCTCACTCACTTCCAACTGCAAGAATTATTATTATCTATATCAATAGGAATAATATATTCTCTAAAGCTAAACTGAAACGTGCTATTTATATTTCTGTACTATAGAGTACATCTCTTTCATATTAATTGCTATATTGTACCTCTCATTCTTTACTCTTAATATATATATATATATATATATATACATATAAATAAATATATATATATATATATATGTATGTATGTATGTATATATCTCGTCTTTTTATCGTGACACTGCGCAACAATAACTATTATTTTTTTTATTTTTTTTTTGTTCTCATTCGTTTAGCTCCCGTTCGTTTTTATTTATTTCAGTAATTAAAATACGGCGTACCATATATATATATATATTATATATATATCTATAGTAAATCCATAAAACTTTTGCTATGCCATTTTAAAAACTTTATGCGTTTATAATACTAACAATAATATTTTGCTGCTACTGTTTGCGCATGGCAGGTGTTATCCTCAAATATAACACATTAATTGTATATCAAAGATCGAAGAAGATATTGAAAAAGATATTCTCGATGTGTCTTTTATATCAATCAAAAAGTATTTGTTTGTTTGTTTGTTTGCTGTTTTTTTTTTCTTTTTTTCTTTTTTTTATAGATCAAAGTAATCAAAGATAATGGGCGTGTGAATGAGGGAGAAGGGGAAAGGGAAATTATTAGTTTTTAATGACGTTTTAGATTAAGAGGACAGAGAAGAAAAATTGTACCTCCCCCCCTCCCTCACCCTAAAAAAAAGTAAGAAAAATTGACAAAAAAAAAAAGAAGAAAAAAAAGAAAAAAAAAAAAAAAAAAAAAATTTTTTTTTGTTCTCTGTCAAAGAGACAATTGAAAAAATGAAAATAAAGGGCTCTGTCTTATTGCAGTATTACATGTTCAATATGTATCTGCAATAAAGAAACCCCAATGGACCGACACAGTCGGTAGTTAAATGTCCGATTAGATTATTTAGACTTTGATAGTTTAATTTTTTTTTTTTCCTTTTTTTCTTTTCTTTTCTTTTCTTTTCTTTTCTTTTCTTCGATTAATGGACAAATCACACAACGCACAATAACATTACGGTTACTGATCCTCGTCACCTAGTTCCTGTTTAACTTTGTTGAAATCAAATTCCTCGCCTGTCGCACGTTTGAAAATATCAAGTACGTCCAAGCATGTTGTCTCAAAATGCGTCGTCGCGTCGTAACTCCTTGAAATGAAAATTTGACTATCGCAGCCGTCGTCGGTCGGTTCCATATAATCCGATATAGAAATAAATTTTTGTCTTATTGGCCCAAGTAAATCTAATCCAGGTTGTATCTCCTGTTCGGGATATTTTGTTTCAACCGTTGTTGAAACCATAGCTATGAACCATCCTTTGGCAGCTACTTGATGAGTATGCGATACCAGGGATACATAAATATCAGAATTACGATTAACCTGAGATATGGAAACAAGAGAGAGAGAGAGAAAAAAATGAAAAATTAATTATTCGATAAATAACATTAGGGGGTGGGGGTGGTGGGGGGTTAACGTTAGAAAAATTACAACTTTTCTTTTTTTTTTCTTTTTGTTTCAGCTCACCTGTTTCTGCGGAATAATAATCTGGGTTGAAAGACCATCACCCGTACTTGGTATCGGATGATCCAAAAGGCAGATACATCTTATTACTTGACCAACTTTCTTCACACGTTCAGGTACATAGGTAGGATCACAAAATACTTGTTTACATTGAGCTACTTCATCTCCAGAACGTACACCGGCGACCTAAAAAAAAAAAAAAAAATTGAAAGAAATTTTACGTTAGATAATTAAAAAAAAAAAAAAAAAAAAAAAAAAAAAAAAAAAAAAAAAAAAAAAAAAAAAAAAAAAAAAAAAAAAAAAATTAATATCACGATTATAAAAATGTTATATTACATACCTTACCGTCCTTCATGACGATTTCATCGATAGGTTTATCCAACATGTACGTACCACCATAAATGGCGCTAAGTCGTGCGAAACCTTGAGGTAGTTCACCGAGGCCATACATGGGATACAAATACGGAGATTTACCATAACGTGCTAAACTATCGCTATACAATTTGATTCTCCTTATGGTAGTTATCGCACTTTGACTTATGTAATCGTCATCCCTGGATAAAGAAAAAGAAAAAAAAAGAAAAAAAAAAAAAAAAAGAAGAAAATTTTTTTTTAAATTAACATTTAACAATTTATGATGTTACTTTGACATATCCATTTGAAAATTATAACTCATTCGTTCACCTGTACAGAGCTAATGCATGACCCGTAAAGTCTTGAGTATTTTTATCAAGGCTAAATTTATTATAAAGCGCGCTCATATTATTATTAAATGGATCAAATCCTTCCCAGGTTTTTGGATCATCCTCCTTCATGTTCTGTACCCATACAAGAAAGTTGCGAAATCGTCTTTTCTCAAATATACCCATAAGATCACTGGACAATGCTTCTTGTTGATCGATTGGCACCTTCGAGATCTTACCGGACTTGTAAACGTAAGATCCTTCTACCGATTTAAATTCCAAATAACGTGTAACACCGGTATGAATCAATAATTTAACGAGGAGACCATTGGCCATCAAGAATTTAGGTATAAGATCAACGTTCCAATCTCTACCACGTCCATAACTTTCATCTGGCGGTGGTGCCTTGAATTTCCTAAATGGCAAATAAATAATTGAGATCAATTTTAATCTTTCATTCATGATAGGAAGCATGAGCTATCTAACAAGGTACAGTTATAATAAATTGTAGTACATGTCAATTAATAAGAGAGGAGTTAACTCAACTTGGAGAAAATAATACGTTCTTCTTGTATCATCGAACATAAACATTCTGTTTTTTTTTTTTTCTAATTATAGAGTTAAAGAGAGGAAGATAGATAGATGGATAGATAAAGAGAGAAGGAGGGAGAGAGAGAGAGAGAGAGAATGATGAAAATATGTATCATTAAAAAATATGTTCATCAAATAGGAAAAAAAAAAATGACATTTCTCAAGGGGAACATTTTATAGATAATGAAATTTCAAGGTCAAAGTATATTATCCAACATGAATGGATATATCATAGCTTGATGACTTCAAATTGGTAAGAGGATGAGTTATCGCCCGTCAAAAAGAAAAAAAGAAAAAAAAAAAAGAGAAAACAAGAAAGAAAGAAACAAACAAATTTTATAAAGAAAACAGAATAAATTCTCGTTAAAGAACATAAAACAAAAAATAAAAAAAATAAAAAAATAGTAAAAATTATGTACGATCGAAACGAAGAAGATAAAGATAAAAAACCAAAGAGAAAAATTTTCTTTCTCTTTATATACACATATATATATATATATATATTTAAAATTGCCGCTCATTTTTTAATTCCTCTTTCATGAAAAAATAAACCAATCGGAGAGAGTCTTTGTTCAACGTCATCGTCGTCGTTGCCGATTATTGCCGATTATTGTCGATTGTTGCCGATTGTAAATTCGTAAAAAAAAAAAAAAAGATAAAAAAAAAGAAAAAAGAGAAAAGAAAAAAGAAAAAGAGAATTACAAAGATGTAATATTATTCGTTCTTATTCGATTTTTTCTTAATTCGACGATTATCGTACATACGACTAGAAAGACGTTGTAATATGGATCAAAGGGAGATAGGAGAGGGAGGTCCGGGGTTAGTGGAGGTATTAAAGAGAGAAAGAGAGAGAGAAAAAGAGAAAGAGAAAGAGAGAGAGAGAGAGTCAGTAACGGAAGATTTCGATCGTCTACGACGCTCTCGTTTCTCAGGAAGAGAGGATACACAAGAGAGAGAGAGAGAGAGAGAGAAAAAGAGGAATAGAGGAAAAAATCAATATATCCGCATTGCACGAGCGCTGTTAAAAAGGAGAGCCTCTATCTTCCTCTCTCTCTCTCTCTCTCTCTTTCTCTGTTTCTCTCTCTTATTATATTTCGATAAGAAACTTCGAGTGAGAGAGAAAAAGAGAAAGAGAGGAAGGGAGAGAGAGAGAATGTAAGAATCCAGTTGGAAAGTTTTTTTATATACATATGTGTGTATGTGTGTGTGTACAGGAAACATTTGGTAGGAAAAGTAAGGGATACGTTTTTAAGGGTTTTTTTTGGTGTGTGTGTGTGTGTTTTTATTTTTAACGAATGAATTAATTAATCCTTCTTTAATCATTCTGCGGAATAATGGGAAGTTATTAAAAAAAGAAAAAAAAAAAAACTTACGCGAATAGATCTTCCAATGGCGTTATAGAGGCCGATTCACCACCATAATACTTGTTGCGATCTACGTGGAGTACCTTTTTCCCACTAACCGATAACATACCGGATAGGATGCATTCCTTCAGTCCAGTTCCAAGAACAATCGCGTCGTATTCTTCATTCATCCTGATTTTTTATATATATATATATATATATGTGTGAGTGTATATGTATGTATGTATGTGTATATATATTTTCTTTTTTTTTTTTTCTTTTCCTCGCTAGGTGAGGTAAAATCTCAATCAAACGTTTTTATCGATCACTATGTCGAAATATATACGATGACAATAACGAGAACCAAAAGAATCCTTTTCTTTTCTTTTCTTTTTTTTTTTCTTCACCCGTAATTCGGTGACCGTAGGAGGGTGCCAGGTAGACACACACACGACAAAGAGAGAGACAGAGAGAGAGAGAGAGAGAGAGAAAGAGAGAGAGATAGAGAGAAAAAGAGATATATAGAAGGGGAAATGGATATCGAACCTTTGGAAAAGGTTAAAAGAGGTGTGTTGCCGTTCGATTCAGGGGGAGGATCCGTTCTTTTTTTTTGTCTTTTTTTTTTTTGGTCTTTTTTTTCTCTCCTTTCTCTCTTGCCCCTTTTTTCCTTTCTTTCGTTTTGTTTTGTTTTGCTTTTTTCCTTTCTTTCTTTCTTTTCTCTTTGCCCCTTTCTACTTTCCAAATCGAAACGAAAATGTCAGAAAAATATGGTCACGACGATTTTATATGATTCTCTCGCGCAACTGCCAACTCGCACACACGACTATTATGCCGGAACGGAAGACCTCCTTTCTTTCTCTTTTCGACTGCTGCTGCTACTACTGCTGCTGCTGCTGTCGCTGCTGCTGCTGTTACTACTATCACTATTACCACCACCGCCAACAACAGCAACACCACCATCATCGCCACACCATATCCTCAGTTGGCCACTACCGCTAACGCTATCTCACCAGTTTCGTTAACAACAGGGCACTGATAGAACGGGTTATTAATACCAACATTAGAAATTTTATCATTATCTTAAACTATCCTCTAGTTTTATTACGAAAATATAAAAATAACTAGAGAACTCTATCCCTTTCTCTTTCTCTCTCTATTTCACTCTTATATCTTTTAATTGTATTATCCTACGAAACAAGATTTCGTCGATTTGCCGTCATTTTATTTCTTATTTATTTATTTTCCTTTTTCCTATGATGCGAACGCATTTCTCATAATTTTGTATTATCCTTCTCTCTCTTTTTTCTTTCATTCCTTTTCTTTGTTTTTTTTCCTTTTCCATCACCTTTAATCTCGATCGTAAGTGAAAAGATTGAAAGAAACAAAAAAATGGTGAAAGAAAGAAGATTCGATTCATTTCAAGTTTTAAATAACCCGCGCCATAACCTTATCGACCAATAGGAAGTTTCTATGCGTTTGATTGGCTGCCATGCTTGTCGATCGTCATTTTGTTATCGACCGAGAGAAGGCGCTGCTGTGTCCGTACAGTGGCGCGCCACGCATCTCGTTATCGTGTCAGTTTGCCTATGGCGGTGGACTCGTTCGTTCGTGGGTTCGTTGCGTTCGTTCCATCGGAGTGGGAAGAGATAGAAGGAGGTGGTGGTGGTGGTGGTGGTGGAGGTGGTGATGGTTATGGGGGGGAATAATGGGGATAGTGACGGAAGGGGAAGGAACGGTGAACGGTAACGTCAGTACGAAGAAGTTCGCGCGCTCTTCCGTATCATCTCTTCTTTCCTCCTCTTGCGCGGTGTGTTTGTCTGCCTTAAGTCTTATCTATGTGTTCGTCGTAGTGTTATCTCTGTGTGTGCGTATATGTACGCGCGTGTACTTAGAGTTTATCTATCTAACGGGTCGCCAATAAATGTCGTCGTAACCGGCTCTTTAAGCATATTTTGATCGAAAACGATCCTTAAAACGTTTTCATGAAACGTCACGTACCTTTTTACGATCTTTTTTTTATTAGATTTTTCGAAATTGAAGAAAAAGTAAATAAATAGAATTAAAAAAAAAGAGAAAAAAAAGAAGAAGAAAATAATAATAAGAAAAAAAGTAAAAGATTCTCGGAACGGGAAAAAAATTTCGCTTGATCTCCTTTTCTTCTTTTTTTTTGTTTTTATTTCGGTTTCGATATTTCACTTTTGTTAATATTTTTTCTTTATTTTTCTTTTTTTTTTTTTTATATCTTAAACATCGACGAGTGGATTATATATTATATATATATAAATATATATATACCGGGCGATATTATAAAGTTGTATTTTTGTTTCTCAACGATACGATGTGAAACGTAAGCAAAGAGAGTTCGAAGACACCGCGGGGGGGAGAGAGAGAGAGAGAGAGAGAGAGAGAGAGAGAGAGAGAGAGAGAGAGAGAGAGAGAAAAGAAAGAGTGAGATAGAAAGAGAGAGAAAGAGAGAGCAGTGCCATCCCTCGGATCAGGAAGCGTTTTCCAAGGCCACGTGGACCACATTGGGAGCCCCCACAAAATGTTAGTATATTATCACATTATTATTATTATTATTATTATTATTTTTTTTTTTTTTCTTTCTTTATCGTATACGTTTCTAACGTACTTTAATTAATGTGACGAGGAAGAGAAATTTCGTATTTAAATTCAACCAATTGCAGACCTCATAATCCAATACATTTATATATATATATATATATATATGTATATATATAAATATGTAATATGTATATACATACTTTCAATTTCGAGTTTACGTAGTTTGAAAATGTGTGTTAAGAACTAATCTTCCAAGCGAAGAGAAAATTATTCCTTTGGAGTTATTCCGTTCCGTGGCAATGCTTACGTTTTAGTTGAACAAATTAATTATATTCGAAAACGAATTAACCTCGTCATCGAATTGGAAATAAAATTTCGAAATTATTATCCTTTTTCTTTTTCTTCTTCTTCTTCTTCTTCTTCTTCTTCCTCTTCTTCAAATTCGTCCACCCGCGTAAAACGCGAGGACGTCATGTTCATTCTGTTTCTTTCTTCTTTAGATTTTTTTTCCTTTTCTTTTCTTTATTTTTTCTTTTTCTTTTTCTTTTTTTTTTGTTTTGTTTTGTTTTGTTTTTAAATTCGCTTCCTGCGTAAAAATGGGGACGCCATATTTGTTCGGTTTCTTTCCTCCTCTTCTTTTTCTTCTTCTTTTTCTATTTTTTTTTTTTTTTTTTAATTTTTTCTCTTCAAATTTATCTCCCGCTTAAATTGAGGACGCCATATTTGTCCGGATTTATTTTCTTTTATTTTCTTTTTTTTTCTTCTTCTGTAAAATTTGTCTTCCGCGTAAAATGAGGACGCCATATTTGTTCGGATTTTTTCCTCCTCTTCTTTTTCTTCCGTATAAATTCTACGCGCATTTTTTTTCTTCTTTCTTTTTTTTTGCTTTTTTTTTGTTTTTTTCTTTTTTTTTTTTTTTTTTTTTAACAAAACTAGTCTCACACATAAGTATCCATCTGTCTATCTACTATCATCGTTTAAATAAGATTCCATGTACGACACTTTCAATCGTATTTGTATGTTACTCGTGATATTGTGTAGTCCAAGAAAGGATAAAGGGGACAGAGTATTTTCTATTCTTCTTTCAACTAATTTCTCAGCGAACCTTCTTCTTCTTTATCTTCATTTTCTTCGTCTAATGCGGCATACGATATTGCGAAGAAGAAAGAAAAAAGAAGAAAACAAAAAAAAGAAATAAAATAAAAAGAAAGAAAAAAGAAGAAAACAAAAAAAAGAAATAAAATAAAAACAAAACTTTGGATAGGTTTCCAACAAGGGATGAAGAATGATTTTTCAGGATCTACAAAAATGATTTCATTTTACCAAGATGATCTACCGTTGGATATCACAGTCGATCATATTTATCTCGATCATAAAAGTATTATAAAACGATCGATCGATTGACAAAAGCGAGAATACAAATCGGTGAACGTTAATGAAACAACCTTGTGTAATATGTAACAATGTATACGTGTATATATATATATATATATATATATATATATATATGTATGTATATAAGAGCCAAGCATAAATTAGTTACGCGATCCTGGATCATTTATCTCGTTTTACTGGCTTCGTCTTTCGTTATTAAGAACGATTCTATTCTGACGGCCATGATGATTATTAATTCGCGAACGTATATACATATATACATACATATATATATATATATATATATATATATATATATATATACATATATATATGTTGGACAAAAGTTTTGAATTACTTCGACCATGAACTTTTACATGCGTATGGTAGTAAATCGTTGTGCACTAAAGTAACACGTAATAGAAGAGGATGTAATTCTTGGGGCGATTCGGGGTAGGGTAATGGCAGGGTGTATGCGGAGAAATAATCGATTGTCTTTGTTTTTTTTTCTTTCTCTTTCTTCTTTTTTTTTTTTTTTTTTTTTTTTTTTTTTTACTTTCTTTTTCTCTCTTTCTTTCAAAGTTCAAACGAGGATAAGATTAGGTACCGTCGATCATTTATAAAAATGAAGATAATCATTTTGACCGATTTTTATATCGACCTTCTCGATTGTGTATTTATATGTGTGTTTGTGTTAAGGGAGGAAGAAAAAATAGAAAAAAAAAAAAAAAAAAAGAAAATTAAAGAAAAAAAAGAAAAGAAAGAGGAAAAAAATCATTGGATCTGATCTTACTACTTACTCGTCCGAGTTGGAAGGTCATTCGTTTCTTTTTATACCGATTCTTACGCTTAGTCTTTTAACTCGCCAATGAAACCGGTTGGGACTTCGTCTAACGAGTTAACGAGGATTCAGTGAAAGAAATTTTTCGTTATTATTCGAATACATTGACAACTTCGAAGGACACGTCATTAAATGGATGGACGGTGTTCTTCGATCGAGTTTAAAAGAAAGAAAAAACGAAACAAAAAAAAAAAGAGGGAAAAAAAATAATGATCAATATCATCGGGTTATATTTCGCATTGTAAGTTTACTGTAATAACTGTTACTTTGTTATACATATATATATATATATATATATATATATATATATATATATATATATATATATATATATATATATAAAGGGTGTTCCTTGAATAAACCTATTTCATAAAATTATGGGGGGGGGGAAAAAAAAGGACAACTCCAGTAACCTTCGATTCTATGCGGAATTGAATTCTCGTAAGGATATTTGTTTTTTTTTTCCTTTTTTTTTAATGACACAATTCTGTGTTTGTGTGTGTGCGTGTGTGTATGTACATTTTCATTCTTGAAAACGATATATTAATTATGCCATATGTTATTCCATGTTTGATCGGAAATGTATGTTGGATCGTCCTTTTAGATACCCTATATAATACAGATGCAATATTATTTAAAAAAAAAATAATAATTCCGATGACCTTTGACTCGACACGGAATCGAATTCTTTATGAGGATTTTTATTTACATATGACATCACTATATATATATATTTTTTTTTTTTTTTTTAAATAAATATGTACGTATGTACTTGTACAGGATACAATATCGAATTTGTACAAATATTTTGATTAGTTTTTTATTCGACGATATTTTTTTTTTTCTTTTTTTTTTTTATATTCCCATTGTATAAAAAGGGGTGGAACCAACAAAAGATAATTATCGATCTTAATCCCCTTAAATCTTGATTTTTATTTCGTTAAAAAAAAATCATTCCTTTTATACCTAATTACAAAGGTATACAAGGAACAGAATATAAAGTTTATTAAGAAACTTTTTTTTTTTTTTTTTTTTTTTTCGGATCGGTGAAATATTATGTGATTTTCATTTTGTTTCGAGATGTTAGTTATGTGTCCTTTATATTTCATCATGACCTAAATTTCTATTGGTCGATTTTTCTACCCTTGATATTGTCCGTTTACATTAGGCGTAGGGATTTAGCTTGGCATCGATCCAACCACAGTGGAATCCTTTAGTTGCTTTCACCTGTACAACACGCGACTCCGCGAGTGATTCCGAAATGATTATTTGAGAAACTGGTCGTACATAATTCAAATATAATAAAGGAGTCAAAGCATTGGTGTATGTTGCGCCAATGTCTGGGTTTTTCTTTTTTTTTTTTTTTTTTTTTTTTTTTTCTTTTTTTTTCCTCTGGGGAAAGTGTACAATGATTTTTGGAGAACAGATAAAAATATTATTTTTAGAAATCGGGCTTTAATTTCTTATTAATTGATTATTTCTCCAAAGGTTTATTACATTTCACCAGATTTCTTCTTATCCAATTAGCAGATATTTTCTTTTTTCTTTTCTTTTCTTTTTTTTCTTTTACGCGAATCTTGAGATTGCATTTGTTTTCCTCTCAGGAAAAATTATATATATATATATATATATATATATATATATATATATATTTATTTATTTATTTTCTTCTTTTTTTTTCTCCTTCAACGAAACTCACCAAATTTCGTCAAGGACATAGTTAATGTCTTTTTCCTCATAACAATAGTATAATAAGATAATACAAATTGTATTACTTGTTTAGTTTAGCATATATGTTTTAGATATCCTTCAAAATTACGATAAAATTACGTTTGTTGTTACGTTAAATAATAGCAAAAAACAAATTAATAATAATAATAATAATAATAATAATAATAATAAAAAAGAAAAGAACAAAAAAAGGAGAAGAAGAAAAAAAAATTCCTCCCTTTTTATCTGATAGATTTTTCTCTTTTTTCTTTCTTTCTTTCTTTCTTTTTAAATCCAATTGAATTCAGCAGATCTTTACCATGGTAAATGTATTCTTCGCTGTGATTACGTAATTAGCTTATAAATCGACGTGGCATTCAAAATAAATATAGAATTTCATTCCGCAGGAATGATATAATGTTTTTATTAAAAAAAAAAAAAAGAAAAAAAGAGAGAGAGAGAAAAAAAAAAGAAAGAAAACAGAATCAAAAGAATTGCACGACTTTCGATCAAATATCCGACTAAATGTTGGATCGATTGGATAATCGTTCAAATGATCATCTCTTTCTCTCTCTCTCTCTTTTTCTTTTTTTTTTTTCTTTCATAATATATAACCCGGAAAAAATGATTTTTTTTTCTTTTCGAATAAAATCGAGCTCGCGCGGGTTTTCGTCTTATCGACTGTTCAGTTTAACGACGAACGAATATGTTTCGTTAAGAGGGAGAAATGGTTCGGGGGGAGTGAGAGAGAGAGAGAGAGAGAGAAGGAGAGGGGAAGGGAAAAAGGGAGAGATAAGGTGACTTAGATACGCTCTTTAGTGACATACGTATAGAACCGTCATCTTTTCGTATCGTTCAGTTCGCGAACGAGTAAAGTCAAAGTACGTGTCTGTCCAATTGCTTCTTGGAACTATTTTTTTTTCTTTTTTCTTTTTTTTTTTTTTGAATTTATTTGTTCTTTAAAAAAAAAATATATATATATACATATGTAAAAGAAAAGAAAGGAAAGTTTGGTTAATCTTATTAATAGCTTTGGTGTGTCGAACGAGTGCAAGTGCACCCAATGCTTTGAAGAGTCATCGCTTCCAAATGGATTACGAAGTTGCTTCCTGAACATCCTATCTCTCTCAATTTCTCTCTCTCTCTCTCTCTCTCTCTCTCTCTCTCTCTCTCGGATACATATTCTGTATCTTATTCAGTGGGTGTTGTGCTATCATAAAAATAGAACGAAGAAAGTAGACATTCTTCCGAGCAATTTTCGTATCTATCGGGATCGTTAATATTCGGGAATATATTGAGGAATATTCGTTCGGTATTGAAAATATAGACATTGAAAGAAGGAATGAATTATTTGAACGGTCGGAATATAATTTGAAAAATTATCTTATGATCCAATTATAATCCATTAAATATATATCCCAAAGTTCTAACGAACCTCTTTGATGGATACCAGTTCCGTTGTTGTTACATCTGAAGGAAAATATTGTTGATAAGATCGTTATCGATTGATTCGTTTACTCGTTTTACTTTTGACGAGTATCTGAAGGAGTTAGTGGAAGATAAAATAATGAATTTATAGATGTGCCAGTATGTCCGAGAGAGGTATGCAAGAAGCAGCTTGCGAGGAGATCGAGAAACAGGCTTCTCTTTACGTATTCCCGGGAGTTTCTCGTCAGCAACAACAACAGCAACAACAACAACAACAACAACAATATCCAGGAAATACTATATCAACCCTACAACTCCCACCATTATCAGCACCTACTATACTTGGTTCCATGAGAACCAACGATGTCGGAGAGATCAAGGATATCGAGGATCCTTCATCTCGATTAAGAAGAAGACCATATTCAAAGACCCATACAAGATCAGCCAGTCATGGTGGTGTCCTGGCGAGTTCAAGCGTTACGACAAATCCAATAACATATCAAACATCATGGCAAACACCACCCTGGCCAACCGGTGGTGGATCATATTTAGGTCCTTTACCAACGTTAACCGGTCCGATCCGACCGTCGGCATTGAAAAAACCAGGACATCAGAGAGCATTCAGTCAAGGACAGGTTGTAGATGTTCAAAGTCAACTTCCTGTTTCGGGGCACAGTCGTGTTGGCTCGAGAACAGATTTTATTTTGCCCCCTGGCCACAGAGAGGAATCACGGCCGTCGACTGCTGGAAAAGTGCCCTCCTTTCGTGGACATTCCAGGCAAGCCTCCAGGTAAGTTTAAATATTGATCTTAATTTGGATTTATATGGAGATCCAATCCTTCTTCTTCTTTTATTTTTTTTTTCTCTCTTTTCCTCCCCTTTCGTCGTCGTCCGTCATTCGATTAAATCTGATCGATCGTTTAGAGAATCCATTAGGACGAGTATTTCTTCCTTTTTTGTTGTTATCTTGTTTTTGTTTCGTTTAATAACAAAATGATTATTATAGATCGGAATCAATTTATACAATAAGACGTAGCGCGGCACCGCCATTATGGAGAAGAATTTGGGCACGTTATTTTGGATCTTTACCAGAGGAGCCCAGATTAAGGACCATCGTACCTAATCACTTGGTACCACCGCGTACCTCAAAAAGTCAACATCCAAATGGAGGAAGGATGAACAATAGGTTAGAACTTTCGTCGATATATTTATCATTATTTCAAATAGATCTTTCGTTAATCCTATTTATATCGATAATTAATTTTATTTATTTTTTTGTTTCTTCTCTATGCCAAAACAAAAAAAAATATATATATATATATATAACAATGTATAGGATAAAGACAACGAAATATACGATCCTGAACTTTATACCACGTAACCTGTTCGAACAGTGCCGACGTATTGCTAATTTATATTTTATATTCATCGTTCTACTTAATTGGGTACCAGATATCAATGCATTTGGAAAGGAAGTGGCAATAATACCAGTTGTATTTGTATTGGGTGTAACAGCTTTGAAAGATATCTTTGAAGATCGAAGAAGATCTATGAGCGATCGTAGAATCAACAATTCAACATGTCGCGTATATGTTGGGTAAGTTTTTAAATGCATATATAAAATAGAAATAAATAATATATATATATATATATATATATGTGTGTGTGTATGTATATTTGTTTCTTTGTACGTGTAACGCGGAATCGAGAATTTTTTTTTTTAATATAGCATTGAACTAGAGTTTAATCGTTTAATTTAAAGATGGAAGATAAATAAATAAAACGTGGAAATTGATTTAGTATTGGGACTCTTCAGAAAAAAAAGGGATTGCTCCTTCTGAATCATGGAATTCGATCGATCGATACCAATGTGGTGGTTGTCGTTCGAAAGCATGTAGGTCGACCATCAACATCGTACATATACATACGTACACATATATATATATTATATACTTGTGTATATATGTGTATATATATATATATATATATATATTTTTTTTTTTTATGTATGAATGAGATCGGCTTGTCTCTTGAAAGACAAGTGTCTCGCTTGTCTCTCAAGAGTATCATCATATATTCGAAGAGTATATATATATATATATATATTTATATTAAGTATATAGATAAAGTTTAGTCATAAAAAAAAATGTCGAGATATATTGGTATTATCAGGACAGACCTCTATACTTTTTTGTTCTCTCTCTTTTATCTCCTATCATTTACATTACCTCACTACTTCCGTTCCATCTTTTTTCTCTGCTTTCTTTCTTCTTCTTTTTTTTTTTTTCTTTGTTATTATTTCTTCCTTTCTTTCTTTCTTTCTTTATTTATTTATTTATTTATTTATTCAAATTTCATTTTGAATTATTTCACAAACGTTAGTTATTAATGAGACTAAAAGATGAAACGAACGAGTGATTATTCTCAGTGATATATTTTACAATGTCAGTTTCCTTTTTCATAATGACTGCGTTGGTGATTATACTTAACAGATACTTTTACATTGAAGAGAACAGGTCATGGTTCTTTTCAAATATCTTTCTCTTTATCTTTTATTTTCTCATTTCGCATAGTTATATATATATATGCTGTGGAAAACACTTGTACATCCACGTTCAATCTCAACACATATTTATACAAGATTCCGAATAAATAAAACTATCGTTTATATTCTTTTTTATCTTTTTCTTTTTCTTTCTTTCCTTTTTTTTTTTTTTTTTTTGGAATCGATCGAATTTTATCGAGAATTTTATCCAAAGGATTTAATCGATCTAATCTTGAAGATCTATCGAAGAAGCTGTTGCTAGGAGGAGAGAGAGAGAGAGAGAGAGAGAGAGAGAGAGAGAGAGAGAGAGAGAGAGAGAGAAAAGAAAGAGAAGGAGAAGATGATAGTCGAGAGATTCAGTTGGGGGAGAGGAAGCAGAAAAAAAAAGAACGAAAAAAAAAAGAAAAAGAAAAGAAAAATATGAGGGGGAAAAAAAATTCAATTAAATATTGGGATAAGAAGTTAGGGTGTTATCAGAATGATAAAAGCTCGTTGCTTTGCTTGATAACTGTATATAGTATCCTTTTACTTCTGCTTACTCTAGTATGCTACGTAGTATGTCCCTAGAACGATCACGACACGGAGGTCATTTATAATGCAATTTAATCGCACGACTGCTGACACACACATACACAATTATATGCAAGAGTATATGTGTATGTATTACATATATATATATATATATATATATATATACATATATGTAAAGGTATCGATCTATTGTTGTGATTCTGATATACCTAAGTTCCTGTATATACAATACAAAAAAAAAAATAAATAAATAAATAAACAAAAAAAAAAAAAAAAAAAAGAGAGAAACAAAAAATTGATATAAATTCAAAAATGGAGAAATTAAAAAGGGGGTAATAATGAGAGTGTGAGTATTGATTGCAGTCTTAGCAATTTTTTTCTTAGTTTTTTTTTTCTTTTTTCTTTTTTTCTTTTTCTGTCTTTCTTTCTTCTTCTTTTTCTTCTTTTTCTTTCTTTTCAATAATAAATCGGCACGACCTTCTATTAACGGATGAATTATGTCAGTCGTAATTCTTTATCATTCTTTCCTCGTGGCCATTTAACCCCTCCTCCCCCGCCCCCGTCCTCCCGCTCCCCTTCCTTCATATTATCGCGAAGCTTTAACACATGTAATACACTGGTTGGTGTGCGGAATAGTTTTTAGTTAAACAATGCTCTATGCCGACGACTTCATCGTAGTAAAATAAAACGCGAGGTTTAACGTGCGTTTATTCTCTTTCATCGTTTAAATTTCGTTTTGATTTTTTTTCTTTTCTTTTCTTTTTTTCTTTCTCTCTTTTTTTCTTTTTTTTTTTTTTCCTTCACCTCACTCACACCCTCTTCGTTATGTCCGATCGTTCAATTTCTATTTGACTTTCGACAATAATTTAAGCTTTAATCACCTTCTTTTATCGATAAGATTTAACCTTAACGTATTTGGAACAGATAAATGGATAGATAAATAGATTAGGTTTAGGTGATAGTTGTAAAGGGTTTAATTAGCGAAAAAGGGATTGAAAATACTTTCGAAGTTCATTTTTTATCAGTCGTCTGGTAATTTTTTTATTTATCATTCTTTCTTTCTTTTGTTTTGTTTTTTTCTTTCTTTTTCCCCTAGGTGATATGGTTTCTTTTTGAAAGCGTGTTTTAAAGAGATCCTAGAGAATTTTAACTTAATAAGATTGCGTTCGGATAAGAAGCTTCGGTACACGTGTACCTTGTCTTCATTCTCTCTCTCTCTCTCTCTCTCCCTTTCTCTCTCTCTCTTTCTTTTCCCCCTTTCTCTTCATTCTAATTCGATGTTCCCTTCAATCGTCATTCAGGAGACGTTCGATCGACGCCATTATGCGGTCAATTGAAAATGACGTCGTCGGATCGTGACACACGGCCCACATTCTAACGATTTGATTTTCGTTTATCTATCTTCACCTTCGTAACACGATATACATTATCTATTCATCTATCCATCTATCTATCTATCTATCTGTCTATCTAACTATCTATTTGTCTGTCCATGTACTATATCTAACGATGAACTAAAATGTGACCTTGACAATTACATTCGATCATTCAGTCAGTCACGTTTTGCCCTGGTTAATGATTCGATTATAACGGGTGAGAAGAAAAAAAAGGAAGCAAAAAAGAATAAAGAAATATATATACACGTGTAGCATGTAATTGTATCAATAAAAAATTTCGTTCGATTTTATTCGTTCCAATCATCAAATGTTTGCTACGATAATAAAATTGAATTGATTGATTTTTAACGAACTACATGGAATATTTCTTCTTTTTTCTTTCTTCTTCTTCTTCTTCTTCTTTTTAAACTTTAATCCGCGTAATGTCTTATTTATAATGAAAAAAAAAAAATATATATATATATATATTAATTGGTGTAGAAAATTTTTGATTGAGCTTTATTCGGTTCAACCACTAGTTGCAGTGACATTAAAAATAAGTTCATGTAAGGTTCAACAAGTTAAAAAGCATTTGTGAATGAGAAAGACTATTTATTTGAAGGTCAATGAATATATTATTAGTTTAATGTATTCACGATCGAAGAATGGACCCTGTTGAGTTTGAATAAATAGTTCTTGGGGTTTAAGACAAACATTTTTTCTCTCTCTCTCTCTTTCTCTCTCTCTCTCTCTCTCTCTCTCTTGCTATCGTTACCTCTTTTGCGGTTTGTGGTTTCTTTGAAAAAGACTTTGATAATATAACGGATAGTACGATCGATCGGTTACACCGATCACTTCTCTCTTTTTCTCCCTCCCTCTCTCTCTCTCTCTCTCTCTTTTTTACTTTTTTCTCTCTTCCTTTTTATTCGCATTGACTGCAAGACTATGCGAATTCCCACAAGTTGTTTCTCTAGCTACACTACTATTATTGTAACATAACGATGTGTTCTACGGTGTTCTTTGTCTACTCTTATCGGTCATTGACACCGATCGAAAAGAGAAATTTTCTTTCTTCAAATTTAATTCTTCTACACACACACACACACACACACATACATTTATTTATATATATTTTTTTAAATTATGAACAATCCAAAGAACAATATTATATGTCACCATTTTGCTAGAGGTCACAAATAAATATATAAAAACGCCCGCGCGCATGAGCGTCTACATTGTGTTTATCCATATATATATATATATATATATATATATATATATATGTATGTATGTATGTATGTATGTATGTATGTATGTATGTATGTATGTATGTATGTACATGTGTGGGTGTATGTTTACGTTACTCCACTCCAAATCGATAGAACGTGTCGTTGCATAAAATTACTGTTATAACCCCGACGAATCCAAACAACCGTAATAAATCACCGAACATTTAGAGCAGCTTTTAGCGAATAATAACTTTTACAAATTTTCCAAAAACTCCGAATAATTTAACCGCAAGAAGCCCTTTAAATTTATTAACCGTAAGGATTCATGATCATACTCGCGAACCATCCATATATATATATATATATATATATATATATATTTATTTATAACAATGTTAATATTAAAATTGTTGTTAAGCGGAAAGAAATTGGAGTGCGTACAAACAATAAAAAGAAAAGAAATTCACTAACCGCCAATTAAATACATATTTGCCTTGAATAAGATAGGAACGGAAGTTTAAAGCGGTTAGTTCTAATCTTTCGATATCGTCGAAGTTACTTTATTAAAAGGTACGTAAACATGATCGATCAAATGATCTTTTTATACTCCAGTTAAGAATTATATTCTAGAATGAAGAAAATAATCAGGTCGAGGAAAATATTCTATTGCATGAGTGAATTAAGTGAATTTTTCCTCAGGGTTTTCTAACAAGGTTCAAATCCTTCCTCTCTCTTTCTCTCATTCTCTCTCTCTCTCTCTCTCTGTTTTCTTTTCATTGATTACATACGTCTTTATGCCTTCATCCATTAAACTCGATATCGTCACGTCCTATTTATGAATTATTCTTGAAATATACTTTTTACAGGTACCAACGCACAGTGCAAGTAGATATGCATATACATACGTGTCATGGTTTTCTTTTATTTGTTCCGATTTCTCTCTCTCTCTCTTTCATTTTCTCTTTTTGTCTACCTTTTTTTTCACTTTCAATCTCATCTTATCTATCTTTAAGTTTGTCTTATAGTTTCGTCGATGTATTTGCCACGAAATCGACTGGAAATTTATCGCTTATCTCGTTTGCACCTTTGTTGACAAAAAAAAAAGAAAAAAGAAAAAAAAAAAAAGAAAAAAAACTTTAAAAGGTGCGCGCTAAGATCGTACAGAAAATCCTACGAAATGTTTGCTAATGGGGGAATTGTTTGTTCGATTGATCGAACGACGGAAATCCATCAAAAACTTTAATCTAATAATAGTACTTCTATATTAGATATGGTTATTGATTATATGGTGTTTCTTTTTCTTTTGTCATTCATAAAAAAAAAAAAAAAAAAAAAAAAAAAAAAAAAAAAAAAAAAAAAAAAATATGCCCGCGAATTGTACTACGGCAAATTCGACAAATTGTATTATCGGTGTTAAGTGATTAGAAGATATTTTTTTTTTTTCTTTTAATTTTTTTTTTTTTTAAACGATGCCGCACTAACGATCAAATAGATCTGATCAAATTATTTCAATAGAAAATTATTAGAAAATACATTTCTTTTCGTTATTGTAATAATCCAAATATGATGAGTTATTAATCGTCAATCGGATAGATCTCCAAAGATATATTGCTGTCTCTCTAATCAGAAAATGATTAGAAATATATTTTTTCTGTTTTTTTTTTTTTTTTTTTTTTTTTTTTTTTTTTTTTTTTTTTTTTTTTTTTTTTTTTATCGTTCAGGAAACTCCGAGAATGACGTCAATAGTTTCCATATGGTCGTCATTAGACATTTTCAATATCAATTGAAAAAGATATAGATAATTCGATTTACCAACTAATTTTCTAAGATTCAAATATACCTGTATATCTCTTTTTCTATGTGTGTGTGTGTGTGTGTGTATTTATGTGTTACGATGTGTCAGCAAGTTATATATCTCTACGTCATATCGATATCGTTCGTAATCTCATAAAAAGCGTTTCGAAGCGCGCGTTATTCTTCAAGTTCTTCCAGCCTGATTATACCACAAAACATAGATAACGATAGTACCAATGATGAATTAGCGCTGTCTTTCACGTTGCCAAGTACTTTTTTAAAAGTTTGAAAGTTTCCTGTTTATCTGTTTCGCACTACTCCGTACGTCTTTACATTTTTTTTTTGTTTTCTTTTCTTTTTCATTTTTTTTTTTTTTTTAATCGACCTTCTCTCGCTGATCCTCCATTTGTCGTACTTGCAATATGATCGCCCTGAACTTCTCTGACCTTTTCTCATTAATTTTTCTTTCATTAGCGACAAAGCCACACAAAAATTTGAAATAGCCTACTAATAATAGTCGAGCGCTGTAGTAGAACTTAAGAAAAAAAAAAAAAAAAAATTAGTGAAGCCATTAAATAGATTCCCTCTTTTTTCCTTGGGAATATTAAAAAAAGAAAAAAGAATGATTCACTGGCACATCGTATATATTCAAAAGAAATAGAAACTTTTGTCGTGGAAATTAGGATTGTCGAGAAACAAAAAGAAAAAAAAAAAATCAAAAAAATCAAAAAAGAAGAAGAAAAAATAATGATAATAATAAAACGTTATTTGCATTTTCATGAGATAGGTAACAGGATGAGATAAATTATTAATTGAAGGGTGGGGGGATGATGGGGTGGGGAGTGAAAAGAGAGATAAAAATATCTTTTATCGCGGGTAGTATATAACAATAAAACCGGTTAATGTACTTGTACACAAACACACACACATACACAGGCAATGATGCACAAATAAACTTACAGTACATTATTTACTTCTTTTTCCCTGAACATTATTCTTAGAAACAGTTGTTAAAAAAGAAAAAAAAAAAAAGAAAAAAAAACAGAAAAAGAACAAATATTAATTTTTCGAATAATTTTATACATAATCATTTTCTAGTCGTTACATTCAAGCAATTCGATTTGATTCGTTAATAATATTGTATCCATCATGTCTAAACATAATTACAAATAATATTGGAATGATGATGCTCAAATCGGTACATAAAGTGGTTGTTGTTCTGTCGATTTGCTTGGTATTATCTTATTGAAGTTGTCATGATGGGAGGTGGTGAAGAGAAGTAGTGAAGTATCCTTCAAAGGATTTTCCTCCTTCTTCTCCTCCTCCTCCTCCTCTTCCTCCTCCTTCTACTTCTCTTCATCTTCCTTCGAACAAGTGCCGTTAAGTAGTACCCATCTGACGTCATCACAGTTACATCATTAGAAACCATGCGCGTTAAAGAAAAAGGAGTATGTGGGACACGGGAACGAGATCATTTTATTTGTATTGGTAATTTACTTGGTCTCACCGTAGACAATATTAATTCATGATATAAAAAGAGAAAGGAGGATGAAAAAGTGAAAAAAAGTGAGGAGGGAGTGTGCTAGGCTGAATGGGTGAGGGGAATAGGAGTGATGATAGGAGGAGGATCGCGAGGAATCGATTAATTTCGATCGTAAAAATGATTGGTCACATTTAACAGCTGAAATTAAATTAATGCGCGATAAAACATATGTAAAGAATTTATTTATGATATTCCAATAATCAATCCTATTTGTTCCGATGTGATATATTACTTTTTTCCTTTTTCTTTTTTTTCTTTTTTTTTTTCTTCTTTTTTTTTATTCATTTAAGTTTCCTGTAAATAATAAAACCAGAGGAATGATGAATCACGTATTCGATCTCTCTCTCTCTCTCTCGCTCTGTGTGTGTATTTTTGTTTTTTCCTCGTCTTTCTCTCTCTCTCTCTCTCTCTCTCTCTCTTTTTTTTTTTTTCTTTTTTTTTAAAGATGCATTAGCACAATTCGTTCGAAACTCGTGCGAATATCGTACGAGTATTGAAGATTGGTTGACCTTCACACATATACATGAGATTGGTAATACGTTCGACCACGCATCTAACAATAACTCAAGTATGTGGCACATATCGACAGTCAGAAGTTGATTACTTCTTGATACTCTCTTTGACGAGAAACCTTCGTTCGAGTGTTTCATCTTAGAAATAATTCATTAGCCACTGTTATTACTTTGACATATAGATATATATATATATATATATATATATATATATGTGTGTGTGTGTGTGTGTGTGTGTATGTATGTATATACATAAGATATAAAAAGTCTATGCATATAAATAAGATAGTTTTAATACATCAAAGAGAGTCGTTTGAAATCAATATTAATATGTTCCAATGATTATCACAATATGTGTTATAAATATGTAATAATATAATTTTCGATTGAAAGCAATAATATATTATATGAATCGATTAGTTATCAAATTAAACGTATAAAATTTTTAAAATGATTCCGAACAATAATTATTATCTTTCTCTGTGTGTGTATGTATATATATATATATATATATATATATACAATTTAATAAGAATTAAAATGAACGAGTCTCGTGAGATTTTATCGTGACAAAGTATCATTTATAATAATTGGAGTGGATAGTTGGCCTAATTGTTCATTGTTCATGAAATAGATATAAATAAAAGAAGGTATGTAATATTAAATATTCATAAGTAGTCCGTAGGGCTTTAACTTAGTCAGACTTAATTCAAATGTCACGCTACACGAGTCTTGTTATGTTGTATCGTTTTGTTTCCTTTCTCTCTCTCTCTCTCTCTCGTTTTTTTCTCCTTTACCTTTTTTTTTTTTTTTTTTTTATTTTATTTTTTTCATGGATAGATAAATAGACTGATAGGTTAGATAGTTAGTAGGCATTGAAAGGTTGCACAAAAGTTCTCGGTCTTGGTCTCGACCTTCTAATTCTCTTTCTCTCTCTCTCTCTCTCTCTTTCTCTCTCTTTCACACACATACACATACACACACACACATTAGGATCAATGACGCATAACAGCATCGTTTTAGAGATCCTATTATTTTTTTCCCTTTCTCTATTTTCCATTATATAATTTCTATCATCGATAGAAGAACAAAATTTTCTTTAATGATTAATAATTAATTATATTAAATTAAATGTCGATCAAATGATAAATTATTTTCATTGTTCGATGTCGAATTGTTCATTGTATTCCGTAGATTCTTGGATTTTAGTTAGCAAAGCCTTACAATTGTTCATTTTATGTAACACAGATTTTTTTTTCCCTTCTTCTTTTTTTTTTTTTTTTTTCCTTAATCTAATGTCTCTCTAAAATATGTATTAAAAAATATTCCTTTGAATTATTACGAAAGTATGGTGTCATTAAGTGATATATCTATTTTTTTTTTTTTTTTTTTTTTTTTATTTATTTTATTATTGTTACAGGGAAGGTGGTAGATACATGCAAGTTGCATGGAAGGATGTAAAGGTCGGTGACCTGGTACACCTTTCAAACAACGAAGTAGTACCGGCAGATCTATTACTTCTCCGTAGCAGTGATCCTCAGGGTTTAGCTTATATCGATACCTGTAATTTAGATGGCGAAACGAATTTAAAACAGCGACAGGTTGTACGTGGTTTTTTTGAATTGCAGGATACATTTCAACCGGCAAAATTTCGTTCAATGCTTGAGGTTGATCAACCTAGTACTAAAATAAATAGGTAAAACAAAAGAAAATTGATTAACATAATATTTATCAAATGTATTTCTATGGAAAAAAAAAAAGAAAAAAAAATTGAATACTTTTTTTTTATTTTTTTTTTTTTTTTTTTTTTAGGTTTCATGGTGCTGTAGTACATCCAAATGGCGGCAGGGTACCGGTTACAATTGAGAATTTATTACTCAGGGAATGTTTGTTAAAAAATACTGACTTTATTGAAGGTATTGTGGTCTATGCTGGACATGAGACCAAAGCTATGTTGAATAATGGTGGACCAAGGCACAAGGTGTAAATTGAAATCAAAATGAATAAATTATTTATTATCAATCGAGGCTTCTCGTTTTTAAATTTTAATTGATTTTTAGCGTTCGCGTTTGGAGAAAAGGATGAACTGCGACATAATATGGTGTATGGTAATATTGGTAAAATTGTGCATGATCGGTGCAATTGGTTATCGATTATGGTTATCGTCCTTTTCATCGACAATTTTGATCCCCTTTCTTCCCGTTTTACAAGATCCTAATTACGAGAGTATGATTACATTTTGGACATTTGTTATAATCCTACAAGTTATGATACCATTGAGTTTATATGTGACAATTGAAATGGCCAAAGTCGGACAGATATATCACATTGGTCGTGACAGTTTTTTGTACGACAAAGAAACTGGACGTAGAGCTGAATGTCGTGCTTTGAATATTACTGAAGAATTAGGTCAGGTATGGGAATGACAAATATAGGATATAAATTTGAATGAAGATCTAATTAATGTTCCTGAATTATTGTTACATTAGGTTCAGTATATATTTTCGGATAAGACTGGAACATTGACGGAGAATAAGATGTTATTTAGAAGGTGTGCAGTAGGTGGACAAGATTATGCGCATGAGGGCGAGGGTGAAAATTTAATACCTTGTCCAAGATTAAAAGAAGACTTGTTGATTGGTACATTTAGGCATCGTTTACAAGAGTTCCTTATCGTATTGGCAACTTGTAATACGGTTGTGGTTAATTCTCAACCGCATCATGATATTATGAACTCGAGTGGTCTTATCGAAGAACCACATAAAAATGGTAGTGGACCGACTAGGTTGGTACTTGATATTTATTTATTTATATATTTACTTCTTTCTTTTATTCATCTCGTATTATTTCTTTTCTTTTGATGATCGTCATTAAATTAAAATTTGCCATTGTAATCGTAGATACGAGAGATTGTCCGAGTCAAGAAGCGTGACCCCATCACCGTCACCCTCTATACCACCATTACCATTGCCTACACCACCAGCAAGTATAACAGGTGATAGTTCATCGCCAATCTCATCTATCATAGATTCGGCTGCGGTTCTTAACGATACACCTAAATTACAATCTAAAGTGGTTAGGTAAGTTTAAATTGGTATCTAAAAGAGGAATAGAATTTTTTTTTTTTTTTTTTTTTTTTTTTTTGGCGATAAAATAGAAAAAAAAGATAAAATTCTATTTCAACGATGTTGTCCTCCTCGTTTTGCAGGCCAAAATTATTAAACGTAACGTCGATACCGAGCTTAAGTTTGGGATTATTATCGAGAAAGCAATCGCCTAATGGTGGACAAAAGAGACGTAATATTTTGAGTCCGATATTTGATATGAGCGGAAGGTCAGTCGAACAACTGACACCAACGTCAGCAATTTACGAAGCTGAAAGTCCTGATGAGTTGGCATTGGTCAATGCAGCAAGAGCATACGATGTTAAATTACTTAAACGTACACCTCGCAATACTATAATTTCATTGCCTGACAAGTCGATTCTAAGTTATGAGATTTTATATGTTAGTAAGAAGTATCATTTGAATTTGACAATAATATTAACAATTGTCTCACTCTCTCTCTCTCTCTCTCTCTCTCTCTTTCTGTCTCTGTCTCTTTCTATGTGTATATATATATATTTTAGGTTTTGCCATTCGATTCCAGCAGGAAGTGTATGTCAGTTGTCGTACGTCATCCATTAACCGGTGAAATCATTTTGTATAGCAAGGGAGCAGATACTACGGTGTTAGCGTCATTGACATCAAGCGATGAAAATTCTATGACCTCGGCTAAGATCAGGCAACAATTAAATTCTTATGCCCGTCAAGGTCTTCGCACATTGGTAATGGCAAGAAGATCATTGACCCAACAAGAATATGAAACATGGCATGAGAAACATTTGGAAGCGGAATTGGCCATTGAAAATCGTGAACGTCGTATACGAGACTCTTATGCCAGTTTGGAAAATCATATGACGTTGTTAGGTGCAACCGGGATCGAAGATAAATTGCAACCTGGTGTACCGGAAACTATCACCGCTCTTGTTAAAGCTGGAATAGTAGTTTGGGTTCTAACAGGTGTGTGTTTAAAGCAATACTTTGTGAACCTTTTTATGGGAGTTTATTTTTATATGTTTTTTTGTTTCTTTCCTCAGGTGATAAGCCAGAAACAGCGGTGAATGTTGCTTACTCAGCAGGTTTATTTTCTCCGGCAATGCAACTTTTGCAATTACAAACGAGATCGAAATCTGTCGCGGAAACTTTAATCCGTGGTTATTTGGAATCAGCCAAAAGGGATAATATAATGAACGATGGCGTTGATAATCGTAATGAGGATGGTATAGCTATGTATAGTTATGATTTAACGGAAAGGGATGCTCATAGGATAGGTAGTCCATGGCCAAGGAAACGTGCACTTGTAGTTGATGGTAAAACGTTGACGGTCATACTAGATCCAAGATCTGGTTTAACAGGTCCTTTCCTTGAATTAACAAGAACCTGTTCCAGTGTACTTGCTTGCAGAGCTACGCCCCTACAAAAGGTAAGGTATTTAACTTCAGTTTAAAGCTTAAATAGAAAATATATCTAATAGCGTTTGATTATACTTATATATATATATATATATATATCTTTCTCTCTTTCTCTAAAGTCTCATGTTTTTTTCTCTTTTTTTTCCCTCCCTCCAAGGCTTATATAGTACGTATAGTGAAAGAACAATTAAGAATGAGAACGTTGGCTATAGGCGATGGTGCTAATGACGTGAGCATGATACAAACAGCCGATGTTGGTGTTGGTATATCCGGTCAAGAAGGTAGACAAGCGGTTATGGCCGCTGATTTTGCTATTTGCAGATTTTACATGTTAAATAGACTTTTACTGTTACATGGACATTGGTGTTACGATAGATTGTCCAGAATGATATTGTATTTTTTTTATAAAAATGCCACTTTCGTATTCCTCATATTTTGGTTCCAGGTAAGTTCACATTTACGACTTGGTAGAATATATATTTTTTTTTCTTTTTCTTTTTTTCTTCTTTTTTTTTTTTTTCTTTTCTTTTTCTTATCAACTACTTATTGTGCTTCATATCTTTAAATTTGACATTTGATTAATATCAACGTTACGTATATGCTTGTTTCCTTTTTTGTTTCTTTTTTTTTTTTACAGTTTTACTGTGGTTTCTCCGGTGCGGTAATGATAGACCAAATTTATCTGATGTTGTACAACCTGTTGTTCATTTCTCTACCACCTCTTGTACTAGGCGTATACGATCGAATAACCACACCGAATATTTTACTTTCTATGCCGGAACTTTATAAAAGGGGACGATTGGGTTTAGTTTATCGGCCGATCTCCTTTTGGATCACTATAGCCGACGCCTTTTACGAGAGCATCGTCATATTTTTTACCATCTTCATAGTTAGTGGATCAATTGTCATTTCCTCCCACCCCATCTCCTCTTCCTCCTCCTCCTTCTCCCCCTCCTCTCCCGCCCAATGAAATTTAATTTTGATTAATTAAACTTTTCGTATATTATTTTTTAGACGTATTACGATACAACCGTTGATATATGGGAATTTGGAACGACCATAACTACAGCGTGCATTTTTTCAATGCTATTACATGTATCGATAGAAACAAGATCTTGGGTATATTTATTAATTGTTAATCATTTAATTATTTTTTGTATTAACCGCTTGTGGTGAGAAGACGTGCCACGCACGTCGAGATGACCAGCGACGTGTTAGACACGTCGTCAGGTGATTGATGCGGAAAGAAAAATGACGTGCGTGGCACGTCAAACGTGAATTTCTTTGCATCACAAATGATTAATTAATTGAATTGAATTGCGAATAAGAAATATGTATGATTGAATATGTCATCTATATTTCAGACGATAATTCATGTTCTCGCTATAATGGGATCGCTCTTCATTTACATGGGATTCTGTTTAATATACAATGCCATTTGTATTAATTGTATGGGTTTACCGGGTTCATTTTGGATAATGGAAATGGCGATTAGAAGGCATACTTATTGGCTTTCTGTGATATTAACGACAGTACTAGCCGCACTACCGAGGTACTTAAAAAAAAAAAGACAAAAAAAAAAGAAAAAACAAAAATAGAAAAAGAATTGTAATCACGACAAATCATTTATATATTATCACATTGATCACATTTGTCTGTTCAATGCGATATTAAGATTGGCGTATAGAAGTGCGAGATCAACATTGGTACCTGATATGATACAACGTGCAACTATTGCGGTTTCGAAAACTCAGGGACGTAGAGAGAGAATGATTGAAAGGGGCAATTCAAGTTTTATCACCGATTGGCCAAGTTCGACGCAGGTTCGGAATACCACCGCCAGGTAATCGTCATTTTTGTTTTTGTTTTTGTTTTTGTTTTTGATTTTCTTTTTTTTTTTTTCTTTTTTTTTTGATCGCTTTAATAAGCAAAATATTGTACTTTAATTGTTCTTTTTTTCTTTCTGTTTTGTTTTTTCTTTCATTTCTTTTCCTTTTCTTTTCTTCCACGTCCAACCTCCCTCTCGTTCATTTTTTCTTCTTCGATCCTCTTGAAAAATTCAATCCATGATAGGCCAAGGAGTTATGGGAATCAGAACGACGTATTAACGACCATCGTTGCGTGACAAGAAATTTCGAATATAAACAACATTTCGAAGACTCTTGATTACATTACGTTGATAATAACTGCCAAGACGGATGGGACTATCCATAATAATTGTTCTTTCGTATTTTCAAAATGGGAACATTGAAAATTTCTTATCTATCTGCTTGTTGCTCCGCTACCAGAAGAAGAAGAAGACAAGGAAGAAGAAGAAGAAGAAGAAGAAGAAGAAGAAGAAGAAGAAGAAGAAGAAGAAGAAGAAGAAGAAGAAGAAGAAGAAGAAGAAGAAGAAAAGAAAACAAAAACACAAGAAAATTCGAGATTTAATTAATTCGTCGATAATGAATCAACGTCGGAGCGTAGTAAAAATTTCTATTTAAGCGCTCCCCTCCTGCAAATTGTTAATCTCTAAAAGTTTTAACTCTTCTTCATCTTTTTAATTTATTTATTTATTTTTAGTTTTATTCTCAATTTTCTTCATTTTTTTTTTTTTTTTTTTTTTTTTTTTAGATAACACTCTTAATACCCGTCAAATCGTGGTGGCCTTAAACAAAAAAGAAAAAAGCATAAAAAAAAAAACCAAAAAAAAAAACGAAAAAGAGAAAAAAAAGAGAGGGTAAAAAAAATATCTTAGATTTATTATTTGTTGCATTTCAAGGCTGTGAATTTTTAGGGACCAAGACTGTCTTAATAGTCAAATTCTTAAATGTCGATCGGCGAGAGGTGGGAATGGGGAGGCAGGGAGAGGGTGGGTAGGGTAGGATTGGTGAGAGGACAAGGAGGAGGAGGAGGGCTGGGGGAGAAGACCGGAAATAAAAAAAAATAAGCGAGTGAAAGTAATCTCGACTTCGAGTAATATTACTGTGCGCGTGGGCACGCGCGTGTGTATATGCGTACATATGTGTGTGTGTGTGTGTGTATGTATGTATGTGTGCATAGAGAAATAGTCGATCGACATACTAACTTACGATAATATTGCTAATAGTAAAAGTGTGAATATATAAAATTGTTTCAAGACACTTAAAAATGTACATTATATATATATATATATATATATATATATATATATATATATATATATATACGAACACACACACGCATATTTATATATGTGTGTGTGTATGTGTGTGTCTTGTTACTAAATATGCCATTAATTTGTTACTATTGTTATTACTAAATGAAATATATGTGAGAAAGGTCTATAAGTGTACATATGTTATATATATCATATATATATATATTTGTATATATATATATATAATATGTATGCATATATGTTACGTATGTGTATATAGAAAAGAGAAAGAAAAAACATTTTATCGTTTATTATATATATATATATTTATATATACATAAATATATATATATATATAATGTATGTATATATTTATATATATATATATAAAATAAGAAAAGTATATAATACAATATTTCATGATAACACAATGCACGTGTTGGCATAAGTATTTTGATAAATAATGTGAATTCAAGATGGTGGATCTTGAATGATGATGGAGACGTAAAAAGTGGGCGAGAAAAAAATGAAAAAAAAAGAAAAAAAAGAAAAAAGTGCGAAAAAAAGTAAAAAAGAAAACAAATCAACGAAAAAAAAAAAAAGAAATTTAACCAAGATGCGTTCTTGAGAAAAGTGATCTTCGTCTATTCTTCTCTCTCTCTCTCTCTCCCTCTCTCTCTTTTTTTTTCTTTTTATTTATTCCCGCCCTCTCTCCTGCGGAATAACCTGTCGTTCCAATCCGATTAAAGAAAAATTGAAAGAAAAATTAATACCGAAAAGCAAAAAAAAAAGAAAGTATAAAGTTTTGTTTAAATCGACAAATTGCACAGTAGGTCGCTGAGGTATAGAAGGAATGGTATGAGATGTTGGGAATAAGAGTTTTGAGAACCACTGCATCATGCGGAAAAGTATCAGAGTGGGGATGGAATTGGTTGGTTGAGGAAAGAGGTGGAATGATTTAGAGAAGGGGTGTGAAGGGGGTGGTAGTGATGGTTTCCTTTTGGCGTGCCGTTGCTGTTGCTGTAGCCGCCGCCGTCGCCGCTGCTGCTGCTGCTGCTGCTGCTGTTGGTTGCTGGTTGCTGGTGCTGCTCCGATGTTGAACTTCAGTATGTCTTGGCAATTTAGATAGAAGAGACTACCTCTTGCTGAGGTACATCCATATATATATATATATATATATATATATGTGAATACATATATATATATACACATATACACATAAATATATGTAGACTCGTGCGCGTGCGTGCGGTATGTGTGCGTGTGTGTGTGTGTGCGTATATATGTGTACGAGTGTGTGAGTAAGCGTGTGTTGGGTTTAAATGCAGCTAGACGTTCAGCTTAATCTTTTTGGATGAACATTGCGGACTACGACGTTTCAAGTGAATGAAAATATTTTATTGTTCCAGCAGGTGTGGTGTTTTTGATTTTGTTCGATAAGTGTTGTTATTATTGTTGTTGCTGTTGCTATTGCTGTTGATGTTGCTGTTGTTGCCGCTGTTCTGTTTCCTTCTTTCTTAATGTAGTGTTCTTCCTTTTCTTTTTTTTCTTTTTCTGTTTTTTTTCTTCTTTTTTTTTTTCTTTTTTCTTTCCGGAACACATACATGTGTGCCTCGAAATCTGTAAGTGTCGAATAGTGGGGTGTATTGGTTCATTTTAGTGGCTGCCCCTTGAGTGTACTTCCTTTGTTCCTAGTATTTTAGATCGTCCTAAGAGAAAATAGTTTGGTTTCTCTTTTTTTTTTTCTTCTTCTTCTTCTTCTTCTTTTGGCTGCAAAGGGTCGTGGAACTATTTCAGTTTTTGGTTTTTGTCTGACATTTTTATTTCTATTTTTATTATTTTTCATCGTGATCTTTGATTTTTTTTTCGCATGAAGTGAAAAGGATTGATCAGAAATTATAATTTTTTTGATGCAACAACGAGCAATCCTTTTTTTTTAGAAATGTTTTTGGAATGGATCTTTCCTTTTTTTTTTTTTTTTAGCGAACAGGATTCTCAGGAATTTTTCTTCCCTTCAGGTTTTTTTTCTCTCCCTCTATCTCTCTCTCTCTTTCTCTCTCTCTCTTTCGATTCCTCGTTTAGCAAAATTAAAATCATTCGTTTGGAAATCATTGCGAGTGAATCACAGTGTAAATATATATTTTTTTCATTATTCCTTTTTCTTACTGAATCGATCGGAATCGTTTAGTAAATTTTTTTTAACGTTTACGAGTGATCATTCTCTTTTTTTCTTTCTTTTTTTTTTTTTTCTTCCTTTTGATAGACACCTAACAAGAGATCAAAATCATTTAATAATTTTCCTCAATGAATAATTGATCCTTTTTTTTTTTTTTTGATCATCAATCGTTCCCTTCTTCTCCTATCGACACCTCCTTATTCCTATGAACACGAAGAATCATCAAGTATACTTTTTTATCTCTTATTTATTTGCATATCAAAGTCACATGTTATTCATATTTACGAAAGACACAACTCCCTACTAAGTGCCAAGTGCTATATTTGAATAGACATTAGAAATATATTCCAAGTGTAAAACACATTGGGTTAGTCGTTATCTATATCTTAGACCTCACCTAGAGTATACAATGAACACGTGTTTAAACGACACCATGAACGTATACTCCCATATCCAAAAAAGATACTAAGTAATAAGGAATGATATATGTCTTATGATTAACTGATTGGGATGAGTTTCTCCGGTTAAGTCGGACGATCGATCGAGACTGATGGTCGCCGTGACTGAAAACAGAATTACTCTTAAGGTTTTGTCACGTGTTCAATATACGACTGATAGTAACAGTACATATGTATACACACATACATACATACACGCATATATATATATATATATATATATATATATATATAAACAAATGTATATGAGCATAAGAGGAACGAAGTGAGCGAGCGAGCGAGAAAGAGAATAAGAACTAGTAAGAACTATACAGTGTGTACGGTAATTACGAGATAGCGTTTGCTAAGGACTATTTATAAACTAAACTAAGCTAACAGACGGCCTTATTTCTTCTGTTACATTATCCTTGTCATTAATTCTTAGAATGAAAGTTCTTTCTCTTTTTCTCTCTTTCTCTCTTTCTCTCTGTCTCTCTGTCTATCTTTCTTTCTAATCAATGTAAAATTTCTAATCAATTAACAAATTTAACAAAGTTGATAAACGGTTGGTTAAGTTTCATATCGTTGTATCTGAACTCAAGTGTCCATTTTATTTTTTTTTTTTTTTTTTTCTTTTTTCTTCTTCATAAAAAGATAAAATATTTCTATTAATCTGTTTATCTATAATATCTGTCAATCTATCTATCTATTTATCTATCTGTTCATTTATCTATCTATATAATTAATTTATTATTTGTCAGTGAGAACGAGCGAAAGAGCTTTTTTTTCTTTCTTTTCTTTTCTTTTCTTATTTTTTTTTTTTTCCAGCCTGTTATCATTCAGCCACGTTACGATTTATTCGATATTTGCTTTAACCTTTTACGCAAACGGGATCAGCGGTTTGTGGTTAGACAGAGAGACATCAGTCAACTTGTGTTTTCTCTTATCGATAAGAACGGTTAAACTAATGGGGAGGGGTGGGTTGGATGGGATGGGGGCAGTGGCGAGAGGATAGGGAGGTTGGGAGGTTAACTCAGCCAGCGGATGGTCGATTGGATTGGGGAGGGGTAGGGGAGAGGATTGAGTAATATTTTCCGACGTAATTTCTTTTTTCATAATTTTCTTTTCTTTTTTTTTTTTTTTGTAATCAATTGATATCCATGACTTTGATAAGAGAGAGAGATAGAGAGAGAGAGAGAGAGAGAGAGAGAGAGAGAGAGAGAGAGAGAGAGAGAGAGAGAAATACATTAGAATGAAATAAAATATTTATTTACATTTGTCATAGTTATTGTTTTTTAATTCATTCAATTCGATTCGTTTATTTGCCTAAAATTTTTTTTTACGCGTTCTCAATGTACAGTAATTTCCAGTTCCGGTAACAAAGTTCCGTTTGTTAGATCAGAGATATGTATATATATATATATATAAATATATATGTGCATGTACATATATATATATGTGTAGGAGCATTGACGTTACTATCATTTACCACGTATTCCTCTGATGAATCATCGACATTATTGTCGTTTAAATCATGTTCAATAGTGAGACTCTAAGTTCCTTTTTTTTTAAGTTTTTTTTTTTTTTTCTTCTCTCTCTAAAAGTGGAATGAACGATCGCAATCCATCGAACGATATTTTACTCTAATATTATTTATTTATTTATTTATTTATTTATTTATTTATTATTTAAAAGTTCGTCAATGATGAGAGATGTAATTTTATTATAGAATTTGTAAAAAATGAAAGAAAGTTTTCGACGTTTCTTTTTTTTTTTTTTTTTCTTTTCCTTTTTCTTTTTCTAATTCATTAATACCGAATTTTAATTGATTAATTGCAAAGGTTAACTTGAATGGTATTTCTTCTTTTTTTTTTTCTTTCTTTCTTTCTTTCTTTCTTTTTACTGTTAATTCGTTTTTTTTTTCTTTTTTTGGAAGATGAATCTATCCATTGGCATTTTTTTTTACGGGACTTAAAAATATTCAGAAAGATTCTCTCAATTCTTTTTTTTTTTCCTTTTCATTTTTTTCTTCGCGCTTGCGTGATCTCTTTCTCTCTCTCTCTCTCTCTCTCTCTCTTTTTTTCTATATTCTTCCTTTTTTTTTTTTTCTTTTTCGAAACGAATCCTCACGTGGTTTCTATTTTTAACATTGTTTCCTAATCAATTTTATGAATCATAGAGATAGTACGTAGTCAATTCATTGATCAAAACTGTTATTATTTTTTTTTTTTTTTTTTTTTCTTTTAATGTACCATAGTAATTCATAAGATTTCTTAGGATTTATAAATTTCATTTCTTTAAAGACAATTTGTCTCTAATACGAATGAATAAATTTATCTTTAAAACAAATCGACGTTTGCTTTTTATTCTCGACAATTAATTCTTTTTTATCTTTATCTCTAAATCAAAATTCAATGATTTTACGTTGATTAGATTGTAATTAGAAAATCTTCATCCAGATTTATCGATTTGTTGTTTTTTTTCTTTCTTTTTAATTTTTTTATTTACTTTATTCTCATTTGTATACCCATACACATACACATACCCATCACACACACACACATACACAGAGAGAAACAGACACACACATAAATACATACATACATACATACATACATACATACATACATACATATATATATATATTTATATTTTGCAGGACAAATCTATGGGATTTTTATACGATTAAAAAAATAAATTTGGATGGAAAGTTTATGAGATTAAAATTACTGATCGATCGATAATATAAATAATAAATCGTGAAATAAGAAAAAAGAAACGAAAGAAGAAGAAGAAGAAGAAGAAGAAGAATTTGTGAAATCGTTTTATGGACTGTACGATAACAATTTGCACGGTAAGATCGAAACGAGTTAAAAGTCAAATTATATAATCACGGAGTGGTTGACAGTGTTACTGATGTAGCTACATCATCGATGACCTTCATACTTTTCTCGTTCTATCGTCTACGTTCGCGACAGATATATATGAGGAAGGAGATGCGTTTGACATAGGGAAATTGAATATTAAAAGAAAAGAGCGAGGGAATTATTACTTGACAACGTTGAGAAGAAGAAGAAGGAAGAAGAAAAAAAAAAATATATATATATATATATATAATCTTTGAAGAGGAAGGTGAATTTTTTTTCTTTCTTCTTCTGTTTACGTTATGTGTTTGTATTTGATTTTTTCTTTCTTTCTTTCTTTCTCTCAAGGAAATGCAAGAGATCCTTTCTATCGATCAAGGCTGAGCTTTGTGATCTTCAGTGATTGAAGAGGATGACGGTCACTTATACTGCCGAGGTCGCTACCTGTCGTGGTCTTGGTTGCTTCCTTAAATTATTATTAAGGTATTGGAAAATTAATTTTTTTCTTTTTTCTTTCTTTTTTTCTTTTCTTTTTTTTTTCTTTTTTTTTTTTTTTTCCCCTCAATCGACCAAACGTATATAACGAGATGTCGAGTTTGAAAATGGACGAAGTTCATTATGTGAAAAGCAAAATAGTTAAAGCTAATTCTTATTGTTTATTAACATAGAATTTATGTTTTTATTTACCAAAAAAAAAAAAAAAGAAAAAAATAATAATAATAAAAAATAGGAACGAAAAAATAATAATGGACGTAACACTTTGTTGATACTATAAAAATTATTATTAATTAATTACATCATACATTTGAGATATAGAAATTTTGAGAAATAGAAATTTTATTGATTATATCTATATATATATATATATATATATATATATATATATATGTTTATTTTTTTACTATTGTTTATTGTTTATTATTTATCGTTTATTAAGAAATTACAGATTTGTAAGTCATTGATTCTTAAATAATTAACAGTCTTGTAATGTTACACACGTCGTCAGGCGATTGTTGCAGAAAGAAAAATGACGTGCGTAGCACGTCAAACGTGAATTTCTTCGGACCTTTTTTTTTTTTTTTAATTTAATTAACACACACACGCATATATATATATATCACTCATTTACTTAATAAGAAACGAAAAATTTTAACGTAATAAATTTTTAGTAAAATTATTGTAAATTTTGTAAAAATTTGTTAAAATTAAGTAAAATTTCGAGTAATCTTATCTATTCGTAGAAATTTAATTATCAATAATTTTCAAACATACACACACACATACGTGTATATATATATATATTATTTATTAAGAAATTAAAAATATTTAATTGATGAATAGGCCGATAATAAATGGGAAATCATGTCGCGTGCTTTTGCCATCATGAATTTCTACGTATGTATATATATATATATACATCTTGCTCATACTCGTTTCACGAGTTTCGATAATTAATTCCACGATTATTATACAAGGATTGATTTAACGAGCGTTAAAACGTCCATCCATGTTATTACCAAGTACTATTAAACACAAAAGTAACATTGTATCGTCTGTCATTTTATAAATCACATTTTGCGTTAAAAGAGAAAAGACAAGAGAGAAAAAAAAAAGAAGAGAAGAGGAAGAAGAAGAAAAAGAAGAAGAAAAAAAAAAGATTGCCTGTCGTATTGTCATTCTAAATACAATGGTAGACTGTATTTAATGTGTTTCCAAGTAAAATGATCTTTTGAATATTAATGAGTACAAACGATCGTTGATCTTTCAGTAAAATGAACGATCTTATTGTCACACAGCCGTAATTTCATTACGTTTATTCAATTACATTTATTTTTCTTCTCTTTTTTTTTTTTTTTCTTTTTCGTTTTTCTACCTTTTTTTTTTTCTTTCTCTTTTCTTTTCTTTCGTTACTCGCGATCGCGAAAATAACAAAAAATTCGACATACGAAAGTCCGATAAATTTTACTTGAAAGGAAGAAACGTATTAATAAAAAAGAAAAAAAAAAAATAATAAAAACCCAAGAAAAATGGCGTACATATTCGTTCTGTATAGTTTATGATTAGAGCTTTCGTACTTTTAAATTCGTCCCTGATTGGATTCTAGATTTCTAAACGAAAGAATACCGATCGAATATTTCATATTATTTGTTCAAACAGAGAAAGATAAGGATGACATGCAATCTTTATGTATAATACTCTATTTGTATGAGTGATAATATACATGTATATATATATATATATAATATGTGAAATTATATTCAATTTCAAGGACGTAGCATGTTTGCACGCGTCACTGAAAAATTGTTACGATTTCTATCATTCCGACGCAATTTAATGAATATTCTCGTATGAAATTTTATTAAAAAAAAATAGCATAGAAACAACACATACATAGACACAAACACACATACATACATTAAATAAAAGTTTGTTTAATACTTTTATTTATTTTTTTTTTTTTTTTTTTTTTTTTTTTTTTCAACAAATAATCGCAGATGTGTGACATTTCAAATTGCAAGAAATTTCTGTGTGTCATGCTAAGTGCAAATACATTATTATATTTTTTCAAATGATAATAGATAAGCACTTTTCTCTCTCTTTCTCTCTCTCTCTCTCTCTCTCTCTCTCTCTCTTGGATGATAAGAGACCAATATAATAGTTTCGTCATCTTGTAACAATAACTATTACAGATATTATTAAACGAGGATCCTAATCGCGTTTTAATTTTTTTTCTTTTTTTTTTCTTTTCTTTTTTTTTTTTTTTTTTTTTTTTCTTTTTTTTTACCCCTCTTCAATAAAAATTAAATTGACTGGATTAAAGGCTAATGTTTTCTTTTTTCTTTTTTCTTTTTTCTTTTTTCTTTTTTCTTCTTTTTTGGGTTTCCTTTTCCTGACACGCGCGTACGCGCATACCATACCACGCGCATTATCAAGATAAGATCTTCAGATATTAATCAAAAGTATGATTTTAATTTTTCTTTTTTTTTTTTTTTTCATCCACTAAAAAGAAATATTATATCTATTATCAGTTTCAAGGATCTTTGTTAACTTGTCAAGGTCGAGTTAATATATAGAACAAGTGTTCTGTATATGTGTACATGCATTCGTGGAACTGTACGATCGATAAACTTTGAAGAAAGTTTAAAGATGTCTGATTTTTTTTCTTACTCATTCATTCTTTCATTCATTCATTCATTCATTCATTCTTTTCTTTCATTCATTCATTCATACATTCATACATTCATTCATTCATTTTTTTTTCCTACAGATGGAGAGCAAGTATATACAAATTGGTGTGGTTAGACCTGGCCTTATTTTTATTCATTTATTATTCATTGTCAAGTATCTACCGATTGATACTGGATGACGAACAAAAGAAAATATTTGAAGCTGTTGTGGCCTATTGCAATCAGTACAGCGATCTTATACCGTTGTCCTTTGTATTAGGATTTTATGTTAGTATAGTTATGACAAGATGGTGGAATCAATACATGGTTATACCTTGGCCAGACTCTATAGCTGTATTTGTATCGGCAACTATACACGGTAACGATGAGAGAGGTCGATTGATGCGTCGTACTATAGTCAGGTATAATAATAAAAAACAATAACAATAATAATAATAATAATAATACAATTAATTATTTCGAATAAATGATTCATTTTCCTTTTTCTCTCTCTATCTCTCTCATATTTTTTTTTTTTTCCTTTTCTCTTTCTTTTTTCAGATACGTATGCGTTTGCTTGACCTTGGTGTTAACGAACGTCTCACCAAGAGTGAAAAAACGTTTCCCAACGTTAGAACATTTCGTCGATACTGGATTATTATTGGAGAATGAATTGTCTATATTTCAAAGCTTAAATGCCAAGTTTCCTAAGCCCAGTAAACATTGGTTACCAATCGTTTGGGCTTCGAGTATAGTTACAAGGGCTAGAAAGGAAGGTCGTATACGCGATGATTTTGCTGTTAAAACATTGATAGACGAGCTGAATAAATTCCGCGGAATGTGCGGAAATTTAATACATTATGATACCATAAGTGTACCATTGGTTTATACTCAGGTTAGTAGGTTAAATATGAATAAATGATTATATCGATTATAATAAATCCGATTGATCGTTTTAATAATATTACATCGTTTTATTATTTTTAATAAATATTATCATTTGTTACAAGGTCGTTACATTGGCCGTTTACACGTATTTCTTGACAAGCGTTATGGGAAGACAATGGATCCAAACATCAAACTCTTCCACCATCGACGTTTATTTCCCTGTATTCACGACGCTACAATTTTTCTTTTACATGGGTTGGCTCAAGGTCGCTGAAACATTGATAAATCCATTTGGCGAGGACGACGATGATTTTGAAGTCAATTGGATAATAGATCGTAATTTACAGGTATTATTATTATTAAATAATGTAAATTGCGTTCGTTTAATTATTTTCTTAATCTCACGATTTGATCCTTTTTTTTATTCCTTCTTTCTTTTTTCCTTCCCCTTCTTTTCTTCTTTTCTTTTGGATAGGTCAGTTATTTGATCGTCGACGAGATGCATCACGAACATCCAGAATTAATAAGGGATCAATATTGGGATGAAATATTTCCAACTGAATTACCTTACACTGCGGCCTCCCAACAATTCCGCGAGGAACATCCAGAACCATCGACGGCTGGTATACAATTGTCAGCAGCCCAGCAAGAACTTCAACCGTCCTCCGTTAGAATAGACGAGATGGTACCGGATTATCAACAAAAGTTTCGTAATGATGTTGCCGACGATGCCGTATCCGGAATACATTTTACTGCCGACGGGAAATTGTCCAGGTAATTTGAATAGATAAAAAATATATATATATAAAAAAAAAGATAAAGATAGAGTGAGAGGAGGGGGGGGGGGGGGGAAATAGAACACACTTGAAACGCGTTAAAAGCACGAAAGAGAGAAAGAGAGAAAAGGAATGTTCTAATCGATAAATTTGCTAACAGAAGTGCTACCACTGCTAAAATATCAAGGTAATAAAGTCACTCAAATAGGATGTTAATACTATGAATCATATATTTGTTATACGAGGGTAAAGTTATTAAAGATGAACGTTTATAAATTTTAGGAGTGCCAGTAGAGTGAGTAATCGTGACCGTACATTTAACACTGGATCAACGCCAAGTAACTTGGATGGTTCGCTGACCAGGGTCAATAGTGTAACCAGTATGTTAAAGAGATTGTTCAGTAAGGAGGATAGACCGGATGGTGGTACATCGAGTGGTAACAAAACACCCGGTAGAATTCAACATTCTAGTTCATCAGCATCATTGCAGACAAGAGTACACGGTAAGATATCATTGATCCACATTGATCAATGATAATATTATCATTTAATGTGTAATTGGTTTATTTATTTTTTTTTGTATTTTTTTTTATTAAATCGATTGTACATCAGCTGGTACAGGTGGCTCGACCAAGATCGGTGTTATCGAGGAGGTCGACGAACAAATGACTATGACATCAATGAGACCAGAAAACAGGCCGCATGTACAAAGTATATTTCCGCAAGGACCGCCACCAGCTAGTGCACCAGTTGACGTACCTGGTTCTGATCATAGCAGAAACAGAGACATCTTTTCTAACAGTGCACCTGCTACTACTGCTCATTTAACCATCGCTGATGGTAACAATGGTCATGATTTCGAGAACGGCAATAAATATCCTTCGAATGCTAGGTCAATTTATTTTTTTTCACAAATGTTCTTGTCTTGCTTTTTTTTTCTTTTCTTTTTTTTTTTTTCTTTTTATTATAGTAAATTAAGATACGTGCGTGGCACGTACGTATGTATAATTTTGTTCTGTTTTATTTTGATTTGTTTGTTCGTTTGTTTGTCATAACGAAACGAATTATTATCCCTCATTGTTATTTGTTTTATTGATTTTAGGAGAGAGAGATCTAGCATCAGTTACGAGCCTTCAAGAAGTTATCAAAGTACAACGATTGGCGATGGTATGATCAGCCCAAGAAGTTCGATATGTTCGACGAATAGTAGTTCGGACGACGAGTTTACTAAATTAAAAATAGAAAGGGAAAATCAAAGACGTGAAAAGGCATTCAGACGATTGGCAAGAAGTATTAGCGGCCATGGTAATATATCTCACGAGGCAAAAAATTTAACAGAAAATGAAGTACTTTTGTTAGCTGAATTAGCGGACGCGTCGAGACTATCTTTGGTACCAAGAGATAATGACGATAAGGAGAACGAAATTGCTAAGGTTTAAGTGAATCCTTATGTTTAGCTGATTTTTCTTTTCTTTTCTTTCCTTTTCTTTTCTTTTCTTTTCTTTTCTATTTTTTTTTTTTTTTTTTTTATTATAAACTTTCGCCTTGTATTTGTCGTGAAATCGAGAGTGTACGTTATTTTACTTTGATGTGCGAGTGAGTGAATGAGTGAGTGTATGAGTGAGTGAGTGAGTGAGTGAGTGCATGCGTGGACATCCCTCGCAATTAATGTAATCGAGTATGTTGAGAGAAAGAGAGAGAGAGAGAGAGAGAGAGTAAGAAAGAAAGTTTTTATTAACATTCCGATAAAAGAAGACAAAACATTTGTAGCTTTGAGATCGTATACTGACTTTAATGACGGCTAGTATCTTCAATGAGATTTATTAGAGTTACTAGAAATTAATTTTTAGTAGCTTTTTCTCTTTCGGCTGTGTACTGACCCATATATATATATATATATATATATATATATACACTTTATGATTACTGCAAAAAAAAAAAAAAAGAAAAAAAAAAGAAAATCATTTTCATAATAGAACGACAATAATTAAAGAGAGAACGATGCCACGTGTGACTTAATTTTATATATTAGTTTTCTTATAATCAATGGATCATTAATATTTATCGAGTTTACGACATCGTTATTTCTTCTTTTCGTTTTTTCTTTCTTATTTTTTTTTTTTTTTTTTTTTTTTTTGTTTCTCTTTTTTGTTTTTTAACACACAACAACAACAAGCGAAAAATATTACGTCAACGATTATCATTATCTAAGTGCCTATATTTATACAGTGCCTATGAGGATCAAATAATGGCACATGAAATACTCCGACGAAAGAAATTTCATTGATATTTCTCGTACCGTAAAAATATTTAATGGCTTTGTATATTTGTGAAACAAGACGATCATGTTTAAAGTACACTTTGCAATTTTATTAATTAAGGATGAAAATTGTCTGTGAACTTACATACTGTGTATTATCACGAATGGTGTTTTACATCATTGAGAAAAGGAGAAGAAAAAGGAGAAGAAGAAAAGACAACAAAAAAAAAAAAAAAAACAAAAAAAAACAAAAAAAAAAAAGAAAGAAAAGATAAATAGAAAACGTTCCCTTCCTTTCGACGTAACGACAAGAGAAGAAATCTGGTGTACATGAACATTCCAAAGATAGAACAATGGAAGAGAGGGGTTCGTTTGTAATTTCTCTGGTGCTACCAAATACACTTATCTTTTTTTCCAGTATTAAGTAAAGTAGCTTAAAAAAAAAAAAAATAAAGAAAAAAAAAAGAATACAACAAACGAATATATCTACGTCTGCCTATCTATCTATCCATCTATTTTTTTTTTCCTGATAAATAAAAAACAAATTTGATCCTAACGAGTACAAATTGGAAAACAGCGCTGACGTAATGAATTGGGGTGATATAAGGTAAAACAGAGCGCTGCGATCGCCGATAGATGTCAGGATGATCGTTATCGTTCGGCAATGTTCGTGATCATTCGTGTTACGTTCGGCAATAGTTGAGGCGGCTCGCGGTGCGGATTCGTTATATTCGTAGTGGGGGTCATCAGTGGGTTGCCGTCGGCGTGAGGTGGCGGCGGCATCGTACGCGAGGATAACGCAGAGTGGGGTCGATCGAGACGCGTGCCGGGCGTGTAGAAAAGAAGTTAGAGCGCGCGGTGCCGCGGCCCGTGCTCGTGCCCAGTGTGGACGACGACGACGACGACGACGACGACATCATCATCATCATAGGAAGATTGTATGAGAAAACGCGAGGGAGAGAGAGAGAAAGAAAGAGAAAGAGAGGGAAAGAGAGAACGACGACGACGACGACGACGACGACGACAACAACGACGGGGACGACGACGACGACGACGACGACGACGACGACGACGACGACGACGACGACGACGACAACAACGACAACGACGACGACGACGACGACGACGACGGGGAGGAGGAGGAGGAGGAGTAGTAGGAGAAGAGTGAGTTAGTGAGTTAGTGAGTGCAAGTTTCGAAGAGAAGGAATTGGAGAGAAGGAGGAGAGGTGGAGGTGGTGGAGGTGGAGGAGGTGGCGGCGGGGGAGGTGGTGGTGGTGGTGGAGGAGGAAAAGAGGACTGTACAACGACCGCGAGGAGATAGATTGGAGTAATAGTAGTAGAAGGAGTAGGAGTGTAGGAGGGGAGGTTGTGGAGGAGGGCCACTGCCAAGAAAACAGTAGTGCGTTCCTTGGCAAGATGGCAGACGGTCCGTCCGCGGAAGAGGCGTCTGCTGTTGATGTTCGGATTCTATCGAGGGAACGACAGAAACGACAGGACGCTTCTTCGACGTCGCTTCTAACTAACGTTATTACGGCTTCGTCGTCGCCGTCGTCGTCGTCGTCGTCGTCGTCGTTGTTGTTGTCGTCGTCATCATTGAGCACGGGCCAGGACGTTGTTGTTAGACGGTTTGTTCATAAACGGGATAATACCGGTGAATTTTACGACGATTACGATTATGTTTACGATTACGAGGACGACGATGACGACGATGACGACGAGGACGAGGACGATTACGAGGAAGTTGACACCCGACGTCGTTACCATCATGATCGTCATAATCATCACCATTATCGCTATCAACAACAACAACAACAACAACAACAACAACAACAACAACAACAACACCAACAACAACAACATCAACAGCAACAGGAAAGGATTCCTAATGAAGGTGCTGCTGGTGGTATTGGTAATCATTTTAATAGTGGTACTGGTGATGGCAGTGGTGCTGGTCGTGGTGGTGCTGGTAGTGCTGGTTGTGGTGGTGGTAGTGGTGTTGGTGGTGGTGGTGGTGGTGGTGGTGGTGTCGTTGTCGTTGTCGGTGGTGATTGTGCGCCCACGATACGAGGAAAGGAACATAACAAGGTGTTGTTATACGATGAGGAAGATGATTACGAGGAAGAAGATGAGGATGATGAGGACGATGATGACGAAGGTGAGGATGGCGATGAGGAAGACGAAGAAGAGGAAGAGGAAGAGGAGGAAGAAGAGCCGCCAATGGAAAATCGAAGAGTTAGGATAGGCTTGATGAAAAAGTCGACCGAGGGCATTGTTACGAGTATCGGTAGTGTTGGTAATAATAGAAATATTAATACTAGTGGTGTAGTTGGACATGGAGTTAACGGTGGTAGTGCTGGTGCTTTGTTGGTAACAAAGATGCTCGGTAATACACGCACGCGGGTACTCGATGTTGTAGACGTTCTCGTAGATCCGTCGGAATCGGTTGGTACGAAGTTAACGTCGAATTTATCAAATGTTAACGAAAGAAAAGATCGAGTAAGATCCGAGATAGAGGAAGACCATGACAATAAAAAGAAGGAAACGCAATTACAAGAACAACAACAACAACAACAACAGCAGCAACAGCAGCCACAGCAACAACACCAGCAGCAATCACAGCAACCACAGCAGCAACAACAGCAACCACAGCAACAGCAGCAACAGCAGGAAGACAAAAAGAAAAAGAAGAAGAACGAAGAGAAAGATAGAAGAGGAGACGATACCACGAACGATCCTCCTCCCCTTAACACCGTAACCGTCACCATTACCCCTGCCTCCCCTTCTTCTTCAACAACCATCACAACGAGCGGCATCGCGAACGGCGTCGTTGCTACCGGCAGCAGCGGCAGCGGCAGCAGCAGCAGCAGCAACAGCAGCAGCACCGGAAGTGGCAGCTCCGTTGCCGGCGGCGCGAGCAACGTCAAGAGTAGTAGTTGCGCCGGCTCCTTGTCCAACGGCAGCCCCTTCAAGGGACAGGTCAGGATGGCCGAGGAGACTCTCGTTGGGCCTTGCGGCAAGAAGCGTTGCGCCGATCGATACGACAGCTCCGAGAGTTCCGACAGGTGAGAACGCGTTCCTCCTCACCTCAACAACCCAGAAAATGTAACATTTGAAAAAGCATCCCCCACCATTAACCATATACCATCCCCCTTTTACCTTCCCATCATCCCTACCATCCCTTCCATATTATTCCTCATCCTCCCTCATCCTCTCCCTCCTCGTTCCTCCTCCTCGTTCCTCCTCCTCGTTCTCATCCTCATCCTACTCTCCTTCTCTACATAATGTAACAAGTCATTTCGCGAGCATGTCTCATCTCGAGCGTCGAACTTACGCCAGGGGTCGTTGTACCACGTTCCCAGTCAGTCCGACGACCCAACGCAACCCAGACTTACACGGGTTGTGTCTATACTCTGTCTATAACGTGATATTCATCTAACGCCATAACATATAAATATCCTATCCTATAATAATATATTTTCATTTGGAAATTATCTTTGATTGGATTAATGCCAATTAAAGAATCTTGATCCTAGCCTTAAATCTTAATCTTGTACGTATTTACGATTTCAACTATATATATGATCTCTTGTTATTGTTTATTGCTCATCTCGATATGACATGGTGATGTAATATCACCACGTTGCAACTGTACTTGCACAACCCTTTTTCTTTTCTTTTTTTTTCTTTTACATTTATACTCTTCCTTTTCTCCTTTGAATTACTCGTTTCCCTTCATCCATCATTTTCCTCGCCATTTTTCTTCTTCTTCTTTTTCTTCTTTTTCATCATCATCATCATCATCATCATCGTCCCTGTGTCTTCGCGCTTTTTTTTTTTTATGCCTTTTAAATAAAGCAATTCAGTACGACGAAAATGATAAAAACAAAACTCCTAATGGTATACTATTTTGGGATAATAAACTTCGATCTATTTGTCGAAAAATTTTCATCGTTCTAACATTGATATAATATTTCGTCAGGCGCGGAATACGATTAGTCATTCATTTTTTCCCTCCCTCTTCTTCTATTGTTATTATCATTATTATTGTTATTACTATTATTCCGTTCACTGTGTTTTTCTATTATTTTTCTATTATACACCTGGACTTCACTGTCAGTTTCTTTACTTTCTGAAACATAACTTGGCCGTTCTCTTACCTTTACCATGCAAGGATCGTTTATTCCAATACCAAGAAACATATGTATATATATATATATATATATATATATATATATATATATATATATAAAATATATATATATTACTTGAAGAGTATCGTCTCGATGCCAGTCGTATCTTTGCTTGGAAGGGAACATATCGTGAGGTCAACGTATTTACGTTTCTCTCTTTCTCTCTCTCTCTCTCTCTCTCTCTCTTTTTCTTTTTCTTTTTTTTTCTCTCTGTCTTACTTACTAACCATGATGTATACATTTTGGCAAAGGAACATGCCGTATCTCACGTATAGCTT